TCGTCAACGAGCTGCAATGAGCAAAAGCACTATCTCCAATTTGAGTCACAGACTCTGGGATAATCAAACTCGTCAAAGAGCTGCAATTAGCAAAAGCACTATCTCCAATTTGAGTCACAGACTCTGGAAGAATCAAACTCGTCAAAGAGCTGCAGCCACGAAAGGCATCTGCTCCAATTTGAGTCACAGATGCTGGGATAATCAAACTCGTCAAAGAGCTGCAGTCACAAAAGGTGCTATCTCCGATTCGAGTCACAGACTCTGGGAGAATCAAACTCGTCAAAGGGCTGCAGCCACGAAAGGCGCCATCTCCAATTTTAGTCACAGACTCTGGGATAATCAAACTCGTCAAAGAGCTGCAGCCACGAAAGGCATCTTCTCCAATTTCAGTCACAGATGCTGGGATCATCAAACTCGTCAAAGAGCTGCAGCCACAAAAGGTGCTATCTTCAATTTCAATCAGAGACGCTGGGATAATCAAACTCGTCAAAGAGCTGCAATAAGAAAAAGCACTATCTCCAATTTGAGTCACAGACTCTGGGAGAATCAAACTCGTCAAGGAGCTGCAGCCACCAAAGGCATTAGCTCCAATTTGAGTCACAGATGCTGGGATAATCAAACTCGTCAAAGCGCTGCAGGCACGAAAGGCATAAACTCCAATTTCAGTCAGAAACGCTGGGAGAATCAAACTTGTCAAAGAGTTGCAGCCACAAAAGGTGCTATCTCCAATTTCAGTCACAGACTCTGGAATAATCAAACTGGTCAAAGACTTGCAGCCACAAAAGGCATATTCTCCAATTTGAGTCACAGATTCTGGGATAACCAAACTTGTCAAAGAGCTGCAGTCACGAAAGGCATAAACTCCTATTTGAGTCAGAGACTCTGGGAGAATCAAACTCCTCAAAGAGCTGCAATAAGCAAAAGCACTACCTCGAATTTGAGTCACAGACTTTGGGACAATCAAACTTGTCAAAGAACTACAGGCACGAAAGGCATAGACTCCAATTTCAGTCAGAGACGCTGGGAGAATCAAACTCGTCAAAGAGCTGCAGCCACAAAAGGTGCTATCTCCGATTCGAGTCACAGACTCTGGGATAATCAAACTCGTCAAAGAGCTGCAGCCACTCAAAGCATTTGCTCCAATTTGAGTCACAGACTCTGGGAGAATCAAACTCGTCAAAGAGCTGCAGCCACGAAAGGCATCTGCTCCAGTTTCCGTCAGAGACGCTGGGAGAATCAAACTCGTCAAGGACCTGCAGCCACAAAAGGTGTTATCTCCAATTTGAATCACAGACTCTGGGAGAATCAAACTCATCAAAGAGCTGCAGCCACAGAAGGTGCTATCTCCAAGTCGAGTCACAGACTCTGGGATAATCAAACTCGCCAAAGAGCTGCAGCCAAGAAAGGCATCTGCTCCAATTTGAATCACAGATGATGGGATCATCAATCTCGTCAAGGAGCTGCAGCCACTAAAGGTGCTACCTCCAATTCGAGTCACAGACTCTGGTATAATCAAACTGGTCAAAGACTTGCAGCCACAAAAGGCATATTCTCCAATTTGAGTCACAGACTCTGGGATAGTCAAACTCGTCAAAGAGCTGCAGCCACTCAAAGCATTTGCTCCAATTTGAGTCACAGACTCTGGGAGAATCAAACTCGTCAAAGAGCTGCAGCCACGAAAGGCATTTGCTCCAACTTGACTCACAGATGCTGGGATAATCAAACTCGTCAAAGAGTTGCAGCCACTAAAGGCATTAGCTCCAATTTCAGTCAGAGACGCTGGGGGAATCAAACTCGTCAAAGAGCTGCAGTTACAAAAGGTGCTATCTCCAATTCGAGTCACAGACTCTGGGAGAATCAAACTCTTCAAAGAGCTGCAGTGACAAAAGGCCTTTGCTCCAATTTGAGTCACAGACTCCGGGATGACAAGTCGCAACAAGTAACTGCACGCCAGAAAGGCATTGGCTGGGATGAATGTTTCAGTGTCGGGGATGCGTACGTCACGCACTTTCTTAATCTTGTAGCCAGATGCGCTGACACACTCAAGCGTCAAGCTGGAGAAGACAACCTGCAGCCAGGGTCAAACGTGCTGTATGAAGTTATACATATCTATATATATATATATATGATATATACCAGTAGTACCGCACAAGGCGGTGGCGGAAGTTTCAAAAATAGGGAACCTATAGGAGAGGTTGGTTGTTGTGAATCACGGATGGCAGAGCGAAGCCACTGATGGACCGAAAGGTGCTTCAGGTCTCCTCTCTTTCTCTCTCTTTCTCTGACTATCTACCTACCTACCTACCTCCCTACCTCCCTACCTACCTACCTACCCACCTACCTACCTACCTACCTCATCTTTGCAGATCCTCTTCAAATGTCCCACGCCTGCCATCGTTTTTGGACATACTACAAAGCCTTCACGCTTTGCTCACTTTTCACAAGGTGCACAATCCCGTGCGCCTGCCACACGAAACGACATCTGAACGTCCAAAAGTGGTCCGAACCCCTGGTGTTTTGTACATTTTGACTTCGAAACGTGCTTTGCGCAACAACGGCGTGCACTTTTTCCACATCTCACCTTCCAAAAGTGGTCCGGAGTTGGTGTTTTTTGTACATTTTGACTTCGAAATGTGCTTCGCGCCACAACGGCGTGCACTTTTTCCACATCTCAACTTCCAAAAGTGGTCCGGAGTTGGTGTGTTTTGTACATTTTGACTTCGAAATGTGCTTCGCGCGACAACGGCATGCACTTTTCCCACATCTCAACTTCCAAAAGTGGTCCGGAGTTGGTGTGCTTTGTACATTTTGCTTCGCGCCACAACGGCGTGCACTTTTTCCACATCTCAACTTCCAAAAGTGGTCCCGAGTTGGTGTGCTTTGTACACTTTGATTTTGAAATGTGCTTCGCGCCACAACGGCGTGCACTTTTTCGACATCTCAACTTCACAAACGTGCTTCGCGCCATGACGGCGTGCAATTTTTAATCTCTCATCTGCCCAGCGGGCTCCGCACCCGCCGCTTTAGCGAACCTACTTTTCGACCCTCCGGAGCCACAAATCATTGGATGTGTTTCGCGACTTTCCTACCTTTTCGCGCACCTGGATATTCTTTTTTCTGAGACTTTCTCTTTGTTGATCTTCTTTCTTCTTCTCTTCTCTTCTCTTCTCTGACTCTTCCCACCTCTGCTTTTCATTTGTCCATGTTGTCGGAAGTTTGACTTCTAAACTTCCTTCGATAATAATATATATATACACATGTGGTATGGTCATCCATCCCATAAGAATGGGAATCCTTATGGGTACGTGAATCCCTATGAAAATGGACTGATGACCATCCCCAACATGGGCCCCCCAGTTTTGATGATGGTACATGCATAGAAACATGTTGACTTCTGACCCCAACCGCAAACAATATGGGACCCAAATAAACATTGGGTGTGGCGTTGGTCCTCAAATTGCCAATCATGTTGGCTCACAAACAATGGGGCATGTTTTCCCTTATAAACAAGGTGATGAATGAAGTCGGATCTTTAGCATATTATGACCACAAATGTACACATATCAAAGGTTGGAACTTTGCAGTTTATCCTCATTACAAACGAAGAGCGTCAAACTACGTTAAGTCATTCTTTGGGCCAAAATAACTACGCTTTGCAATGGTTTTTTTCAGCGAACCTGTACTTTGGCAGAGTCGAGGATAGACTCTGAGACGGTCATCTTGAGACCATTCAGCTTCTCTCCGTCAAGGACAAGTTCCACGGTGCTGAGTCTCCGGGTGAGCGCATCCTCTGATGGATGAAAAACCTCGAAAAGGCGGCATCAATTCAACTGCAGCACAGGTTGGTGGTTGAGCCACTCCCTAAAAAACATGAAGTCAATGGGGATCATCATCATCCCAGTTGGATGGAAAAAAAGTGAAGTTGAACCGATTGTCAACCACCAAACACTTAGAAACTTCACTTGATTTCAAAGTTGTTTAGACATAGCATGATATAAATTGCGTGCTTCACGAAGGTATAGCCGCAACAAACAACCGGTGCTTCTGGAAACATTGCCCCTCGCCCGACCTTCACTTCCTCCTTCAACTCTTTGATGGTCATTTCTGGCTGTACTGCCAGGGTGTGAACCTTGCCACTGAGAAGTTCCACAGTGATGTTCCTTGCCATGGCAATATGCAAAAGCTGTCTACTCGAAGTCTCGTCTTGAACCACTGCGAGGAAATTACGAAAAATAGTACCAGAATTTTGAGCCATAGCCATATAAAACAATGATTGATAACTTATAATGTCACGAATGTGTTTTGAATAATATATATATATAACAATGATTATGATGATAATAATAATAATTAATAATAATAATGAGAATGATAATATAATATAATATCATAATAATAAATAATAATAATAATAGTAGTAATAGTAGTAATAATAATAATATATATATACGTATATTATATATATATATGTAGTAATGTAAATATTAAGGAGGCAGGAGGTGCCAGGGGTTAGCATCACAGTGCTGTCCAGTCATCGGATTTCCGCCATGTTGACTGAGTTGACTGGCGGATTACAGATTCCAAAGTTACCCTCTGGTAATTAACATAGACCCTGGCAGATAGAGGTTGGAAGATTAGTTTCCATTAAAAATGGGTGATTTTCAGGGTCTATGTTTATTTACCAGATGGTACCCTCTGGTTATGACTAACGATTTGCGAAGTGGGAAATCACCATGGCTTTTTTTGAAGACGCTACTGTAAATCATGATGTGATAAATCATCTATGCCATAATGCGCCATTTTCCAATATTTTCCATAGCTACGTTAGTTTGCCAGAGGGTAGGTTTTGACTCTTTCCACTGACGGATGAGCTTTTCATGTTTGTTCTTCCAACTCTTCATAAATCTTAAATATGAGTCATGAGTGAGTCAATATCATTCAGCTCACTTGGTGCGCATTTGATCATCCCATTCCCCACATTTTATCATGATATGTTCCCTGTCAGCTTGCAGAGCTTGGAGACTTTGTCGATGCCACGCATCCAATCTTGACCCGGGCCTGCCTGATTTCATAAATTGCAGGATTTTCGTCCAACCATAGAGACAGCCACCATAAATCCAATCGCTGGCCTAGTTGTAAACAAACTTACCCTCTGGTAATTTGTTACAGTTAGCTATTGAGAATGGCCCAGTCGAAATAGTGGATTTACCCATTAAAAATGCTGGATCTTTCCAGTTCGTTCTGTGAACGTTTACCAGGCCGGGTACCGATCTTGTACGTTCCACTTGGGCCAGTCTTAGTAAAGCAATACCCGGCCTGGTAAACGTTCACATAACGAACTGGAAAGATCCACCATGCTATTAATGGGTAAATCCACTATAAATGGCCATTTTCAAGAGCAAACTGTTAGTTTACCAGAGGGTAACTTACCCGCCCTATTTTGGATGGTTTCTGCTGATCCTTCATTTGCTTTTTCACTACATGTCACCATAAACATGTGACATTTCAAATTCAATCCTGGCTGTATTCACAGCTGCCCTTTTACAGCTCAAACCGCAACTTGGCAGAACAAAAGGAGGTGTGGGGACGAGCGACTTGGTGGTGCACAAATCGAGAAGTGTAACATCATAAGGGCTGGAATCCTCATACCTAGATCCCAAGTGGAGTAGGTTATGAGCCCAAAGGTAACCACCACTGGGCGATGAATATACAAAGAAGAAGGGCAACAACCAAAGAGATAGAGCAGGGACAACGTGAGATGAAGTTAGCAGAAGAGAGGATGAAGAAAGAGGCAGAAACGAGAGGAGAGATGCCAATAGAAGATGTCAAGGCTGAAGGTAGTCAAGAAGGTTCAGGAGTAGTAAGTGCACCCCCAATAGCTGATGAGACCAAAGTTGATTCCGAAGGAAATCCAACTTCAAATGGTCCACCAGGTGCCACTTCAGGGCCAGAGACTGCAGGGCCAATGACACCACCGCCAACTGATCCACCAAGGATGTCTCCGCAGGAGTTTGCATCACCTGGACTGAGGACACCAGCTGGCACCACTAAGGGAAAAGAAAAGCAAGAAGGGACATCGAGTTCGGCAACAAAAGAGGCTGTTGGGTCTCGAGAGGTGCCGGTTACTGATGTCAAAAGAGAAGAGGCCAGCGTCAGGTCACAGGGAGGTGGGTTAGGAGTGCCAAGTGGGGCTGAAGTTTCTATGTCAGCCGCACCGTTGTTCACACCAGAGCAGTTTCAACAAATGGAAGCTCTTCAAAATCAAGCCTCCTGGTTGTATGCACCGCCTCAATCAGTCTTCACTCCTTTTGCTTCACGTCCTGCCTTTTTGAATCAAGAGGAGAATAGATTTGCAAGAGAATCTACAGAAAGAGATAGGTGGTTGGAAGAATTGAGAGAACAACAGCTGCGTGATCAGAGAGAAAGAGAAGAACTTCGAATGTTGCTGAATCAGATTTCCAAAGAAAACGTAGCTCTCAAGGCCACCATTCAGTCTCTCCGCATGTCAACAGAGGGAGGAGAGCCGAAGTTCTCGACTCCTGAGGATGATGTTGGACAGGCGCAAGAGGCTGCCAATTCGAAGAATGGTGCAGGCATTGAAGTGCCTGCTCAAAAGGAGGCCGTAGACCCCCAAAAGGAGGCTGCAGATCCCCTGGGAAGTCCAAAAGAAGAGGAAGTCCTTCCCTGGAGGACTAAGGAGGCTGCAGATCCGCCGCCAAAGACATCGAAAGAAGAAAGTCACCATCGAGGGCTGATGCGGGGCAGGCTGACACTGGTCCCGGCTCTCAGTTCACCCAGAAGTCGTTGGAGTTCATGAGTTTGATGGTAGAGTCGATGAAAGAGATGCAGAAAAAGGTTTCAGAACAAAGAGACGAAGGTGGTTCAATCAGAGGCGTAGAAGTTGTCAGGTCTGGGGTGTTAGATCTTCCTGGCCTACCACCATGCAATCCGTCACAGGGTCCGCTGCAGCTTGGAGATTGGTTGTTGATGGTGGAACCCATAGCTGCTGATATGACTTCAACCAGTGAAGAATGGTGGACCACTATGGTGAAAGCCGTGGAATCTTGGTACCAGCGGCATATGTCTCTGAGTCCACTTGACAGGATCACTCATGATGCTACACCACCTGCGAGCTTGCAACAGGAAAGATGGCAACGTTTGGAGAGGAGGATGTCAACCATGCTCTTGCACTCAGTCCCGGAGAATGTCCGTGAGGAGCTGGTGGCTGGACGAAAGATGTCAGTTTTCAGCATCTTAGCCCATCTTTTTCTCACTTACTGCCCAGGTGGTGTGCTGGAAAAACAAATGTTGTTGCGCAGTCTTGAAGATCCACCAGAAGTCACTAGCATCGGAGATGCTCCTGCCGCCTTGAGACGATGGATGAGGTGGAAAGCCAGGACTGCTGAAATTGGTGCAGTGATTCCTGATGCTGCACTCTTGCTCAAGGGCTTGAACAGACTCACCAAAAGGGTCCTGGATGGTCACCGTGATTTACAATTCAGGATTCAGCTTGCCAGGTCGAGTCTGGGAGTAGACACAACTCCGACTGAGTTGTCAGTCACCAGATTCGCCACACACCTCTTGGCAGAGATAGAGCAAGTGGCGCTGACCGAGACGCGCACTGGAGGACAGACGTCAAAACAGGATGTCCCCAAGCTGAAGGCACGGGAGGTAGAGAAGCCAGAAAAAGGGAAGGGAAAGGGACAAGAACGCTCAGCAGAAGATGGAGGAGGGAAGCCACGATGTCGTTTCTTCTTTTCTGATGGAGGCTGCAAAAAGGGGAAGCTATGTGGTTTTTCTCATGAAGGTTGAGATGACAAGAGGAGGTGCTGGGTCTGTGGGTCAGTCGACCATTTTGCCCCTGCATGCACACGTCCAAAGGGCTCTTCTGAGAACAGCCCACCAAAGGCCAGAGCCTTGAAGTCTGAGGCTGAACAAGGAGGAAATCAGAAGGAGTCAGAGGCTCCGACAGCGCCGAGCTCTGAATCGGCGATCAAAGATCTGATGGAGGAGGCGAACAAGATGCTGAAGAGTTTGACAGCTTCGAGCAGCTCTCAGGCAACAACAGTGTCTTCTTCAGCATCCAGCGTTGAAGAAAGCAAGCAGGAGACGATGGATCGGCTGCAGAAGCAGCTGAACGCTCTGAGGATGAAGGTGCTGAAGATTCAGAAGATCTCATCAGGTCATTGTCAAGGCCTGATCGACAGCGGTGCGACACATGCACTGCGCCCCAAGAAGCTGGGCGAAGACATCTCCCAGTACAAGAAGGTTGAAGTTTCACTAGCAGACGGCCAGACTGCCCTCTTGGCCATCAATGCTGGAGGAACGATGGTCAGTGAGGAGGCGGACATCGAGCCAATTGTCCCTATGAGTGCACTGATGAAAGATCTTGGATGTGAAGCAGTTTGGAAAGCAGGTGAACTGTCAATCATCCATCCAGGTCTTGGCAGTCTTCCAGTTCAACAAGCTGAAGGCTGTCCTCAGATTTCCAAACAACTTGCGCTGCAACTGATTGAGGAGATTGAAAGAAAGAAGTTGAAGATAGGTGAGAAGGCTGAAGATTTTTCACGAGAAGCAGAGTGGATGAGAAAGCTGGTGGCTGAACACCCGCTGCTGAAGTCTCTTCCCGGTTGGATCAGGGAGGGATTGCTTTGTGAGGTTGGAGAATGGAATCAGCTTCCTGCGAACAGAAGAGCGAGGAAGAGGATGCAGAGAGATGGATTCATCCTTCACCTGTTTGCAGGCCCAAATGAAGGATGCACACTACAACGAGCATGGCAGCAAGCTGGAGGTCAAGATTGGCAGCTGTTGGAGATGGATGTGGTCAGAGGAGAAGATCAAGATCTTCTGAAGCCAAAGGTCTATGGAGGACTGATGCGAGCGGCTTTGGAAGGAAGAATCAAGGCGGTAGTGGGAGGTCCAAACTGCAGGACGAGGAGCGTCTTGCGCCACTATCCCATTGAAGGGAATCCACAAGCTCCCAGGCCAGTGAGGAACTGGGGAGGAGGAGAGTTTGGGTCCAAGCACTTAACCCATCAAGAGCGCCAACAGGTCATAGAGGATGACTTGCTGCTGTGGCGAATGATCTTCATGTACATGGTAGCCACATTTGCTGCCAGGGCAAGAGGAGAACTTCAAGACCCGCTGTTCAGTCTGGAACAGCCGGCATCCCCCAAGCAATATATGCCAGAAGTGGTGAGCTTCTGGGACACTGAAGAATGGAGGAGGCTGAAAGAAGAGTTTTCCTTCACTGAGGAGACGTTTGAACAAGGCAAGTTGGGTGGGAAGTCTGCAAAGCCAACCACATTTGGGGGATCTCTTCAACTCAATGTGGAGGACTACAAGATCACTTCCAGAAGACATCCTTCCCGAGTCAACAGCTCCAAAGAACTAGCACGTTGGCCACCTATGCTGATGATGATGCTGGCCGATGAACTGATCAAGCAGGTCTATCAAGTGACCCCGAAGCTACCAATGTCGTGGCAAGAGCATCTGGCTTTTGGCCACATTCCATACCGGAGAGACTGCAAGATATGCCAGGAGACACTCCAGCAGTGTGCACCACACAGAAAGTCCAAGCATGTCATCGGAGGGGTCTTGAGCTTAGACACAGCAGGCCCCCTGATTTGTGCATACGATCAAGGAGGCGGGATGGCTCGATACTTTCTTGCAGGTGCTTTGACATGGAGGGTTCCGAAAGGGACGAACAAGCTGCAACAGCCACCAACTCAGCCACTTGAAGGAGATGAACCAAGGATAGAAGACAGAGAAGAGGAAGTTGAGGATGGAGAAGATCAACTCGGAATTTTGCCCCCTATGCCGCCGGTTGAGTTGGGGTCGGATCACGATGATCTGGTCCGCCTCCCGGCCAGGCAGGGTGGAGAGCCCGATCATGGCCCACCCGGTGGAGCGCCAGGTGAGATGGGGTCGGATGGAGGAGATCCGGTCCGCCTCCCAGGCCCACCTAGCGGAGTGCCCGCGGGTGAGATGGGGTCGGATGGAGGAGATCTGGTCCGCCTCCCCGCTGGGCAAGGTGGAGAGGCACCACAAGCCCCACCAGGCGGAGTGCCAGGTGAGCAGGGGTCGGACGAAGGATGTCTGGTCCGCCTCCCAGGCCCGCCAAAAGAAGAAAGTTTGGAAGAAACAACGGAACTTCGAGTGTTCCGAATGGCCTTGCCGATGGTCACAAAGACTTCCAGAGAAGTCAGTGCGACGGCCATGGAGTTCATCTTGAGGTTGAGAGCCGACGGCTATCACGTGGGCCGCATTCACTGTGATCATGGCCACGAGTTTGACGGGGCCTTCAGAAAATGGGCCTGCTAAGCAGAGGCATATACATCACAAAAACGGCAGGGGATGACCCACAAGGAAATGGCCGTGCAGAGGTCACGGTCAAAGCTCTCAAGACTCAAGTGAGGAGAGCACTGAGGCAGGCCAATTTGGACTCCTCATACTGGCCATGGGCGCTGAGACATGTGGATGAGATCAACAGGTGCATCAGAAAAGACATCACCCCAAACTGGCCGCAGTTCTTTCAAGAAGTGAGAGTCAAGAAACGCACCTGGAGGAGAGGAGCGTTTGAAGCGGCAGTTGAGAAGGTCAGATACGTGTGCCCATCCACAGAAGATCATGGCCACTGGATTCAGAAAGAAGGAGAAGCGCCACGAGTCACAAAGTACGTCCTCCAACAGACTGTTGAACCCATCGATGATGCAGTGTGGGTTGCTCTGGAGGGCAACATTTCCAATGCTTGGTCTGTGAGAAGGAGGCTGAGAGGAAAGACAGCAGTGAGGAGAATTCATGGCTCTCTTCAATCTGAACCAGAGGAGGAGACAAAGAAAAGAAGAGAGGAGGAGTTGAAGAATATAAGAGAAGTCATCGACCAGGAGATGAAAGACATCCTGGAGACAGAACCGCAGTTTGCGGCAGACATCGTGCAGGTTGTCGCCAAGCTGAGGAAGATGGCGATGCCAACAGAAGATGAGGAGCAGGTTCTTCAAACCAAAATCATCTCTCCCAAGGAGGTTGCAAGGAGATGGTCTGAATGGTTGGAGTCTGTGGACAGTGAGGTTCAAGCTCTCACTGATGAGAAGAAGGCGCTGAAGCAGCTCAGCGAGGAGGAGCATGAAAGTTTGAGAAAGAAGGCGATCGAAGAAGGGAGAAAGATTGAATATCTCCCATCAAAGATGGTGTATACTCTGAAGCCTGGAGAGAAGGGCGGAAAGAAAAAGACAAGATGGGTGGTATGCGGAAACTTTGAAGAGAAGAAGGAGGGTGAAGAGAATTACTCTCGAGGGGCAGATGCCACGGCGTTCAGAGTTTTGATCTGGGCGTCTGGGAAGTTTCAATGGAGAGGTTGGGTGATTGATGTGCGAACGGCATTTCTCAATGCCGACATGGAGGTCAAAGATGAGGAGAACCTCCTGCTGGTGAAACCACCCTTCATCTTGGTTGAGAAAAAGTATCTGGCTCCCAGCACTGTTTTCCTTCCACTCAAGGCCTTCTATGGCTTCCGCCGCTCTCCAAGACTCTGGGGAACGCATCGAGATCACAAGATGCGCCAGCTTGAAGTGAAGGTCAAAAGAAGAGGAGAGGTGATTCATGTGATGCTTTCTCAGTTAGGATCAGAACCTAACTTGTGGAAGGTGGTTCAGGTCGTGGGGGAGGAAGAAGATGAGAATGCCACCCTCACCAATGGGCGAATCTTGGGCTTGGTCATGACCTATGTAGATGATATCTTCGTGTCTGGCCAAGATGACGTTGCTGAGGCGCTCATTGGAGCTCTTCGTGACATCTGGACCACAACAGAACCACAAGAGGTCACAGAGAATCCCATCAAGTTTTTGGGCATGGAGGTTGCGAAAGTTTGGTCGAATGAGAATCAGCGATATGACTGGTTCGTCACACAGGAGTCATATGTGAAAGATCTCCTGGAGCGATATGACCAGGAGAAAGATGAGAAGAAGCAGAAGATCAGAAAGGTTCCGATCTCAAGAGATTTGGCTGCGATGGAGGAGGATCCAAAACCACCTTCACTTCAGAAGGTACGCCAGTGCCAGAAGGAAGTGGGGGAGCTATTGTGGCTGGTCACCAGAACGCGACCAGACCTCATGTTCAGCATCGCTCGAATGGGCGCCAATGTCACCAAGGCCACTGCTGCGGTTTTGGAAGCAGCAGCTCAGACCAGAGATTATCTACGAGGAGCAGTTTCTCATGGTTTGAAGTTTGGAGAAGAAAAAGAGAAGGAGGTAGCCATTCAGGTTTGGTCTGACGCGTCGTTTGCGCCAGAGGGTGAAGAATCTCACGGATGTTTCACTGTGATGGTGAACCAAAGTGTCCTCTTCTGGCGTTCTGGAAGGCAACCTTCCATTACGCTTTCCACTGCAGAGGCTGAGCTGAATGAGCTGATCGAGGGGATGAACGCTGGAGAAGCAGTTTCAGTGATTCTCCAGGAGCTGCTGGATGAAGTCAAAAGAATTGCCTGGTCAGACAGTCAGTCTGCCATTGCGATCCTAACGAGCGAGTCTGGAAGCTGGAGAACGCGTCACCTGCGAATGAGAGCTGCTTACGCCAAACAAGCTGTTTTCACAGGAGATTGGCAGGTCAGCCACTCACCAGGTGAAGATTTGAACGCTGACATCGGAACGAAAGCTTTGACTTCAGTGAGGCTTGAGAAACTGAAGTCCTTGCTGGGCATGGCCTCAAAGCCCAGCATCTCAGAGGAAGCAGGCCAAGAAGGTCCAACAGAAGAAACAAGCGAGAGCAGAAAAGATGGAGCTGAGATCAAGGTTGCACAGGCAGCCCTTGCAGTGAAACTGTTGACGATGGCTGCCATGATCTCAGTTGGAAAGTCACAAGAGGATGAAGAAGAAGAAACAGAATCAATGAAGGAGTTCAACATGATGATGGTGGCATTTGCGATTTTGATCGTGCTGCTCACCTTACTGGTTCAAGCTGCGTGGAAGGTAGGAGTAGGTGTCTATGAACGGAGGACCAAGGGGCTCTCTGACACGTCGAGCCGAAGTCTCCCTGCGCAGTCAGAATCAGGAGAAGGGCAGAGAGTCCAACGAGGAAGGAGGGGTTCTGGCGGTGAGGACGGGTCGAGTTCAGGAGATCGCTTGGTCCAGCTCCCGCCAGAGATCCGGGACGAGGTGAGAGGGCCCGTCCAGCCGGATGAGTTGGGGTTGGTTGGAGGAGAACCAGTCCGCCTCTCTGGCCCCGAGGATGACGATTCCAGCTCAAGCTGGTCCTCGGAGGGATCAACCCCTGAAGGGCAGGATCTTGGAAGTAGAATTGAGGGAGCCCTTCAAGAAATAGCTCTAGAAGAAGCCGAACTATGGCGACAGATTCGCCTGACTCCGCTACCACCTGTTCTGATCGAGCAGGTTGAAGAAGATCCAAATGAGGGCTTGGGGTTCACCGTGCTGAGAACCCGATATGGACAGGTGTATCATAGCTCCTTGACGTGCCGTCATCTCCAAGGAGCTCGAGTGTCACTTCCACAAGAGTTCAAATGGTGTCAGACCTGCCGACGCGTAGCTCTGCAAACCAGAGGAAGACCCATTCCAGGATCTCCATTGTATCTGTCCATTTCTGGCGAAGCTGCTCACACTGATGAACGATGCCCCTGGATCAATGAAATGAAACAAACGCCTTTTTGCTTGACATGCCGTGAGAGAGAAGGGGTAGTTTGAGTCAAATTTGAATGGCCCTTACGAGCCATCAATGGGGGAGTGCTGATCCTTCATTTGCTTTTTCACTACATGTCACCATAAACATGTGACATTTCAAATTCAATCCTGGCTGTATTCACAGCTGCCCTTTTACAGCTCAAACCGCAACTTGGCAGAACAAAAGGAGGTGTGGGGACGAGCGACTTGGTGGTGCACAAATCGAGAAGTGTAACATCATAAGGGCTGGAATCCTCATACCTACATCCCAAGTGGAGTAGTTTCAATCCCAATTCTGGAAAAATTTTGGACTTGCATCCATTTTTTCTTTACAAATCCTCAACTGGAGCCAGACCCAAGTCCTTCCAATCAGCTCCCAATTTGTAGACAAACCTTAGCGTCACAGGGGCGATAGAAATCCAAGTCTTGAAATAGGAATGGGTCAAAATTAGGTTACCCTCTGGTAAACGTTCACATAACTATGGAAAATCACCAATTTTGATGGGAAAATCCACTATAAATGGCCATTTGCAAGTCATTTTGACATAACCAGAGGGATCAGAGGGTAATCCCATCCTCCTCATATTTGTTATGCCCCCCCTTGAAATGGACCCCCAAGTCGTGGATAGATCCAATGCTAACACTAAAATAGAGATTCAATAATTATGAGGGGAAGGGATAACTGGTCTTTTGTTCGCTGGTCATCCAATTTCTGGTTCTACAAATCTGACCAAAACCAAACAGAGAACTGCTCGGTAGATCATCTCAGCTGTCATCGCCCCTGTTGGAATCCATATGTTTTGGACCTTTCCGACTAAGTTTCGGACCCTTTAACCGGCTCAAAAAAAGTCAAGAATGGCACACTTGCCGTAGATTCTTGGATGACCATACCACCTCTCTCGGTAAAATTGAGGATCAAAAGTAACTACATCTGTATATCAACTATATCAACTATCCCCCTGGGCAAAATATCCCACATCACCCGAACTGAGCCCATCGGACACGATGTTATCGCTCTGCGCCACTGCCAATTTGGTGCCGTCCGGCGAAAACTCGATCGTCTTCACGGTGTAAGCTCTAGCAGCCTGATTGCGAAACGTTGCGGCCAAATTTGACTGCTTGGAAATCAAGATTCAGTATATCACAATACATAATATACATTACATATACAAAATGTATATATATATAATTATATATATATATGCAATACAGAGTACATATCTCATATGTATCTTTGCTTTCACCTTTTTCACAAGGCCAAGAACCCATGGAAAAATCTACCTGGGACTCCCGGCCGCTTTATCTGCTGGCTTCGTTTGGAAACGATCCTGTTTATCGCCCTGCTCGTCAAAGAGCTGCACCTCAAGGGGAAGCGTTAAGGGAAGGACCTGTAGCCACTGTAGCCACTGAAATTGGTTGCTTTTGCTGTAGTGATTAGGGGTGTTAGTATATTTAAGTATCCAACTTTGGGTGAATTTGAGCCATATCCATACTATACCTCTATCCTTTTGGTAGTCTGACGTTGATGACGTTCCTGTCCAAAGGGATTGTCGACTGTGTTCCTCGTTCCATTGCTTTCAGTAACCTTTGGTGTTCAGAAAAGATCGGCCTCAAACTAAGTCCTTTAAAATAATAAAACAAAAAACATGTGGCTCAAAATCAATCCCATCCCACCTAATATTCTATAATACTATATAAAGCCAAAAACTGCAATGTGGCTCAAAAGAAATCCCTTTTACCTAATATGATATTCAAACTAAACGAAACCCTGTTTCTTTTGGATCTATTCATGAATTGGGGCTCCTATGGGCGATATTATATCTTAGGGGGATCATATGATTGACCCCAAAAATTGGAAGCCATGATGAGTTTTTCCAGTTCTAAACCCCATTTGATGTTGGTAAAACAACAATAAACCATCCCCAATTGCACCATAGGTGGTATAAACATGTATAGACCATTCCCAAATTTCTGGACGGTTTATGGCATTGTTTTAACCCCATAGAAGATTGTCGATCATGATGGAGATCCATCCCCATCTCTGCCGGGCCACAATTTTGTCCGCTCCCACTGTCGCAAGCCTTGACAGCGAACGCGTTCACGCAAAGGAAATGTGTTTTTTACGTATTTTTCGACATACTTGGTGGCTGACCCCTAGGAAGTGGCTGATAACCTGGGGACATAAGCAGGGTACGTAGGGGCAATGTCGAGTTTTGCTTGGGCAACCCACTGACGAACTGGGGAGAAGCATCAGTCCAACCGCTGTATCCCCCATGTTCGGTCCATTCCAGGCTCTTCATTTTTCCGTCCAGAAACACCCAATATGTTCTGTTGTCGGTTTCAAAACCTCCAATGCGAGTCCTTTGGGATACATCCCTGTATATGATAATTCTTTTACAATATCATATACATTAAGTGTTAAGGTTATACACAAGCATATTGACATCCTATATCTTTGCTGCTCGCATGCTTACTTTCTCGATCTAGTATTGATCAAACATGAAAGTCACAAGTCTGACACCGAGCCTTTAAAATTACATCATGTTTTTCCTAGTAAACATCATGTTTCAGAGCCATTTGCACCTCAAGTTTTGCTGATACAAATCCAAAAAACACCAAATCGCAGCAGCAAATTCCCCGCTGAGCCTGGTGGTGTTGGCACTCCAGGAAATCGAGGTCACCTGAACCAAGCTGAAAATGGCCGAAAAAACCCATGTGTTTCACCATGTTCTGGTTGGTGGTTTCAACCTACCATTGGTTGTAATATACTGTTAATGATGATGGTTAATACTAATGGTTATGATGATGGTTAATGATGGTTAATAATAATCTGGTTGGTGGTTGAGCCCTAGCCCTCTTAAAAATGATGGAGTTCGTCAGTTGGGATTATTCTTCTCAATATATGGAAAAAATAAAACATGTTCCAAACCACCAACCAGAAAATGTCCCTTATTTTAATTCTGACAAATAGAGGAAAGAAACAAATACTATGAGTACCGTGTATATCTATGTTTGTCATGGGCATTTTATTGCACGAAACCATATAAGTCATGCTAAACCCTGGGAGTTTTGGGAAACAAATCATTTGACCACCATATGTTTGAGGTGCCAGTTGATGGATTGCCTTGAAACTTTAGCTTCGTGTTGTGTTTAAAGGAAGCAAATGCAGGAAACCAACTCCTTTTAAGCTTTTTTCATACCAAGTGGTTCCTGCAAAAAAAAAAATGTTTCACGAATTTGGGAGAAATGCAAAACATAAAAACCCCAGTTGGGGGACAATTTCCCCTGAAACTTCTGAATTCGAATGGACGTTTTCCAAAAAACAGGGGTACCCCATCTCATGATGACTTGGGGTCCATGATAGGAAAGTCCTCGTTGAATTGTCTCATCCCATGGTTATCACCATCATCCGATTAAATCAACCGTTCATAGACCATTAAACCACTAAACCATTCAAAAACCATGAAAACGGAAGATTTCATGTACCCCCCCCTAAAGCTGTGGCAGTTTTAAGAAACGATGATGAACAATGGATCTTCCATCGTTTACATGGGGATAACTCTTCTATGTTCTGAACATGTATGCACATATATACATATACATAAACATATACATACACATACACATATATACATATACATATACATAGACATATATATATATATACATATAATTGGGCACCCCGAGAAAAAGTTATACCCTATGGTTATTTAACAAAGCTATGGAAAATCTCCGTGTTCAATAGGTAAATATAAGTAAATCATTCATACATGTACCATTTTCCCCTATAGCTACCCCAAATCTATCATTTCGCAAAGTGCCTCGCCTTTGACATGCCCTCATCGGGCGGATGGAGGTTTTTCAGATACCTGCGGACACTCATCCGGAAAAAACAGGTCGTTTGGATCAAGATGCCATGATTAATATAATAATGATAATCATACCGATAGTCATAATGTAATGTTTGAACCAGCCAGTTCCAAGGAGATGTATCAAACTAGCATGTATAATACATATATATATATCTTCTTCTTCAGTGCCCAACACGGTCGTGTCGTTGGCACACAAGGACAGGACAGCGAGGTAACAAAATAACGCAACTGCACAACCAAAGATGGTAAGATGTGACACATAACCGTCAAGGTGTGATCTCCGTCGCAAACTCAATTGGAGAATCTACTAAATAGAAGCGATATAGAAGCGAAAGGCGCTCTGGCCTTATCCACAAACCCCGTGCCTCTGCACTGCTTGCGTGTGCAAAAAATAATTTGGTCAAGGTCTGCTTTGAAAACAGCAGGGTTGCCAAAACTAGCCCACGCAGCCTTCAAAGCAATGTACGACCAATTATGCCTAGGTCTACCTTGTCGTCGATGGGGTGGTGTCGCTAAACAATAATTTGACGAAATAACCGAACATCTCATGACATCATTGCCGTGGGACCTAAGAAGGGGAACACGAAAGGTAGGTAAGCAAGAAAGGAACCGAAGGGAGAGGGGAGGGAAAAATACATAAAGTGGAGTCTGGTAAAAGCGACGCGGCCATTTTCTTTCCAAAAATATGAAGGGGAGTCTGGTAAAAGCGACTGAAAGGCTTCGGCGATGTGGTTGGGGTTGGTGGCGGTTGTGGTGTTGGTGGTGTTGGTGGTGCTGGTGGTGTTGGTGTTGTTGGTGTTGTTGGTATTGGTGTTGTTGGTGTTGTTGGTGGTGGTAGTGTTTTTGGTGTTGTTAGTGTTGTTAGTGTTGTTGGTGTGGTTGGGTTTGTTGGTGGTGTTGGTGTTGTTGGTCGTGTTGTTGGTCGTGTTGTTGGTGTTGGTATTGTTGTGTTCGTGTGTTGTTGTTGTTGTTGCTGTTGCTGTTGTTGCTGCTGCTGCTGTTGATGGTGTTGTTGTTGTTGTTGTGTGTTGTTGTGTGTTGTTGTGTGTTGTTGTGTGTTGTTGTGTGTTGTTGTGTGTTGTTGTGTGTTGTTGTGTGTTGTTGTGTGTTGTTGTGTGTTGTTGTGTGTTGTTGTGTGTTGTTGTGTGTTGTTGTGTGTTGTTGTGTGTTGTGTGTGTTGTTGTGTGTTGTTGTGTGTTGTTGTGTTGTTGTGTGTTGTTGTGTGTTGTTGTGTGTTGTTGTGTGTTGTTGTGTGTTGTTGTGTGTTGTTGTGTGTTGTTGTGTGTTGTTGTGTGTGTTGTGTGTTGTTGTGTGTTGTTGTGTGTTGTTGTGTGTTGTTGTGTGTTGTTGTGTGTTGTTGTGTGTTGTTGTGTGTTGTTGTGTGTTGTTGTGTGTTGTTGTGTGTTGTTGTGTGTTGTTGTGTGTGTTGTTGTTGTGTTGTTGTTGCGTTGTTGCGTTGTTGTGTGTTGCGTGTTGCGTGTGTTGTTGTGTGTTGTTGTGTGTTGTGGTGTGTTGTTGTGTGTTGTTGTGTGTGTGTGTTGTTGTGTGTGGTTGTGTGTGTGTTGTTGTGTGTTGTTGTGTGTTGTTGTGTGTGTTGTGTGTGTTGTTGTGTGTTGTGTGTGTGTTGTGTGTTTTGTGTGTTGTGCGTTGTGCGTTGTGCGTTGTGCGTTGTGCGTTGTGCATTGTGCATTGTGCGTTGTGCGTTGTGCATTGTGCGTTGTGGGTTGGTGTTGTTGTTGTTGTTGTTGTCGTCGTTGTTGTTGTTGTTGCTATTGCTGTTGCTGTTGCTGTTGTTGTTGTTGTTGTTGGTGTTGGTGTTACCCCTGCAGCGTTTTTGCTCGGTTCCGTAGTGGCCGAAAATCGTCAAATCGGTGGTGTTTTCGCGTGTTTTTGCAACTCTCGGAACAAAAAACACCGTAAATACTGATGTTTTTGGCGGGTCGGAAGCCCAAAACCACGGTATTTACGATGTTTTTTGCCTCTGGCAGTAAAAAGCACGGTATTTACAGTGTTTTTTGGCCAGCACCTAGCAAAAACACTAGTATTTACGGAGGTTTCACCATGTAGCAAAATGTGGTTTCTTGATCCGAAAAGAACAAAAATACTGTAAATTACAATGTTTTGAGTCTGCTCTTAGGGTGCGTGGGGGGGAGGGGGGAGTGGGGGGGGGTACTAAAATGACTAGCAATCTCCTGAAGAATCAGGTAACGGGGCTGGCCGCCCTCCCCTTTACTTCGTAAAGTAAAACTCAAGGTAGCCCCTCTGGAGCTACCTTTCGTGATATGACGTATATCTCTATGTCAAACCTTCTGTATCTAAAATGTCTTGCCTCCCAAAACTCTAGCAAATCAATGCAATTCACTGTCAGTCTACTACCTCGGAATTGCCAGAAACACGTAATTTCTGAGACAAGAATCTGGGAGCGACATCTCCGTGTCTGTTTCTAAGAGTATATTCTACACCTAGATATGAGATTGTCTGAAAATCGGATACACCAAAATTTGGTGGTTCATCACCATGTTCCTACTAAAATTGCCTTTTGGTAGCATCTCCTACCTTTCGGCAAAGCCATATCTCATAGCATGAGGTCCAACTTCCGTCTCCTGGTTGAAACCCTCATTTTCCATGGTTGAATGGCCACTTTGTGGGTTATCCAATGTGTTGAGACAAACCTACAAGCTGGTGCCCCCCTAGTTATAAGATCACCACTGTTATAAGTTGGTTTATACTCCCCATTAAGTATAGATAGAACCCCCATCAACCCTAGATATTGGACTTATAAATCAACTTAGCTAACTATGGGGCACCACTTTGTATTCCAACTCATTGCCAAGTTCTCCCGTTCTTTGGCTCCCGTTGGCCCGTTGCTGTGAAAAATGTGGGGGTGAAGTTGAGGTAATTCATGGGTATAACTATGGTACTCACAGAAGTTGGCATATGGACACCTATAACTATGTATGTTATATATATATATTGTTATATATATAATGTTATATATATAATGTTATATAAATAATGTTATATATATAATGTTATATATATAATGTTATATATATATATAAGATGTTATATAATATATATATATATGTTTTTGTATGTAATTATACATGTCTGATGTTAAATATATAATATATGATGTTACTGGAACTGCACCCCCAAGTACTCCCCCACAACTTTAGTATTTCAATCCTTACGCTCCTTGGCGTTGGCTCTCCACCTCCCAACCCAGTGCCATGGATCCAGCATATGTCCCTATTGTTGGTTGTACAGTCCATTCGTATTCCAATGATATACGAATGGAATATATATATATATCCCATTGGAATGGTTTTCATATCCCATTATCAATGGTTAATATCCCATGAATCTCCCATTCTATCCCACCACAATGATACTTGCTTAAAAATCTCATTATATCCCATGAAAAATCACCTGTTTGCCTGGTGAACCTTAAGCCTTTTTTCTGAGTAAATCCTCATGAAATCACCCGAGCCGAGCCGACCTCAGCTGCATGGCTCCTCCAAGAACTGCCAAATTCAGGTGGTCTGAATTTACTAGGGTTAACTATGGTTTATGGTATGTCCCTGGTTATTTTTTTGATATGGTTTCTAAAGCAACTTATAACTGGAGGGCCTCTCACATCGGGAGGATCATCCTTGGAATAGTCATAGTCATAGGGGATTTACTGAAGTACCCAGCAAAAAATGATTTATATCAAACAACATGTGGTGTTTGATCCAAAATAGACAAAGCAAATAAGCAACATCTACAAGAACTTGTCAATGACCCCGGTCAACAACTCATGAGTTTATCAAATTCTCATATGTGCAACTGACTTACACTCTCATCTTTCCTGACCATTTACTGTATTAGTTGCGGCGATCCAAGTAAAGAGATCACTAAATAGATAGCAAAACCCATTTTTTTAATACCCAAGAACCAGGACTCATGAATTTCCCATGGACCATGATGGACCTACAAAATCTCCAAGTTTAACACATTTCTTTGTCACACATAAAGGACTCAAGCGACCAAAGTCTGGGGATGAATCGCAGCGTTCCAAACCAAGCGGGTCCAATGCAACCAACAGATTGGTTGTACAGAAACCATGCCACTTGTGGAGAGAAAGTGGGCAATTGGTCGCATTTATCGTAGCAAAATGTGTACCCTCTGGTAAACTAACATAACTACCAAAAATTGGCCCATGAAAATAGTTGATCTACCATGATCTACCTATGTTTCATGTTGCTCATGTTTCTTCATGATTAACGGGCTCACCCCTGGAACACGTTGAACCATCCCAGGAAACTGCCAGTTTCGTTTCGGCTCCTGGACCCCGCTCAGCACGCCCCTTCGCAATGCAGCTTGGCGAGACTGAGCCCTAGCTAGGCTGGCAAGCCAAAGTGGCGAATGATGGAGTTTAGCTCACAAATGCTACAAATAAAATGCAAAAAGTAAAATGCAAAAAGTAAAATGCAATCCATCCCACCCGTGCCAAAGTGTGTGTTTTTTTGTCCAATTCGCCCATGCGTCCGCCGCAAGGGATGCAGCTAGTTCAGGATTTGCCCATTTGCCACATCACCAAAGCGAACGGCCGGAGCCGTCAAGTTTCGCATTGCAACCCCCCAGCCGGGACACTGACAGGACCAGTGAGCACGGCATCGCAATTTTGAGGCGGGATTAACCGTAGGATGGCCGGGGCCCCGTGGAAAAATGCCATGGTACCAGAAAGCCAATTTCTACACAGTAGGATTACAACTCCAGGATGGTTAAAGGGTTTAGAAGCGGTGAAAATCCCATCCTGGTATCACATAGGTTAAAACGACCCTCAAAGAGAGCAAAACAACAAATTAACACGATTTTTCAAGGTATGTGTTTAATACTAGGGGGACGGTTGTATTCTCATAGTTTTAATGTGCTGAATCCGATAAAACCCGGCCATTTTCTGGGTAGTATCTTTAGCATCCCCCATGTCTGGCAAATTTAGCTAAAAACCAAACAGCCAAGCAGTAACAATTGAACCTCCATCTAGCAACTCGATGGTGGAAGCTGGGAATTTGATGGTTTGTGGCATTGGATTTACCACATTAAGATACTGTAACCAGTACGACTTGAAGGACTGGTTGGACCCGCCATCTATGTCAATCCACATCCCGCGTTTTCGCTTTTTCGACCAGGCATGTGCTGGTCCTGAACTACGAGAGGTCCCGCCCTTGTCACTGATTCAGATTTGAATCAATTGTGGTGATGTATTAGAATATGCATACAATTAATTACTGTATATATATATACATATATATACACGTATAAATATTATGAAGACCTATTGCAATGTCAGTAGGTATTCTTCTTCCACGCCTATTTCTGGTCGGAAGAATCGACGTCATTCATGTCATTCAAAATGAGGATTGCCACCATCCCAGAAATTCAATCGGGCGAGTTCGCCATCCGGCGCTCTATCTGTCCGTGGATTGGATCCCCATCTCCCTCGAGAATCTTTGTCGAGAGGGGCGATATGTCAACCAGAGGATGCGAGGGATGAGAATTTCCTCGACAAAGCGTCCTCCTGAAACAGGACGCAACGCAAAGCGTCGCACGGCGCCGGAAAAAAGGAAAGGCAGGAAGAACGATCTCACTGATCTTACTGGCAAAAAATGTCATGTATCAAACATATATATCATATATATATATATTATGTATATTCTGTATGTCTTTCTATGTCTACATATATATTTACACACATATATATATATATATATATGTATATATATGGGTGTGTGTATGTGTGTGTGTGTACGTGTCCCAGTATACATCGTAAGTCCCAGTATACATCAAAATGTCAATGATGCGTGACTGAAGCTTGGGGGGACAACCAAATACTACCCGCAACGGTGTCATCAAACATGGCTGGGAAATGCTGCACATGATGGAGATTTATATATATATAGGTAATGCATATATATATATTTATATTTATGTATGTCTAGTGTCACAATCAGCAAAAACAAAACGGATTTTCCAGCAAACCATGTGACTGATGACCGGAGGGTAACTCCTAAGTGCCAGTTTTGCAATTCAGAAATTTTCAGGACTTTTGGAGAGCCGTCCCCCATGGGCCATCCCAAATGTCAGAAATGCCATGGGAAACCCACAGAAATCAACAGAAACATGTGCGACTTCCCACCAGCCCATCTCGCCCATCTCGCCCGTCTCGCCTGAGCCAAATGGTCTTTGAAGAGATCCACTCTGCTGCGGATGTCACCAATGTAATCCGCCTCGCACAGCCGAGCCGCTCGAGCCCTTCACCTCTCCAGTCTTCTTCGGAAACATGCTGAAGTTTTTCTTGCTTCGTCTCCAAGCAATTTGCGGGTAGACTAGGATGTGTTTGAAATAAGGGATTGGAGATGAAATTACAAACTTAATTAACTAATCAGGTGTACATCATTAATAACCCATCAATACAAAGGGGAGAGAGAGAGAGAGAGCAGTCAATCGCAACTGTCCTAGGGAAACCATGCGTTCTAGACATTCATTCTATGTTAGTTTACAAATGTACCCCGAGGCTAAGCCCGAGCCGCACCAAAAAACACCCCAGCCTCTCTGCCTTCAAGCATGACTGTAATTATTAAATATGATTGTAAGAACCATAATTCATGGAAATCACCATAATCTCAAACCATATGCTAACTAGTATTAACCATAGTGAACCAGTATCAATGATTATTAACAATGATTAACCAGCGTTAACCATTGTTAAACACAATGATAACCAGTAATAAACTATTCTCATACTACCATTAACTATGGCTAACCTTATAATATCTTATTCGCATCTTACAATAATGGCTACTATAAACCATCAGAAACCATTATATTAGTGTTTGCCATGAAAAATATAATACATCGGAAAAAGATGTGTTATCTCATCATAATGACTAACATTAACACTTACCAACTATTACTGTATCAGTTATGTTTTACCAACTATGATCTTAGCGACTTAATCTATTGACCGTATATTAACCATTATTCACCCTTGCTAAATGATGCTCGTTGAAAAAACTATTAACCATTATTAATATTAACCTCTATTAGCCAGTATGTTCACCATCACTAACGACCCATGTTGTCTCGAAATAACTCTACCCATGTTATACCAGTTTTATACCATTCATGATCGTCGCACCATGGAATTAATTTTAACATTAATATTAACCATTAATATCAACCATTAGTTTTAACCATCAGTATACCATCAATACACCATTAATGTGTATGTATGTATGTATGTATATACATATATATATATCAACATTAACCACTAGGGATAATTTTAAAAAAAAAATGTGTCCCCATCCCTCATGATTGACCATTTGTTTTATCAACCATCAACTATTGTTATCAACCATATATATATTTTACCCTCTGGTAGTTTAACATAGCTATTGAAAATGGCCCAGTCGAAATAGTTGATTTACTAATAGCATGGTGGATCTTTCCATGGTTATGTTAACGTTTACCGGAGGGTAAACCTCCATTTTCCTATGGTTTTCCTATGCTTTTCCTATGGTTTTCCTATGGTTTTCCTATGGTTTTCCTATGGTTTTCCCGGGGTAACATCAACCAACCATGGGATTTTTCGCCTTCATTCTCAGGATCCGGTCCAGGCCATTGACGTAGGCGTCCACGTCGCTGCCCGGCCGGTCCACGTTGTTCAGGTGGACCATCTCTTCCTGCCGGGCCCGGGGGAACCCGGCCGGTTGTGGTTGGTCTCCTCGAATCCCAACGTGGCTAAAGTTTGGAAAAAAAAAACATAAAAAACTGGTGGCTAAAGTTGGTGAGAATAACACACACCCAATGAACTCTAGTGAAAATTAGAGTTATACAATGTTATACATATCCCCCCATCAACTCATGTTATACATATCCCCCCATCAACTCATGTTATACATATCCCCCCATCAACTCATGTTATACATATCCCCCCATCAACCCAATCGTTCACCAAGTTCTTTGCGTCAGACTGAGCTATCGTAAACGGGGCCTCAGGTGAACCAATCCAGAAACGTGATTCTTGGGGACCACCAGGTGTCTATCCCCTCTGACCTCATGATGGCTACAGTTTAATATATTACAACATATATATTCTCATTACATCCCCATTATGTCCACATTACGGCCCCCATCATGTCCCCATTATACCCGCATTATGTATGTATACATTCTGCTTGGCCAACTCCCTCTGCTCGAGTTTTTTCAGGTTCATTCATCTATTAAAGTCATGATAAAATCACAGAATAAATTCATGGTTAGGACCCACTAGAACCATCAATTTGAGTCCCATTAGAGTCATCAATTGATGGTTGAAGTCTATGCATGCATCACACATATCAAAAAAAAGATATGGTCAAAGTCACTGTTGATGGTTGAAGTCACTGTAAAATAAGTCGCCATAACTATCCATTAACTATAGTGAATTAGTTAACTATAGTCGCCAGTACACCATTAACTCTTCGATCGGTACACCATTAAGTATAAGGTTTCACCATATTTGAGTTAACATCAATTAAAATCCATTAACATCCATTAACATCGAATTAACTATAAATTTTCACCATACTTTAGTCCTTATATATACCACCTATACCCATATATATATATATATTTATGGTGATTAAAAATGGGGGATGGTGTGTCCATTCCACCGCCTTGATCAACTCAACCATCATGTCGATATGCTGCCGATGGGCGCTGATCAGCTCCTCCGATGGGGATCACGTGGATTTCCCGATTGGCGAAAAAAACTCACATAGCTATTGAAAATCCTAGGGAAATGGTGGTTTAATGGTGGTAAAAAATGGTGGTTTAATGGGGTTTAACCAACAAAATGGTGATTTTAATGGGATGTACCCTCTGGTAAACGTTTACATATAATATGGTATGTAAAATTGTATATAATATTGTATATAACTATATAATATATATATATATATATATACATATCTGGTAAACGTTTACATAGCTATTGAAAATGGCCCAGTCGAAATAGTGGATTTACCCATTAATAGCATGGCGATTTTCCATAGTTACGTAAACGTTTACCAGAGGGTAGATATGACATAGGGTGAACTAAGATACATTGTGCAAAACCCACCAGTTGTCATTTTAATGGGAAAACCATAGGGTTTTCCACATCGATGTGAGTTTTTACCCTAGGGTAATATTGTAACCAACCATGTGATGCAAGGTGCCCCCAAATGTGATGTTTCTTGGCTTATAAAGCCATGAATACTAGTAGTATCCCGGTAGTCAACCTAATCGTTCACCAAGTGATGTGCGTCAGCCATTGTCTCTGGGCTGTAAGCCTTGCATATATTATCCCTTGGTTCAATATCCCCTTCATATCCCTTTATTCCATGGATAGTCCATTATGAATAATAGCGTTCCCCTAGTATGAAACACCCACCATTTGTCCCCATGGTGGATGTAGGCTATAAAACTGCATATGACTGGAACCATACAATGCGGTTGTGTTTAATATTGGTGTGCCGGATTCGATGAAAGAAATGTGGCTTTTCATCAGGGGAAAAAAACGAGCGGAAGTCGGTGAGAGCCGAACTGCCCAATTTGGTGGTTTTCTCATTGACTGACAATGGTCATATCCCATGATCACTGGTGAAAAAAGCCTGTTTTGAGCTTCATCGCAGATCGTAGTTCTAATGTTTTTCCATCAGTTTGCTGAAAATCAACTGTTCATGATGAATCCGCATTTCTCAATTTCTCAGCCAGCTTCGACCTCCATTTCTCGCCCGTTTTCCCACCCAAAAGGTGCCCGTTTTCTTCGAAAGCTGTCCTCCTCTTCGGCGAGGATGGTGCCGATGAGCCGGTCGTGCTGCCGGGCCAACCTTGGGGGATCCAAGCATGTCCAAAAAAGTCCTGAAATGGGGAAATGGGGATATATCTCCTGGGATGCTCTGGAGATATATTTCTATATTATATATATATATGTATATTGCATATATATATATGTACATACATAATCTATATATATAATGTATATATATATACAATTTATATAGATATATATATATATACAAAGTATATATATATATAAGCAACAAGCTCATTGTCACGGTCATGATATCCCATCTCCCAGTAGATACCCGCACAGAAAGAAAAAAAACTTGGTCCTTTGAACCCCGGAACTTGGTTTCTTAGTAAATCTTGGATGTGCAGCACCCAATGATGGGACACCAAGTGGGTGAGCAGCAATATGAAATCGCCACTTAGATAACCAACCTTCGCTCCCCAGTCATATTCCATGTCTTTTTAGCCAGGATTTCCATGATCGTCGTTTCTGTTGGTATAAAACCAGATACTAACATAAAATCATCCGTGTAAACCACTTGTTTGAAGTCTTTTGATACCAACACTTCCGAGAGTGAAGCCTTACTTATGTGGTTTTATGTGGTTTTAACAGGTTTAAACCATGGAAAAAAAAACATCCCTCGATGGGTCAACGGCAAGGCAACTCGTCCAGCGCGGCTTGCGAGTCGGGTAGAGGTAGCGCCGCGGCCACCTGGCGATGATCAATGGATACCACCGTAAGATATGATGACTAGGAGTGGTTAAAATCGTGGTTTTCATGGTTGTTTAATAGTGGTTTTCATATAGTAGTAATCTATTCTGAATTAATAGTACAATAGTGGTCAAGATAGTATTCTATTATTCTAGTACAATAGTAATCTAATATTAATATAGTGGTCATCGTAATAGCAATCTATAGTACAATGATGACTGGCTTGATCGACTGGCCGGGAATTTCCCGATCAACATAGCTGGGAAAATCCATCGGTTACTAACTATAGCTGGGTGAATGTAATTCAAGTGCGCTGTTGATAAAACCATGGGTTGGTATCATACCCCACAAGTTGAAATATCATCTTTAACATCATCATTATTTAACGCTACAAAATATCCAGTTTCTTCACTGGAACTGCACCCCCCAAGTACCCTCTGGTAATTTAACATAACTATGGAAAATCACCATGTTTCATGGGAAAACTCACTATAAATGGCCATTTTCAATAGCTATGTTAAATTACCAGAGGGTACTTGGTAATGCTTGATTAAGAGTGGCTGGGGGGAACGGATGAGACTTGGCGGCTTCATCCCTTACTGCTGTAACCAGCCAGACCCATCTTCGAACCGACCGGGTTCATCTGAAAATGTTGGGAAAACCACTAAAGCACTGTCTGCTAATCTAATCTAGTCATGGAATACCACCACTTTTTGATAGGTTTATAATCTACAAATGGGCCATGTTTATCCCATGTATCTGAATTAATATCCCATTTATATCCCATTTACCCTCAAGTAAATTCATATCGACCCTCGCATTTTGGTGTTGGAAGATTAGTTTCGGCAATTTTCAGGGTTAAACTGTTGATTTACTGGAAGGGAATTGCCATAAATTATCTCTATTAAATCCCTATCAAATCATTATCATACCATTTATATCCCATTCATATTTCGTTCATATCTAAGTTACATCCCATTTCTGTCCCATTCATATTCTATTGATATCTCATTATACCACCATTTTTGTTGGTTAGATACCATGAAATATCATTCAATCAACATTTTTGGTTAACTTATCATGATTGTTGGCTAAATCATGTTAAATCCCAAGAATCTCCCATCAAATATGCCATTCATATCTCATTTGGAAGTTTCCTGAAAATAGTGGTACCCCTAAATCATCCATTTTTATAGGATTTTCCATTATAAACTATCCATTTGGGGTACCCCCATTTATGGAAACCCCCATGTCTGTGCCAGAAAAATCCAGGTATCCCATCCCACCGTTGTTTTTCACCCGGCGTACCGGATCCTGCGTGACGCCGAAGCCGGGCGAAGCAAAGCTGATGGGCGGCGTTGGTGCGGTCCTCGAGTTCAGTCGAGTTCCTAACGGCCTAAGAAAGTGACTGAATTCCATGGTTTATGGTAGATATATGATGTTAATGGATGATTATAATGTAGATATAATGGTAATATAATCATCCATATATGTAGATATAACTATAGTTCATGGATGTTAATGATTTGTTAGTGGTTTATGGTTTATGATGGATGATTTACCTATAGAATGGTGCCCCCAGTTCGTTAGCAAAGTTGACGCACATAACTTGGTGAATTCTATGGTTTATGATAGATGTTACTATAGTTAATGGAGTTTATAAACTAACTTATAACTGGGGGCCCATCTTGTAACAGATTGTTGGATATTACAATGGGATATTACAAACATGGTTGATATCATATATATATATCATATGGATATTACACTACAATATGATAGGTGGTTTATCCCACTATTCATGGGGTTTCAACCATCCAAGGTGGTGCCGGATTTCTTCCATCCACAGTATTGTTGGATATTACACTACAAATTATACTCTTGGGAATTGATCTATGATTTTCCAAATGGAAATCCAATACAAATGGAGGTTTGAACAGGAAATCAATGAACTGTGAATTATATATATACACGTATATTATTGGATCCGTTATACGGAGTATTGGGATAATTATTGGTTATTGCTAATATTGGGAATATAATACACTAGTGGAATTTTCTTCGGGATATGATATGAGAAACATATTGCATTAACATACATCAATGGTGGGTAATATATCACTAAAGGTACTAAGTACTAGCGCCATATCTTGATGCCAGATAATATTTCACTTATGCAGTAGTTACCATTACTAGCAGAAAAGGTGTGTAATATTATCATGACATAATATATCACTAATCGTACTAGTTCCACATATGTGTATGAGCCAGACCTGATTTTTGTGTGGTAAAGCCAACGCCATCAGCCATCACTTCATTTGCTTCCAACCTGTCAGACCTTGATCCAAGATGGTTTTGTATAACCATGGTGGGTTTTTACCCATAACATGTGATAAATTATGTGTATACATATTATATATATAACTTTATTTTGATGGTATAAATGTGTACAGTAACACTTAGAGTACTAATTCTGATGATATTTTATGCTACATCACATAAGTTGTTTACATTGTTTACCCCATGGGATAGCCCAGAACTCCAGAATTCCACCATTGGTAGGTGATATTCCCATTGCACGATCTTCCCATGATATATGCTATACTCCTACAGTTAATATACGGAATATCAAATATATCTTGTAATTATATATATATGTACAGTATCCACCATTTACAGTTCATTCCCTGCAAGGTGCCTCCACAGCTATTTCTGTTACTTAACCCCCATTCACTATAGCTACAATGTGAGGCCCCCAAGATAGCTAAGTTGGTTTATAACTCCAATAACTATGGTTTATGGTACTTATAACGAGCTAGTTGCTGGGGCGAATCTAAACCAACAAACATCCCTGGGGGGCCTCACATTGTAACTATGGGGCACCGTTTGACACACATGGCTTTCTCCAAGGCGCTGAGGCGACGTCGCGAGGCCTTTGTCAAGGCTCTTGGTGCCGTTGGGCACCAGACCGCCACTGCTCTGCAGGGCCGCCTGCACTTGTTGCCTTGGGATGGATTTCTATGGCATATGATGGGAATATACCATTTCAATCCAGTTCATGGGATATATCATCAACTTGATAATCATTTAATAGTGGATTTATTTTCATTATCTATGGGATATATATATATAGGGTGCGTGTGTGTGTGTGTCTGAAAACGAGGCATAGCCGGCATAGCCCAAAGATCGCAAGAACTCTCTGAGACTATGACACACCCAAAAAAAAAAAACGGTGCATCTAAGGGTACCCAATTTTCAGACAGACCCACATATTGGGGGATATGATTGGGTTCAAGCAACAAGAAAATCGTTGGGTATTATGGAAATATCATGGGAATTTACCAATGTTTATGATATTTATATATATATGGATGTGGGTCAAAATGGAAGACCTAGGGGACCACAGATGGAAATGTCTAGTTTAGTATTCACCATCCAATTATTGGGGTACCTAATTTTGACCCATACCCATATATAATTGGATTCAAATAATCAACAATCTGATATTGGATTTGGTCCAGAAATGAATGGAGTTATCCACATCGCCTATTTTTCGTGGGGATAATTAGGCGTGTTGGATTGTTGGATCTTGCTAACGCAACAGAACATGGATTTCATATAACAAGAATGTGATTAGTCTGAATTTCTTGGTATATCAGATGCCAAAAAGAGATTCAATGGGGATGTAAGCCACCAAAACGGTTGGATATCAGCCAGAAATGGGGGCTAAAAAAAATCCACCGTTTTCCAAAGATATCGTGGGGCCTCATGGCCTTGGCTGCTTGGAACCTCGAAAATTTGCTGGAGAGGTGTCCATCAGATTCATAATCCATCTGCAAATCCACAGAATCCTCTAACGGATGTATCCTCATCCACAAAGCATCACCATGGTTTATCATCATTTTCCCTTCCGCAGACGTCCTGGAACTACGCCAAGATCAACTGAACGAAGCTCCGCTGTGAATGGAAGCAGATTGGAAACGCCTAACTAATGGAATTAATTACTAATTAAATTAGATGTACGAATTTTCCTCAAGCTTGTCAAGAGGGTGTTTGAATTAGCTCTGACCTATTCCACTAGGCATTTCAAGTGCAACTAGCGAGAAGCCCTTGCAGGGCTTGTGTCGCTTTCGGTCAGTTGATGTTTTATTGTTTTTTTGAGTTTATTTCTTCTCTTTTTGCCAAATATATTGTTTGTAGTTATGCCATAGAACAGCCTTGTCTTGCCGAGTAAGATGGCATCCTCGGCCAATACCGGCCCTTGGTATGAGCCAGCAAGGCAAAGGGGATATTTTAACTTTGGAGTCTGCTTGGGTTTTATATGTTGGGACGTCAATAGTCATTGAGAATCTGAACAGTTTTTTGGTGGTTCGGCAATACCACACGTCTACCCATTGTTTCTGCAAGCTCGCTCGTAGTATTTTGGTGGGGGTTGTACAACTTTTTCAGCAGGGATCAACGAAAATCCAACATTGGATTCTACGTCGGTGGGATTCACATCATCATCATCATCATCATCACCACCATTAACCATTAACCATTAATAACCATTAATAACCATTAATAACCATTAGTAGCCAGTAATAGCCATTAATAGCCATTAATAGCCATTAATAGCCATTAATAGCCATTAATAGCCATTAATAGCCATTAATAGCCATTAATCATCATCATACCATGTTAAGATTTCAGGAAAGAAAAAAGGACTGCAGAATCATCATGTTCCCTTCCGCAGACGTCCTGGAACCATGCCAAGATCACGTGAGCGAAGCTGTGCTGTGAATGGAAGCAGATCGGAATACAAAACTACTGGAACTAAATGCGTGCTATCCTCAAGTTTGTCAAGAGGTTTTCTGAATCAACTCTGACCTATTTCACTATGGCATTTCAAGTGCAACTACCCAGATGCCCCCGCAAGCTTGTGTCGCGTTCTTTCATTTCATCATTGACTTGGCCAGGAATGAGTGGGTAGTACCCTATTTTCAGTCACATCCATATGGAGCTTGGATATGGTAGTTAAGGGGATCATATCCCACCATGATTGAGGTTTACAAAAAAAATGTATGATGATAATTAAAGTGATTCCCAAGTTGCGCAGGTTGTTTCATGTTCTTCCAGCATGGCTCGCCACTGAAAAAACTGGATGTTTCACCGTTTCACCCCATTTCTTGATCTATGGAACCGGGAATATGAATCCTGGGGGTTTCAACCTGGATTCAGTTGTGCTCTTGGGTATCTTGGAAGGTTCCTTTCAGGATAAAGACCGAGAAGACAAAAAAAAAACTCTGGTAAACATCAAGAAAAACTATGGAAAATCACTATGTTTAATGGATAAATCAACTATACATGGCCATTTTCAATAGCAAACTTTTAGTTTACCAGAGGGTAATGGCGGTTCAAAGGAAATCAACAGATCCTTCTCACAGCCAGGATGTCAGCCACAGCCATTTTCCCTACAAGGCGCGGCCCGCCAGTTACAAGTGGGTCTATAGCCCCCCCATGCATACCATAATTATATCTACCATAAAACATAGAATTCACCTAGTTGTATACTTCAACCAATTTAGCTATCGTTTGGGGTGGCATCTTGTACTATATAATCTTAGATCCCCATTTAACATAGCTATGGATAATGTCTCATTTATAGATGATGTATGATTATTTACCTAGAAAGGGTGGATGTTCCACATCAAACTGTTGAATTACTATGGGATTTTTAAATTTGACCTTTAATTGCAAATCCCATTAACATCCATGAACTATGGTTATACTTACCCTAAACCATAGAATTAATCCCATTAACTATGGTTATATGTACTTACCATACCTTAAATCCCAGTATAGTTTTACCATATTATACCTACCATAATCATCCATGAAGCATAAAATTCATTAACTTTTTAGTTTACCTGCCATTACCTCAAATCAGGTTCCGGCGCTGATAGCGGACCCGTGTTTTTGTATGGTTTTTATTTCAGCCATTTTTTTATTGATGTGTTTGGCGCCGTGACGATTTTGTGGTTTTGCCTTAAAATAATTTAAAATAGAAATGTTGTTTTCGTCCCACGTTACGCTAGGAAATTATTCATTGACCATTGAATTCTTCTGGTCGAAATACTCTGCAAACCTGGATTTGGAAAACCGGGTTTTCACACAGCGTTTGGTGCTCTTGTTTTTCTCTCTTCGTGCTCTTTCAAAATAGCATCAAGAGCGTGTGGCAAGTGACAGAAGACATGTTACAACTTCTAACTGATGTGCGCAACTTCTAACTGACGTGCACAACTTCTAACTGACGTGCACAACTTCTAAGTGACGCGCACAACTTCTAACTGACGTGCAATGCGGCAGCAAAAAACAGCAAAACCTGCACGTCCGTTAACAGGGCCGGTAGCTTACACCATACAATTCACATATTTCAACCAACTTTAACCATAGCTATCGTTTTTGGCGGGCACCTTGTACAAGGTGGTGCCCCCCAAGGTATAAATAGGTTTTAATCCCATTAACTAGTTCCATATATCTCCAACAAAAACCATAGTTATTGGACTTATTTGCACCAACTTAGCTAACGAACTGGGGCACCACCCTGTACTATTTATATAACCTTCAATCCCATGACAGCTTCTCGTGCAGCTTCAATCAAGGCACAGCTCTTTGTGCTGCATCTGCAGCAGCGAGGGCGCCGGGGCGACCTATTTTTTTCGCAGAGGTCATGGGATGCTTCACAACTAAATGGGATACCTATGTATAAATACAATATCTATAATATATATATATACATACCGAATATATATATATATATGGAATATATATATATATGGAATATATATATATATGGAATATATATATATATGGAATATATATATATATGGAATATATATATATATGGAATATCTATATATACATATGGAACATACATATATATATATATATGGATATGGTGTATATATATATGGTATATATACTGTATATATATGGAATATATATATATATATGGAATACATATATATATGGAATATATATATATATAAGTAGTAGTAGTAGTCTCTATCTCTAGTTAGTAGTAGTAGTAGTTAGTAGTAGTAGTTAGTAGTAGTAGTTAGTAGTAGTAGTAGTTAGTAGTAGTAGTTAGTAGTAGTCGTTAGTAGTCGTAGTTAGTAGTCGTAGTTCGTAGTAGTAGTCGTTCGTCGTCGTCGTTAGTAGGAGTTCGTAGTAGTAGTTCGTAGTAGTCGTTAGTAGTAGTAGTTAGTAGTAGTAGTTCGTAGTAGTCGTTAGTAGTTCGTCGTTCGTAGTTCGTCGTTCGTAGTTTTAGTAGATAGTAGTTAGTAGTTAGTAGTCGTAGTTCGTCGTTAGTCTTAGTTCGTACGTTAGTATTTCGTAGTTAGTAGTTATCGTTTTCGTAGTTTAGATGTTAGAGTTTCGTCGTAGTTCTGTTCGTTTTAGTCGTTAGCGTTCGCTGTTAGCGTCTTAGTAGTTAGTTAGTTCGTTCTTCGTAGTTAGTAGTTAGTAGTAGTAGTAGTAGTAGTAGTAATAACTAGTAGTAATAGCAATAGTAATCGTAAAAGCCATAGCAATAGCAATAGTAGTAGCACTAGTAAAACTAATAGCAATAGTAGTAGTACTAGTAGTAGTAGGAGTAGTAGTAGTCGTAGTAGTAGTAGTAGTAGCAGTAGCAATAGCAGTGGTAGTGGTAGTGGTAGTGGCAGTGGTAGTAGTAGTAGTAGCAGTAGCAGTAGCAGTAGCAGTAGCAGTCGCAGTGGTGGTAGTAGTAGTAGTAGTAATAGTAGTAGTCGTAGCAGCAGCAGCAGCAGCACCAGGAGCATCGGCAGCAGCGCCAGCAGAACCAGCAGAACCAGCGGCAGTAGCGCCAGTAGGAGCAGGAGCGAGCAAAAGGAGCGAGCAAAAGGAGCGAGCAAAAGGAGCGAGCAAAAGGAGCGAGCAAAAGGAGCGAGTATAGGATCAGCAAGCGGGACGAGTGAGCAGGGGGGGCGAGGAAAATGAGGAGGAGCGAGGAGGCGGAGGAGGAGGATGAGGAGAAGCGAGGCCAGGAGAAGGAAAGAAAAAGAAGCAAAAGGAGAATGAGCAGAAGGAGAGAAGGAGCGGGAGGAGCAGGAGCAATAGGGGCAGCAATGATAAATTGATGTGGCTCTTTTGCTATTGCTGGTCCTGCTGGTTGCTGTAAATAATTAGGTTTCGAAAGACGGGTATGTTACAAAAAGAGAGGATTTTATGGGGTATGATTATTCGGCGGTATGATTCGGGGTATGATTCGAGGTGCCTCCACTTGACAAAACTGAGTGGACTTGTGGGCCAACCAATGCTTGATATGCTTTGATGTTCACACAGGGTCTGGAATGGATTCGGGGAAATGTGCAAATGTCTGAAAATAAAATGTACACAAGTTGACCATGGATTTCTCCCCGCTGCAATCTATCAAGCTGGTGGAGTTAGGGGTAGTTTACTCTGTTTGGGACAAAGCCATTACCAACCACTTGACTACTTTCATGTCCCGGATATCATCTTCCGATGTCGTTTTCGAAAGGCTTTCAGGTCGTTTGCTGGGAGAACGTGCGCTAATCTCCCCCATCTTTTCCAATGGCTGAAAAACTCCTTGAAAACAAAAATTGAATCACAAACAACGCATTTTCAAAGGTGTGTTGTCCTATCAAAAATAGATGTATTGGGTGAAAAATATAGGTTTCAGGAAAACTATTTCATACAAATCCATCGAAAACTTCAGTTCAACCCGTTTAAAAATCCATTCATGAACCCATGCAATACCATGTTAAGTACCAAATCCATTAAGATCCATGTAGATTCTATGATATAAATCTATAAATCGATCCAAAATAAATTCCCAAGTCATCGGGCCATCTTCGTTGCTGAAGTCTACGCTAAAAACCCCAAACCCCCGCCTGCGCCGACTGCGGCCGTGCCGGCGCTGCAGCACCGCCCAGGGAGGTTTGGGGCCCTTGGCTCCAGGAGCTGCCAAGGCTCGCCTGAAGCGATAAAAAAAATCAGGTGATAAACCATGGGATACCATCTGGTTATTTAACATAGCCATGGTATAGATGACCCATAGAAATACATGGTTTACCGTTCTTAAAAAATGGTGGTTTTCCATGGCTATGTTAAATAACCAGATGGTAAATATCATCATCATCATGATGATGTTTATGAGTGTGATTATGATTATTCTGGCCAGTATTGTTATTAGTTCTCGGGGGCGCTATCATTGTTATCTTTAGCTATTGTTTTTTGATCCGGTTGACGCTTGAGCCACCTCCCCTGAAAAAAGGACTATAATTAGGGATCAATATCCAATCATATGGTTGAAGATGGTTTGAAACCACCAACCAGTAGTTTCATTGTTATTATGACTATTGTTAAGGTCTTTATAATTATCATTTTCGAATGAGATATATCATGAATGATCATGAATGTAGATATCAAGATACTGTGTGTCACTGTGTAGATATGATTGCTATTATTGTCAGCATGGGAATCAGATGGTAATAATTCATCGGTTACCAAGATTTTTTGTGGATTTTTTAGATCCTCTGAGATTTTTAAGAAACGTATCCTGAAGCGTACACTAACAACTACCCTCTGGTAAACGTTCACATAACTAATAACTATGGGAAGATCCACCATTTTTTATGGAAAAATCAACTATTTCGACTGGGCCATGTTCAATAGCTATGTAACAAATTACCAGAGGGTAAAGACTGGGATGCTTTTGGCCAGTGCCACTTTTGAGGAACATCAGCTGTCGAGACGTCACCTCTTGGGAGAGCCACCGACCGGCTCTCACACTGAACATGGCATCCTTTCCACCAGAGTCGGAAGATCTGATGGAGCGATCGAAGGAAAAGATCCGAAACGATTGCCGACACTGAAAGGAGAAGCCAAATTGAGAAGACACCCCAGGGGTATTAACCACTAGTAACCATGAATGTAACCATTAGATGAGATGATTATTCCATTGATTATCATACTATCTATGAGCCACCCATCCCCAAAAGCTATCGTTTCTTGCGGCCAAAAAAAACATCCCAGCGATGCATATCCGTCATATCCAAATCGCGAAGATTTCCCCCCGGACTCAACCGAACTCAAAATCACGGGAGGAAGTCTCTGGAAAAAAGGCGCTAAATATCTTTCTTATCACTTTGAAGTCTAATTAGGTCATGCTCTTTTCCATCCGATCCCGAAAATAATTCTCATATATGTATATATATCATATCATATTGAATCATGTTAAATCTATCAATAGTAGATGAAAAAAGAGATTGATATATTCTTTATATATACTCTAGTTTTCTACTAATCCATCATGCTTTACCACATATATCATATTAGATTAATATTAAACATTCGCACGTGGCCATTCGAACCTCGCCAACCCCGCACCCCGCCGGAAACCTCCGTGGGCGTCTGCGCACCGCGGGTCCGTGGCCTCGATTGGGCAGGGATTTTCCATGAAATAAACCATCCAGCGATTGGGGTACCTCCATGAAATCCATGTTTGAGTACCTCTATTTATGGACACCTCCATTTTTTATAGGTAAACTATGATGATTAGTAAACTGGAGTATTTTTTGAATAGATCAATCTCTTTTTTCATCTACTATTCATAGATTGACCATAGTATAATATAGTAATATAGTAATATAGTAATATAGTGATATAGCAATATAGTAATATAGTAATATAGTGATATAGCAATATAGTAATATAGTATTATAGTATGTAATATAGTAATATAGTAATATAGTATTATAGTATGTAATATAGTAATATAGTAATATAGTATGTAATATAGTAATATAGTAATATAGAAATATAGCAAGTAATATAGTAATATAGTAATATAGTAATATAGTATGTAATATAGTAATATAGTAATATAGTATGTAATATCTAATAATCAACATTCAATATGTATCTTTGAATCAATGTAAAGCCCAGAACCTGCCACGAATGGCATCATGAAAACTGTGGGCCATCCAACAGCAAGAAGAGACAGGATAGGGGTTATAGCGAATATAAACTACCCAGGATTGCAATTGAAGGGAACTGGAATCAACTTGAGTATAGGGATTGTCCATAGAAAAAAAACTGGAATCAACTTGAGTATAGGCTCAAAAAACTTGGATTGTCGTTGCAGGAAAGTAATCTTCCAGCTGTCTTGGGTGGGGACATCATTTGCTATCCCTTCACCTTCAGTCCACATCGGGTGCCCCGGACTGCGCATCATCCTCACTGTCACCTTGGAAGGCTCGCCATGGCAGCCATGTATTGCCTCGTCTGGGTCCGGGACCTTCCTTTCTTTCCATATTCCACATATATATATATATATACATACATACATACATATAAAGCTTTCTGTTATTGTCTCAACAACCACTTCAAAGTGACGTGCTAATCATCACCACATGCTCACATGGCACCAGGGTCCGTCCCAGCTGACGACCCCGAAATTGGGTAGCCCTGCTGCTGTTCACTGCCAAATCTCCCTGCGAAGTGATGGCATGCCATGACATGTGTGGGGGGTGGTGGTAGCCTCTGGAAAATCCCATGCTGTTTCTATCCTCATCATTTCTTCCCTTTCAATCCTAAAAAAAAGTTTGCTTCACTTGGTCCCTTTGGTCGTCGCTCAAGGCCCATGGCCCATTCCCCGGCCACCGGCCATCGCGGCCATCGTACCTGCGTGGCGCACACCTGCAGTGGCTCACGCTCCAGGCCCGAGGGGGTGGTGCCTGGCTGGTGGATGGGGTCGTGGGAAGAAGAGTTTGCTATTGAAAATGACCCAGTCGAAATAGTGGCTTTACCCAGCTAGATAGCATGCTGGATCTTTCCAGTTCGTTATGTAAACATTTTTTTCAGAGTGTTTTTTCGGGGATGATAAGCATGAGTAATCATGAATGACAATCACAATCCATGATCAACTACCAAAATGGGTGCTCGATTCACCATTTGATCATGGGATGTTTAATATGGGGGATGATGATTTTTTCTAGGATTTTACCATTGATTCCCGTTAATAAAAACTGGGATTCCCCATGTTGATAAATGATGAGGTTAAGATAACCATTAAGCATTAAGAGGAAATGATGGTGATAAAGAACTTATAATGGGATTGGCCATGAACCTATGAATCATTCATTGGATAAGTAAACTGACAAATCATGGGAATAACCATCAATTGTGATACATCAATGATAAGAATAAATAAACCATTGATCATTAACCATGACCATAAATAGATCATGGAATCATGGGGATAAATACACCATAGAATGGGGCCATTCGAAGCACACGAGTCATCATCGATAAGCGATGATAAACCATCGAGTTTCCCATGAGATGATCATTGCTTTTCCGCTGAAAATTGTCTCTTCAACCAATCTATTGAGTTAATTATTAAAATTACCCAAACTGGATATTTAACATAGCTATGAAAACTGGTCCATTTATATATATATATATGATAAACATCCTGATGATTTGCCGAACTTTAAATGGTGATGTTCCCTAGCTATGTTAAATAACCACAGGGTAATAATGGGATAAGTGTAAACATGTGGACAAATGATGAAGTTGAGATACCCATAAACATCATTAACCATGTCATAGTGGCTATCAAATGATATCGGTTAATGTTATAAGTTATAACACGCGTTTTCGTTGGGCTTTGTGGAGCTTAAGTATCAAAGAACGGGGATGTAGGAAATGATTGCTGATTCATTTCTTCAGAAGGGGTGCTGTACAACCTGGTTGATTTGGGATACATCATTGGCATCCCTATTACTTAACAAGTGCAATGCGATGGACAGGAGTACCTTTAATGGCTCACCGGTGATCTATGATGTCATCATAGACGTCATGTCATCTGGATGATGAATCCATGGCTCATGGATGATTATCATCAACTCAGAGTTCATCCTGTGTAATTGATAATATAATGATTATAATCCATGATAGGGACATGAATTATCAACTGGCTGTGTTGTTTATGATAGGGATTCACCGGCCAGATTTGATGGGCATTTGCCAACAATGCATGGGCCCCCACTAAAGCAAAGATACCTCCAATAAGGATATGAATCTACCATTTTTACATCCATAAACCCAATCGAATTCACCTAGTTATTTGCCAGCTATAGCGTTCACGAACTGGAGCACCACCGCAGGTCACATGTCGTTTGAAAAAAATCAGCGAGGTGTTCACCGCTGCTAACCTATGGAGCCTCCATCCATTTCAGATCTGGAAACACAACCCCATCTATCCAAGGAAAAGCCATCAGATTTGGTAGATCGTAATCCCTATCAGTAAATCTATGTACTCACAATCCCCTCATTTCTACCCTGTGTTTGCAACTTCAAATAAACAATATGGCAGTGTGTCACAACCTTGTACCCCTGGTGAACCCCAAAATAACTGGTAAATGGATGTTCATTCCCCTAAAAATGGTATCTATAGGTATTGACCCATACCCATATTGCTTCAAGGCCCCACAATATCCTGCCTCCAGGCACGTTCACCGTCTTACTGGGCGCGCTGCGGAGCTCCTTGACGCGGTAGGCGTACCTGGCCATGATCTGCCGGCCTAAAAATCCTTGGAGCAACCCTGCTATTCGGATGAACAAATGGAGGAAATCATCCCAAAATTGCTGATGTTCGAAAAAAAAACACGACAATTTGGATTCAACCAACAAAAAGAGCGGTTTTTTTTGCGGCATTTGGATTCAACCAACAAAAAGAGCGGTTTTTTTTGCGGCAATTTTGGAGGGAAGAGTGCAATGTTTAACCATTGGATGGAGCGGAATGGGGTAACCCACCCTTCGACAAGCCTATGAATAGGGAAGATGCTGAGATAAATCATGATATATACTGAAATCATCTGAAATCATCTGAAATCTATGTCAGTAGTACGAAAAACGTCAGTTGATCAGAGATGACGATTTAGCTATTTGGTTCAGAATTGCGAACCCATGAGCCTACCAATTTCATCCAATTTCATCATTTAAGCGTAAAAGGTCGTAAACCCCAAACCCCTCCAGAAAAGGGATGTGGGTTTGTCTGAAAATAGGGTATATTCCCAATTATAGCCATTTAATAGGGATAATGATCATTAACCATTGGGTTTAGGGGTACACTATTTTCAGACACACCCATGTGCATTCTGTCTTGTTCCGAAGCCAACATCACCGACACCAATGGAGCCCAACATCGGTGCCTCAAGGTATTCAAGGAGTGTTCCACGGCACCGCTGCAGGGTGACACATTGGCGATCATCACCTGGCGAAACGTTTCCCATCTTTCTTGGGCGGGGTAACCCCATAAACCATACCACAAAAAGAAATCCGGGCAAGTGATGATCATTAGAAAATTCCCCAAACCGGAAAAGTGTTTTAGAACTGATGACATTAGTTATATATATATATATAAGTTATAAGTTATATTCATTAGTTGTATAAGTTATATACCTTGGCTTTAAAAAAAACAATAGTTTTCTCTAATTCATCGCCATCAGTGATGATCCATGATGATCCCCAAGGCGAGCACTCCACTTTTTGGAGATATGTCAGCATGGTCTGTCTCCACAGGACAGGGATCGCGGGGACATCATCACAATCACGATGTTACATTGCTTTGGATAATGTGTAAATTACAATTAAAGATATATATATATATAAACAGATGAAATCTATGCATAGATGTAAATTACTTTGCTTTAGATAATGTGTAATATGTATGTATGTATATATATATACACAATCTATGCATGTTTTCGCCAGTACTCTTTGATACTGCAGAAGCTATGCCAGGGTATCCTCAGGGCAAGTCATTCGTCACTTCTTCCAGGCTGAGTCTGGCCTATTGCGGCAAGCAAACTACAAATACAGGATCTGATCTGCAACTGAAAAGTTGGCCTCGCCTTTGCTTGGATCACCCCAAGACACGATTGAACAATCGCCCGCGACAGCAGCAAAAGCACCCGAAGATCCCCCTCCGAGGTGACGAGTGGAGTGAATGAGTCGCACGTTCCTCAACTGATCTTGAACTGCAGAGCTGTCAGCACCATATGTTTGATCGCCCCACGTAACAACTGACCCGTCGGCCAAAATGGCAGCAAATGCATCAAGAGTGCCATGAATTTCTCGCACATTTCTCAACTGATGTTGGACTGCAGAGCTGTTACCACCCCGCTCTTGCTCACCCCACGTAACAACTGACCCATCGGCCAGGATGGCAGCAAATGCATCAAGAGTGGCATGAATTTCTTGCACATTCTTCAACTGATCTTGAACTGCAGAGCTGTCACCACCATTCTCTTCATGGCCCCACGTAACAACTGACCCATCTTCCAAGATGGCAGCAAATGCCTCAAAAGCCGCCTGAATTTCTCGCACATTTCTCAACTGATGTTGAACTGCAGAGCTGTCACCACCAGTCTCTTGATCGCCCCACGTAACAACTGACCCATCGGTCAAGATGGCAGCAAATGCTGCAGAACTGGCCTGAATCTGTTGCACGTTCCTCAACTGATGTTGAACAACTGCAGAGCTGTCACCACCGCAGTCTCGATTACCCCATGTAACAACTGATCCATCGGCCAGGATGGCAGCAAATGCGTTCCCTGTGGCATGAATTTGTTGCACGTTCCTCAACTGATCTCGAACTGCGGAGCTGTCACCACCATTTGTTTGATCTCCCCACGTAACAACTGACCCATCGGTCAAGATGGCAGCAAATCCTTCAGAACTGGCCTGAATTTGTTGCACATTCCTCAACTGATGTTGAACTGCAGAGCTGTCAGCACCATATGTTTGATCGCCCCACGTAACAACTGACCCATCGGTCAGAATGGCAGCAAATGCACCAATAGTGGCATGAATCTGTTGCACGTTCCTCAACTGACCTCGAACTGCGGAGCTGTCACCACCATGATTTGGACATCCCAAAGTCACAACTCTGTCACCTCCACAGCACCACATGGCAAAAGCGTAGCATGATGCCGCCAGCTTTGGTTGCTGGGCAATGGCTGTTAGGTGCTTTCCATCTTGAATCGCAGATGGCAAAGTCTCCATAAGGTCGGTCAGCATACGTCCTTCTTCTGTAACCAGTCTCAGGAACCCCTGTTCGAAAGATTTCTGGGCCAAAATCTTTAGGTCGCCGACGGTAGAGCCTTGCGGAAGCGACAAGGATTTCCTCTTACCACTTGGCAACGAAACATTCACGGCAAGCATGCTTTTCGACCGGAGAAATAATGATTCCCAGACTAGATCTGAAAGGTTCTAATCCATCCAATGTTATACAGCTGAATTGGGTGTTACATTGTCAAGCAGGAATGAGACAATCAAAAATAGTGCGAACCCACTTACCAGCTCTTTAAATCTTGAGCCAATGGCTGCACGGTGGAGACAAGCCATTCCAATCTCAGCAAGGAACTGAGATATGAAACGCGCGAACAGGGAAGATGTCCTCAGCCCATCGATTAAAATATTATATAATATATATTGTTTCATTTTATTTTGTGTCATTTTATTTCACTTATATGATATTATATACCTGTCAACTCACAAGGCATGTGTTGAAACGTCGATCGAGTCAGATGTATCCCCCCCTGATCCCTCACCTCCTTGAGGATGCAGTTCCAGTAACCATGGCCCAGGCCATCCAAACTGATGGAGTAACACTACGGTAGTTATACCCAGTAAAATCAGTAAATCACCCCGTAAATGAAGTACATAGTGTATATATATAGAGAGAGAGAGAGTATAAGTATATCAAGTCACCCAGTTTTTGTTCCGTTCTCTCCCATGCAATCCCCATTTCCCAAGTGATGTCCCTATCACCATCCGAACTTCGCCGCAACTCCCATGTGTTTGGGCTCCAGCCGTTCGGCAGTTGGCACCCACGAAGGAATCCTTAAGGACCTGCGGATGGCGATGGTGTCCAGCCATGGCAATGACTACCGAGTGGTATCCCAAAGCAGATGTTTCAAGCAACTGTTAGATATATTCATATCCAAACTGCTGTGGTTTCACGATTTCGCCGATCTTTTAGATAATATCCATTATTGTCCTAATTGTTGCTGCTGTAAATCAATATTCAGGCTGTAATTCAATATGCGAAGCCAATGAGAAAAGATGCATTCTTGTCTCCCAACCCCATTCAAGTCAACGAGTCATCCCTATAAAAATACATTGAACACCTCAAACCCTCCGCGTTGGTTCGTCAAGTCTTCATGGCTTCAACCTTCGTCGAAAAGATAGACGAAGAATTCCCTACCTCTTTGACGGGTGACACATCAACCTGGTTTTCGTATTTCCAATAATGACTCAAAAATATCTTAATTGGGGGGGTACCATTTAAGTATTGGATCAAATGACTATTGGAGGAGTACCCCCCCTAATTTTCATAAACCATGGAATATTAATCCGGGGTTGACATTAAAGCACGCAACCATGACTCACAAAAGATATCCTACCTTGGATAAGTTAAACGAATGGATTCAGAAAATAATTCACCAATTCAGAAAATATCCCTAGCTTGGCGGTCATAATTTAAATATTTAACTATAATATGATGGGGAGATAAAATCCCAGTGATCAGCCTTTTTCACAAGTGATAATGATCCCCTACCCTCCAGTAAACTGACATAGCTATGGCAAATCGCCCGCGTATAGATGCATTGCCTATTAAAATTGGTGGTTGTTCTATAGCTATGTCAGTGTACCGGCGGGTATATCATATCCCATTTTATAGATAATTTTCCCAGCTATAAACCTCCATTTATAGAGGATTTTCCATTGCCATGTTAGATTATCAGCGGGTTCCCATGAATATGACATTCATATCCCCATTATACCACCCTTAACTGATTTATGATCCACAACAACCCATCATTCAAATGGGTGTCAAATTTCAATACCCCAATCATTTGATAATACGAAAAATGAACATTCCAATCTCTGGTCCCCAGGTCTGAATTTGTTCATCACTATCATTGTATATCATCTCCATGTACTATCATTATTCCCCATGCTTGTGCCCATATCCCATTGTTACATTGTATCCAACTATATGTCCACTATGTCACTATGATCGTTAGTTAAATCATGTTAAATCACTCTCTATTTCCATTCTCAGTACCCTCTGGTGAACTAACATAGCAATGGAAAATCACCATGCTATTAATGGGAAAATCCACTATTTCTATGGCCATTTTCAATTGCAAACTGTTAGTTCACCAGAGGGTACATCCCATTAAAGTCACCATTTTGTTGGTTAAACCACATTAAACCACCATTGAACCACCATTTTCCTATGGTTTTCTTATGGTTTTCCACCATTAAACCATGATAAAACCCATCCCTTTGGAAACCTCCATCTATCCCAACGTCCACCCGTGGTTTTTCGGCGCCTGTGTCAGCTTGGAGCCTCGGAAGGGCGTGTGGTCCAACTGCTGGTCCAGCGCACGGATGCATTCCTGAACGACGGAACCGAAGCGAAGGACGGGATGCAGAAAGCTTTAATGGGATGAAGTTTTTCGGCTCACCTCACGACATCCCAGTGAGGCCATCAAAAACTTTCTCCAGCTATTTGTGTGATCGTACAATTGTCAGGAGCACATATTTATGTATATATATATATCATATATGTATATATCATATATAATTATATATAATATCATACATATATATATATATATCATATATATATCATATATATATATCATCAGTAATCAAAGCAATTCAGTGTGTCAAAGTCTAATATATACGTATATGTACATGTGTATATATATATCATGTAGTTCAAAAATCGAGACCACCCCAACATAACACGGCTGCTTTTTGTAGTACCTAGAAGCTCTTGGGTTTCTTTCCGAGTTGTTCTTGGTTGTTTCCAATGTGCTGCGCTATCCCGTCGAAGCCCCTTTTATCCCAAGTGCTTGGAAAAAAAATGGTCTGAAAGTCATGGAAATCTGAAGCAGTCCCCCAATATCATCGGCACTCCTTCAGGGCCAGCAGGGACTTGTTGATCTCGGCACCGTCCATACGTGTCTGCAAGCGCAACGCGGCATGGTTCTGTGCTGAAAAAACCCTCAAAAGATGGGGAATATCCCCAAATGGGAAGAGAATGGGGATATTCCATGGGGATGCCCCCTACAAGTTGGGAATCCTGATAGCTATGCTTAACTGCAACTGCACCCAATGGTTGAAGCTTACCAGATCCCCAACAAATCGACCCTGCCATGAGTTAGGGATTGGTTGCGATGATTTTCCTCTGAAAATGGGTGATTCTCAGGGTCTATGCTGAGGGAATGGCACTGATCCAGTGTTGTTTCATGTTGTTTCCATGACCTTCGACATCGACAAAGCCCTGTGAATTGAGGGCTTCAAAATAGTGTCCAATCTTGCGGAACGCGCACAGCAGCACAACATTGAAATTTGGGGAGTTGGGGGTTGTACTTGCCAAAGCAGGAGGTGATTTCATCGTCCGTCTACAGTATCAGTTCATAGGTTCAAAGCCACCACAAACGAGTCGAAATTGGCTTAGGGTCGTTACATGTCGTTACACTATCTCAATTCATCCAAACAAAATATGCCACAATAGATGATTTCCGCCCTTTGAAGCCATTGCTCCATTTCAGAGTGCCATTCCTATGGCATTGGCTAAAACCCACATTGTCCATTGGTTTTCCCTATGTCATTTACCATTCTCCATGTGGTACACTCTGGTAATTGAACATAGCTATAGAAAATCACCATTCTTAATAGGTAAACCATCTATCAATGGGCCATTTTCCATACCCTCTGGTAAACTAACATAACTATGGAAAATCACCATGCTATTAATGGGAAAATCCACTATAAATGACCATTTTCAATAGCTATGTTAAATTACCAGAGGGTAGTTGTGTGTATGTTTACCAGAGGCTAAAAACCGCATCGGAAACATCACCAGTGTTCCGGTCCAAGATCCCATGGGAAAATCCACCAGAAACGCGCCTGGCGGTCCGTGTCCAAGGTGTCGGCCCCGCGTTCGCTGCCAGCCAGGTCAATGAAGCTGATCTTGCCGTGCTCCTGGGGGAACTTCCCATGGACTGGAAAAATGCGGAGGTTTCGGCCGTTTTGAAACGACCAAACATGGGAAACATTGTGATTTCACCAAGGAAAGTACGGAAAAAAAAAAACGAAAAAATGGCTGGATCCGGTCGTCAAGCCAGGAGTGGGTCAAATCCACAGGATTTTCCCATTGTTTCGTCTCAAACTAAGGGACGGTTCCTGTTTGTTTGTGCTTCAACAAAGTCAGGGACTTGACTTTCTCTGACACGTTTTGCCAATGTTTCTTGCTGTTTGGCTTTGACCAGCCTGATTTGAATCTTGTCACATCTAACAGATGGAAAATTTTGGGAGGTCGGGTGGCTAAAAATGGAAGTAACGATGTCCCACGTCGATTGTTACATTTTGAACCCCTCCCCCTACTTTATCGGGGCCAAGAAAATTGTAACTTACAATTTATATATTACCCCCCCCAACAGTTTATTGTAAGTTACATTTTTTCCCCCCACCAAAACCCAAGCTTAGGATGTTTGGCATAACATCGAGATGCCCCCACAACAGGAGATTGAAACCCATACCAACCATATCACAACCACTATAGGTGTGGATTCAATAAATTTCTGGTTGGTGTGTCAAAACGGTTGGGATTGTGCGTTTGGACACCCTTCTCTCTCTCCTTCTATCGTTTTCCTAGTCCTCTCCCTTTTCCGGAGCATCTAACACAGGACTCCGGAGAAAATATGAGAAAATATGAGAAAATATGAGAAAATATTGGTGTCAAAATTGCGAAATCTTCCAAAACCAAGAAAAACATGTGTTTCCAGCCTTGAATGAACTCTCGCAACGAGCTTCAACATGTTGAAATCCCAGAAGATAGATCTAAAAACCAATGACCGTCAAATGGATATATGTCCATCTTGGTGATGTTCAATGCATCTCTACCCTTGGTACCTCCCAGTCATCTGCCCGCCTCCTTGGAAGATAAGTCCTTCAAACTGATCTGAAGGATGGCGTGCGACCGCGACCTCAGGTGGCCACGGAGCGAATCTGACTCGTCCTTCGAGGATTTTTTTAGCATTGAAACCCTTGGTGACTTGGAGATTTCAAGTTACCCGGCCTGGTAAACGTTGACATAACTATGGAAAATCACCATGTTTAATGGATAAATCAACTATAAATGGCCATTTTCAATAGCTATGTTAAATTACCAGAGGGTAAGGGACCCCCATTTTGGGGTGGAGCTTTCCATACTGATAATACAAAAGCCAAAAGGGGTCCGATGGCCGTGCGGGTGGTGCGGGTATTGGCCACGCAAAGCGATCGACGGGCATGACTTGACTGATGAGGAATATGACGATAAGGATTCCAGGGTATTTCCTGGGTGAACAGCTGGTTCTCTTCATGCTAAAAATCGTCCAGGTATCTGAGTAAGTCATCAGAATTCACTGACCTGAAACTTGCGGCCCAAAATGGGGATGATTTCCCGTATACCATAACTCCAATGATGTCACAGCGAGGTCGCCACAGGGCTCCACGGTATCAGACAGTTAGTACATCTACCCGGCAGATGAGACTGCCTCCCCAACTATATAGAAGAGCAGTTTCAGTCTCAGAGATTTTCTACCCAGCATTTAAAATGTCTGAAGATACTCAGCATACTCCTGTTTCTGTTTATGGCCATTGATAAATATGGAGAACGATGATCAACCAGTCAGTTGCAGGGACCCAGCGAGTCGACGTTGGCACCAGTCACGCCGGTGGTGCGGCTGTTCAAGCCCGATTCGATGACCTTTTTTGGATCCCGCAATTCACCGCGAAGAACATTACTATAAATGGGAGATGTTGAACCATACCCTCTGGTAAACGTTTACATAACTATGGAAAATCACCATGCTATGAATGGGTAAATCAACTATTTCTATGGCCATTTTCAATAGCTATGTTTGTTTACCAGAGGGTACCTTTTTGGCAAGTGGGGTTATTGGTGGGTAAAACCATCTAATGTGAAATAGCCTTATAACTATGGATAGTATATGATGGGGTGTATATTGGAATTTACACGACTTGGGGCAGCTGGGGTTAGTTTTATGGGTGTAACCATGCGGATCATAACCTCCCTAAGTTGGCATTATACCCTCTGGTAAACTAACATAACTATGGAAAACCATTTTTAATGGGAAAATCCACTATAAATGGTGATTTTCCATAGCTATGTTAGTTTACCAGAGGGTATAACATTATAACTATATATAACCACATCAGTGGAACTTGCGTCTGAAGGGAATCGCAGGGATGCAACCTTCAGGTGATGTTCGTAGCCGGGAAATCCTGAGTTTGATAGCCATGCTAACTAGAGATATCTACCGTAGACCATCGTGTCCTTAGCCATCCAACTTATCAAAAACATCTGATCATATCTAAAAATCCACCCATCCCAGTCTCGTCATGAAGGTGTAACTTCTCCCGTGTTGCTGCCTGACTTTCCAAACCCCCGCCTCCATCAAATCTTGCACGTTTCCAATGCAATGGTCCTGACACAGCATCGTTTCCTCTAGAAATGCAGGAGATGTCATCCCTGATGTGAACCCTACAATAGATATAATGGTTACTTGTTTCATGGCTTGGGAGATTTTATCCATTAATGCAAGCCAAAAGAAATCAAGATTGCTACTTCTTCGGGAACCCAAGAAAGTAGCCACTCACCACCAGGATCATGCTATCCCGAGTTTCTATCGGCGGAATGAGTCATCAAGCACTTACCGCAAGCTTTTGGTTTGGTTTCATCAAAAAATGGACATTGGTGTGCGTGTGAAAACGAGGTAGCATAAACATTATAAATATCTATATGATCGTGTATGATATATATATAGTGTTTTTTATTTATTTATTTATTTATTTATTTATACATACATACATACATACATAGATAGATAAGTCACTTCTTAGTAGTAAATGGGAAAAACAGGTCACTTGTACTAAAAACCATCAGATAAGTCACTTCTTAGTACTAAAAACTATTACTGTGGGTAAAACAATGCAATTAAAACCATCAATGGGTGGTATAACCCTTTCAAACTTCCCCCGTGTTGGGTGGTTTATTGTTTTACCCACATTGCCCTCTAAACGTTTACATAACTATGGAAAATCACCATTTTCAATGGGTAAATCAACTATTTCTATGGCCAGAGGGTGCATCCCATTAAAATCACCATTTTGTTGGTTAAACCCCATTAAACCACCATTTTCCTATGGTTTTCTTATGGTTTTCCACCATTAAACCATGATAAAACCCCCAAGTCTCCGGTGCAGAAATGACCAGACCGCCGGAGCCCGTGCCTGCAGCCCTCCGATGACCACGTTGCCCTTGGCATTCTCCCGCGCATGCAGGATCTGCCTGCGATCAAAAAACGGATCAAACAAATGGCTTCCACCAAGAAAAACGCACCGAGTTTGGCAGAAAAGAAGAGCAAACATGGTTTGATTGTATATACAGTATAACATATATACATATATATATAACATATATACATATAACATATATACATATAACATATATACATATAACATATATACATATAACATATATATATATATACATTATATATATATATTCTATAGACGCATCTGTGTGTGTGTGTTATGTTTTTTCCTCCAAAATGAGGGGCCCATCTAAGACTGGGGAACATCGATTGTCGATTCTGGATTGTCGTGGGACCAATAATTTGAGCCCTACATGGATTCGTTCAACAACACTTGGGAAAAACCGTGAAAAACATATCTGGTTGGTGGTTTCAACCCCTCTGAAAAATATGACTTCATCAGTTGGGAGTATGAAATTCCCAACCGAATGGAAAAATAATCCAAATGTTCCAAACCACCAACCAGTCTAAGTCGATGAAAACCCGTTAAAATGAAGTTTACCTCGCAACCTCCAATGGTAACATCCATTTTTCTCTGCCTCAAAGGCATAAAAAATCGCGACCTTTTTTGCGTGGTCGTGCCGGGATGACGTCTGTGAATCTGTGAGATTCGTCACTGCACCTGTTGTTGAGCAGGTCAAAGAGCTTCCCACAATAGATCTCGTAGAAGGCAATGAAAACACCCAAGTGGGAATACTCCTGCGACTGAAACAGTGGTTTTTGAGGAAAGTGTCAAAGCCAGTCATCAAACATGGGACATTTCCGAACCGAAGCTTTGCCCAGGCAAAATCAGGGATTTTCCAGCCGTGACACCGAAGGGTGGTTTACCCCGAGGAACTTAGGCCCCTGTTTTTTGTGAAGATCAGGATCAAGGTCCCATTTTACGAATTGATACTAAGCTTTTACCCTCTAATTGTGCTGTTTGCTAAGGATATCATCATATCATCATATTCAATAGGTAAGTCATCTATTGGGCGATTTTTCATAGCTATGTCAAATTACCGAAGGGTACTAAGTTCAAAATTCATCCCGGTTTTTTTCAAACATGTCAGGATTTCTTTGCACGGAACCTGTGTGATGTGTTTGTCATTCATGACGTCTTAGGTCCGTTAGGTGTAGAAAAATGGCTCCGGATCTTTGAGCACCCATCAACCAACATGTTCAAGCATCAAGAAATATCCGTGTCAACAGCAAAATCCCAAAATCATGTCAGATAATATTTTGAATAAACCTACCATGATTGCCAACCGCCACATGCAATTTCTTCCAAGTCTAACCCTTGTGGTGCTAGCCCTCTACAGTACTCAAACGGGCAGCCGGGCAGCCCTTCTTTCGGTGCACCTTTGGAGCGTGTCTGAACCGCAGAGAACGCCCTGAAGATACGCCATACACAGGTGAAACCTGGTAATGGATGGTACCCTCTGGTAAACGTTCACATAACTATGGAAAGATCCACCATTTTTCATGGGAATTTGTCCGGAATAAATGGTGATTTTCCATAGTTATGTTAAATTACCAGAGGGTAATGGTGTAAAATTACCCCCACATGCTTGGTTGATCGGAAGGTTTGTGGCATTGGGCTGCCCGCACATTCTTCAGAAACATGTTCCCTCCTTTCGAACAGCTCAAGCATCCACGCTGCCAGTTTCTGATGGTTCCTCCAGAGGTTGCTTGCTAGACTCAACATAGCTGGAAAGACAAAGGACACCAATTATTGGGTCATCATTGAGAGCCCCAGGATGAAAAACCGGAAAAACACCCCGAGAGCCATGTCCATGCCCCCTGCCGGTCTCAGTGGTCCAATGGCTTTCCCATCAAGTTGGTGTTTCGGTAGCATTCAGCAAGTCGGGGCAGACACGTTTGGGCAGACGCCCACATTTTTGGTGCAAGACATTGGCCACTGGAATGTTGGGAGAGAAGGGCAAGAAGCAAGCTATGACCATGGCACGATCCAGGTGAAGAAAATGATGTTCCAAACACCAGATCTGCACCAGGTGACGAACCCACAGACTTCTCCGTCATTCCGAGGCCTCCCAGGCCGAGGTCAGGGATCACAATGGCACGGCAACATGGTGTCTATGGCACATCCTCCCATCACATCGTGAGGATCAGTGGAATGGGCCATTGGAAAATCAAATACTTGGACTTTCATGGAGAAGATCGATATCAATCGGATTCCGCCTCTATCGCCTCACATCCAGTCAGGTTGGGCACCAACGCTGGGAATTCTTCCACCATGTCATAGGTCCAACCCCCAGCTGCTGGACCTATGAGCTGGACAGCTGCAGCTGCAAACATACTTCCGAGCACCTCTGTTTGGCGGTCGCATCCTGCTGAAGCTATAGCACAAGGACCTTGTAAAACCATCCAACTGTTGAGCCCAAAGAAAATGAAGCGGACACTCATTGCTGCAACGAGATCTGTGCAGAAACCGAAGAGAATGCCGCCGATCAAGTTATCCAGGGCTTCACCGGATTGTAGCCAGCCTGCCACAAAGCCTGCCTCGTTTAAAAAACTGCAGCTCCAAGATCTACACTGAGAATACCTGGCTGAAGATGGAGCACATTTTTGGTAAAAATATGCACATTCCACGCAGAAGAAGACAAGCTGGAGAATGGGCAGGCGTTCCTTCCCTGCAGACTTGGGAGTCTTTGACCTTTTTTCGGTGTGCCAAGTTCGGCTGAGAAATGATCCACTTGGATCCAGTCACTGCGCTGATGGGCAAATCAGAAACTCTTTAGGGACCTGATGTATGGATTATCACAAAAAATCATCCAAAAGCAGGGTGATAGAATAATGATGAATAATGTATATATAATTCTTACAACAGAGTCATACAATATGTTGCCAATCTAATACGAAAACTAAGATATATGTATTGATTGAAAGTGCTGTCGAAATCAGAAGTGTAAGTAATGATAAATACGAAGATCATGTTACAACATCACTTGACACTATTCCAGTCGCTCTTTTTGATGACGAAGAGGGTCATGATAATATTCAGAATGTGATGCTAGATTTGAGCAACACAATGCTTGATACAATTGATACTCACTGTAATGAAGACAATGATATTTTAGATCCCCTGTTTGAGCATTGAATTCAATGTTGATGAATACAAATAAGACGATGAATGAACTTCTCCCACACACTTTCATGATGGAATATCATGGAAGTTATATGACGCTATGCTGTTATTGTTCTAGGCTCTAGCTAGTTGGGGGGTTCATAAAAATTAGACACCAAACCTCCTTCAAAAACTGCGTGCTTGCAGGGCTACCCAAAAACAAAAACCTGCTTTGTCGGCAGTGTCCCTATTTTTTTGGGGGGGGTATCCCCTAGATATGCAACAAACCCTTATGTCTCCTCATATTTTTTTTCCAATATCTCCTTGATAGTTGGTTAAATCATGTCAAATCCCTATTTTTGGTACGTGAAATCCCCGTCCATGGCTGAGTCTGTCCCCATCTACGTCTCGCACCTTACTGGCAACCCCTCGGAAGAGATCCTGGCGGCCACGGAGAAAGGGGCCATTGAAGCCATAGATACAGTATGTTCAATTACTAGAGGGTATGGGCGGTATGGGGTTTAAGTTTACCTTTCATCAATGCTTTGGTGACAACTAGTTGATTCAATCTCAGAGTTTTCTTGGTTGGACAAGAGTGAAATCGCGTATAGATAAGGGGAGTGTACATGTCCTGTGTGTTTAATACGTGGCAAACCTAGATACCCAGGGGGATAAAAAGTGCGTCTAGCTGTGCAGTATATTCCCACATCAAAATGGGCAAAGAAATGTGAGTCGCTTTTCACCTACCTGCCGATTCACAGGAACATACGACATCCCAAAATATGGTTCAAAACTTAAGGCCAGCAACCCAGCGATTTTGGACATTAGGATCTGAAACCATCCATTCAAAATGGTCACAATGACATTGTCGCCCAAAACCCAAATCAATATCTTGATTCCTTGATTCTTCTCCCAAAAAAAAAGAATCATCTCTCTTCATCATCCCCAAAGCCCTTTGTTTTCCATGGCGATCATCCGAAAAATCATCCCTTTTGCAGCGCCTGAGAGGCCAGCAGGAAGATTCCGGGGATCCTTTCCTCTGGAAGCAGGTTCTCCACCTGCAGCGCCGGAGAAATGGATCCAGCCCTGTCAATGGCTTGGTTTTCTTGGGAAAATCTTCACCGGGAACCATGGATTTTCCCATGAAACATGGGGGGGGTCCTGAAGTCAGCTTGTGTTTTACTAGAATGGTGGGAAAAAAAATCCGAGTGATGATCTCATTCCCCAATATCAAACATGCCCCAAACAACCGTGGTAAAAACCTAGGGGATGAAATCACACATTTGGAACCACATGAACGGGGCATGGGCGTACTTAGGCATCTAACTTTGCTGCTAGAACCATCCCCTCACTAAATTTTTGAACACATTGTTCACATATTCTTCAGAGGGATTCATCGAAAACTAAAATTTTCGGCATCTGAAAATAAAGCTACCCTTTCTTCCAATGGATGACAATACTACCATGAAATCCCGTGTTCTGATGGCATAGAATGTGAGTAGAATGTTAATGGAATTGGCATTCTAATGAAATTTACCCTAATGAAATAGTATGTTAGTTAGTAGACTGTTAATGGAATAATGTTTTTGGGAAATTTTCATTATGTCATAATGTTTAAATTAGTAGAATGTTAAATTTCATGCATTAACTGAAATGTTAACAGGGTAATAAATTAGTTAGTAGAATGTTCTCATGTTAAATTGGTTATTTATAATGGATGTTACCCTCTGGTACTTTAACATAGCTATTGAAAATACCCCATGGAAATAGTTGATTTACCTCTTCAACATGGTGATTTTCCATAGTTATGTGAACGTTTGCCAGAGGGTAATGTTAATTTCATGGAATCCCCCATTCCAAACAGGGTCTCCTTGGGGAGGACCGACCCTTGGATTTCCACCTGGCGCTTGGGAGGTCCCATCATGGTGAAGGTCTTGCCGCTGCCCGTCTGGCCGTACCTCAAAGCGACGTGGCGAACACCGGGGAGTTGCCAGGACTCCTAGCCCTATCTGATACATGGTGACGTCAATCACCAGAGGTCCTTCCCCCCTGGCGCACGCGAAGCAAGTGCACTTTGCCTTGTGGAACACCTGAGTACGCCACACTGCTGTCGAGGCATTGAAAAACCATCAAGATCATCGTCTGCAGCTGTTGATTTCCATGAGGGGAACCTTCTTGGAGCTAACTACCATCGGCGTCAGAAAAAGATAGTACCAATATGTGCCAATCATGAAGCGCTTCCTCAGAAATTCTTTGGGGAATGAAGATCAATTCGACTCGGTGGGAGCTGCAAGTCATTCTCGCATTTAGATGTGAGTCAGCATTGTTTCCGAGAGAGTCCCATGGATTGACGAAGCTAGGAGTTCTTGATAAGCGGGGGCAACATCACCATTACCATAGCCATTACCACCACAACCATAACCATCCTCATTCACCACCACCACCACCACCATCATCATCACCAGCATCATCATCATCATCATCATCAGCAGCATCATCTCAATTATCATCTCAAATTATCAAGAATGATACTAATATATCATAATCATTCACCAATAATTATATCATGATGATATGATAACTATCTAAATTATTTGAAAAAAAATTGTTTATGGTATAATTATCATGCTTCATATAAATCATAATTATCTTCAATATAACATTGATAATATGCTAATCATGATTTATCCATAATCGTTAATTATATTAAACCATCAGGGAAGGATGACATCCCATATATGAAATGGAAAATAAAAAATGTTTGAAACCACCAACCAGTATATCATACTATATCCCAATATAATGTCTATCATGTTCCATGAAAAATCCCTATAATTTCCCATTAAATCAATTCAATCCCTATAATTTCCCATGAATTTCCCATGGTATCATGGTTTATCATGGTTTATGGTATAATTATCATGGTTCATATAAATCATAATTATCATCAATATAACCATGATTTACCCTCTGGTAAACGTTTACATAACTATGGAAAATCACCATGCTATTAATGGGAAAATCCACTATTTCTATGGTCATTTTCAATAGCTACGTTAAAGTACCAGAGGGTATCCATCATCGTTAATAATATTCAACCATGGTATCATCATCGACTTCGTTTCCCACCTTTTTTTGGTTTCGTCCGAGAGGCAGCATCAATCACCGGCTGCACGCAACTCTTGTAGAGCGACTCGTTGGTCACCTCAGGGGCCAAGCGGCCGCAAAAAAAGCCGGGGCCATGAAAAACGATGCGAAAAAGATGGGGAAAAAATGGGAAAACTATGGAAAATGATGGGAAAACTATGGAAAATGATGGGAAAATGATGGTAAATGATGGGAAAACTATGGAAAATGATGGGAAAATGATGGTAAATGATGGGAAAACTATGGAAAATGATGGGAAAATGATGGGAAAACCAATTTCGGACATGTGTGATATGGCCATGAAATTTAGAGCTTCGGGGGTCAAACATGTCCCATAGTCTTCCAAGATTTGATGTTTGATATAGCTAAACAGATGGAATTCGGGTCCAACTGGCCCAAATTGTGCGAATCCTGGGAAGCGTTGGAAGCTGCATAACAACGGGGCTGTTCCACAGGCTTAACATGTCTTAACCCTCCAAGAAAGGTATCCGGAAGAAAGCTATATATATATATATAAAGTAAGATTTCAGCAGCAAACACAAACAGAAAATGTTGACCAACACCAACCAACATGCGAAGATCGCCCAAACATTTCCCCTGATCCTGGGATCGATCTCCCCATCAACCTTTTTGGTCCCAGTCCCAACAAATGTCCAGTGACATTCTCATCAAAAGCTTGGTCGAAGAGGAAATTGTGCTCCTGTGCATGTCAAAAGCGGGCTGACCTTTTTCGCCTCCGGGAAAACCAGACATATTGGAAAATCCTCCACTTTGTTCCCTGTAGACCTGCATTTATATGGGTATGGGTCAATACCTATAGATACCATTTTTAGTGGGATGAACATCCATTTTAACCCAGCTATTTTGATGTGAACTACAGGGGTACCAGGGTTTCATCCCCAGATGTATTTCATGGTATTTCCCAGTCGTGTACTGAAAAAAGTGGAACCTGGGAACCTCAGCCACGAGATCATCTCGGTCCTCAACGTACTTGGTGAGGTCCACCTTCAGTTTCGGTTCCCTCACGACCACAGCGCTTTCCCTGGAAGCGGTTTTCATCCATGGTGATTCAGCCACTGAATTTATTGTGATGCACATCTTCCTGAGTAGGAAGTCTACCCTCTGGTAAACGTTTACATAACTATGGAAAGATCCACCATTTTTAATGGGAAAACTCACTATAAATTGTCATTTTCAATGGCTATGTTAAATTACCAGAGGGTAATAAGAAACAATCAGTTGTGCTCCAAAAATACTGAGGCTGGTTGGTTGCCTGTGACTAAGGGCCTCGAAATCTGCAAACGGCACATGCTGCACTCACCAGGATCAAATCGGCCAACGGATTTTTTGTTGACAGCAATGTCAAAGTGGCATCGGATTCGTGCGGCATGATACTTGGGGAGTTCCAGTTACCCTCTGGTAAACTAACATAGCTATTGAAAATAGCCATTTACAGTTGATTTTCCCGTTAAAAATGGTGATTTTCCATAGTTATGTAAACGTTTACCAGAGGATATAAGATGTTGTAAGTGGATATAGTTCACCATAGTCAACGGTATATAAGGCTTGTACCCAAACTTCTGGTTGGAAATCCCAATGGTGATACCCTTTTTGTGGCCCTAACCCCCCAGTTCTGCATCCCCCCTTGTGTGATGAAAGTTTCGCCTGCACATCACCACGTCTTGTTGCGCGGTCTGCACCTGGAGATCTCAATGGAACCGAAAATCTCAAAACTCTCAGAAAGCCTAGGCCCCATTATTTAATCCCATGGTTTAGAAGATCGAGGATGAGTTGAATGGGGGTCATCCTCAATAATGGTGCTTGAATGGTGATGGAATGGATTCTGACTGTCATGGATTTTCCATGAGAAATCGAGGATGAGAAAAGAGAGTCCGGGAAGATCGGGAAGGGACAAACGCACGGGGGGTGTTTCTTGGTTCACCCCCTACTGAAGCAACTGAAAACACCTGGTGGAAATTGATTTTTTATGGTATTTTTTTATCACGCCTCCTGCGAACCTTGACATAGATGTGTGTAAGAAACCCACCATTGGTTTGATCATTTTCCAACGGGTTTCCCCATGTTTTTTTCGACATCAGAGTGTTTTTCAGTCCATGGGTTTTTCCGAAACAGAACTCTTCCTCCAAATGTCGGTTCTGAAAAATCTCCATTCCGAAATTGTCCCCTATTTCTTTGGCAAAGCACTTTAGAAACTCTCCGAAATTCCGCCATTAGGTCCCTAGTTGGCTTTTCCTCAAATGTGCCATCCACCGGTTGGAAAATCCACCATTTTATCGAGAATTCAATGGGAAGATCATCGAACTGAATGGGGGGCCCAGCAAGCCATGTTTGATTTCCGGAGCTACTCATTCTCCCCGTCTCTTAAATCCCATTGTTGTTCGTTAAATCCCTCTTAAATCACCATTGTTGAGGGGGAATCACCATGTTTCTCCCATAGTTCTCCCCGCCTCGCGCTTGTTCATGGGCCGCTTTCGCACCACCACGCTGAGCCGCGAAGTACGCGGCGCGGCTGCAGTCTTGGGTTCAGCGGGCGCCTGAGGCGACTGTAGCAACTCAAGAAAGATGCAGAAAATATATAATAGTTGATGATTGGGCTATACATCTATAACCTGGTTGGTGGTTTTAACCATCTTGAAAAATATGAAAGTCAATGGGAAGGATGACATCCCATATATGAAATGGAAAATAAAAAATGTTTGAAACCACCAACCAGTTATTGATGCAGAAAATAGAAACCAAATTCAAAGTAGTTGTAAATCACGTGTCGTACCTTTTTGGGGGGGGTTACTAGATATATGTAGACCTTGGGATTTTTTGGGATGTGTGCCAAAACGAGGCTTTCCGACAGGGGTTGTGCCTAAGCTCATACTCTTGCTGAATTGGCGCCGGGGCCGCCCTCACATCCCAGACCCGAGCACTGAATGTGCTTTTTATGCTTTTTGAATGAAAAATGGGATCAAAGTCCACACCATTCGTAAGCTGAAAGTATGAGATCGGACTGCTGCGATCCACCTGTGTCTCCCCCGGGGTCCCAGGCGTTCGCCACATTTCCAGTGCTGTTGCGCGTGGGATTCAAGGTCCGGCTTCCACAGGCCAGGGAGACACTGGCGATGCAAGAGACCGGGTCACAGGGCTGGTGATGCAAACTGAACCATGGTTCAAATTTATAAACCATGCTGAATCCACCGTTAACCATTGTGAATCATATTGTAAACCATATGATCAACCATGACGGAACCAAATTCACAATTCGTTGGTCCACTTCTGCTTGGGACAGTGTTACCTGCTGCGCGGAAGTGGACTCGCCGAATCTGTTCGCTACCACGCGGAGAGATTGGGAGTCGAAAATTTCGACCAATGCAGTAAGTCTAAAAAAATCTACCCCAAAAATTGGGGCTAGAATATCTCCCAACTGGTAGGTCATTGGGTATCGTTCATTGTTTCGGATCCGCCATACTAATTATATGGTTGTATTGTTCATAGGGCTCCCCCAAAGTCCTACGGTTTATCATGATTTTCCCCGAGAAAATTGCCGTTAGATACCATCTTCCCACAAATTCTGCGACAAAGCCTGGAGTGTTGTTCCCCAGCCAGTGGATACACGAGCTGGAAAATATGATACCCTCCGGCACTCAAACATGGCAACCTAAAAGTCCCCATCTATAAATAGTGTGTGATATTCTATGATACTATAATGATATAATACTATAGTGATAATATGATACTATAGTGATATTCTATGATATTCTATGATAGATGATGTTTCCGCATTGAAGTGCCCATTCAGTTCAGGGATTTCCCCTCCATCACAACCCCTGCAGCGCCAGCGCCACCTGCCGGTGCCACTCACCGAGTTGCGGCCGCCCACGGGACCCTGAAAGCCATAGGCTGTCTTCTGTGATGGCCCCTGGGACGAGCGCTTCGGTTCGGACTTGTGATGGCTTTCTTCGATATGTGCTGAATGGACTTCTGTTGGATGGGGGGATGCTTCATGCAAAAATCATGGAATGCAACAAAGCAAAATGAGGATATGATATGATATGATATGATATGATATGAACCAGCAACAATGGATGGAGATATTGATATTCACCAACAAAGAGATGAGGGTATAACACCAACAAGCTTGTGGGGATATATACTGCAAATTCTATATAACCAACAAATATGAGCAGGAAAATGGGAACTAAGTAAGCTCTGTGCCCCTTTTTGTTGTCCTATATACCACATTCATGATCCATTGGTTTTTTTAGTTGGACGCCTGTTCAAAATGGTAACCTGAAAATCGGGTCTTAGGGTACCCGTCCACTGGCGCCTGCCCTTTGCCACCACAGATCACCTTCGCACGGCGATTTGTGACCAGCATGAGCTGGTAGAATATACCAACCAGAATGGGGATATCATGGGGATTACCCTCTGGTAATTTAACATGGCTATTGAAAATGGCCATTTATAGTGGATTTTCCCGTTGAAAATGGTGATTTTCCATAGTTATGTTAGTTTACCAGAGGGTATCTACTGTATGGGGATATGGATGAACAATATAACAAACGTGATATGATTTTTGAATGTGTGTCTGAAAATGGGGCGTACCTGAAAAGTGGCTACTTCATGTGGCAAATGATGATCAAGTGTGAAATGTCCGGGTACCCTATGTTCAGACACAACTCTTTCTGGGTAACTTTAGACCCTGGGAACAGGTCCATTTTCTGAGCAGAACCAACAGATCCACTGGTTGATCAAGAGATTACCCTATTGAAATCACAATTTTAAGGGTATATCCGGTATATCCCATTTTAAGACACATCCAAATATCAAATTGGTTATATCTCCATTAATACCACCCTTAGTTTCCCATTAGCATCCCCTTTTTGGTGCTTTCCTATCCCAAAGGTTGCACATCAATCACTTTATATAGTCCCATTGAATTATAAAATGTCATTATATCTAATTTGTTGCTTGTTAATCCCAATGAAATCCCATTAAATCACCATTTTTGCATGACAAGCGTGGCGACCAACCGTTGGGCAAGACACCGCGCCCGGCGAGCGAGCGCGCGCCCGGGACGTCTGGCGAGCGCCTGGTTTTCGTCAGATTGGATCAAAATTGGGTACCCCAACAATTAGATGGTTAATAATATGGGGTTAAATTATTGGTACCCCAAATGGGGTTTAAATACCAATAATAATTATTGGTACCTAACAATAATTTAAAAGAGATGGTTAATCTTACTGGTGCTAAACGCAGGAAATGGATGGGTTGCTGGGGGTTGCTGGGATGATTATTGATAGTTGGCCAGTGGATCATCCCGGAAAATTCCCTACGTTTAGCACCAGTAAGTAATAAGAAATATACTAACTTCTGTGGTCCCAAGGTCTTTCATTTTGACCCATACCCAGTATACATAAATGAGTATATAAGATTGCGATGTGTATATTTGTATGTATGATATGATAAATGAGGTTGAATTCTGTAAAAATGAGTGTTCAGAACGTCTATTCTCCATCTCCTTTAGATGGGAAGCAGCCGGCGCTGCCAAAAAAAAACAAAGTATGGCAATTTTAATGATAAAATGATGTTTGAAACCATCGGATAATGGGTAAGACGTGGATTTATATAACATTGAAAAGAATAACGGATTTTGGGTGCAGCTGTGAAACCTTTGTTTTTGTGAATCTAGGGGGAATCTAGTGGAAATCTAATGATTGCGAATCCAATGAGAATCTATTGGCAATCAAAAGATGATCAAGAATCAAATTGTTCGAATAGGATAGGGAATCACAATGGATGACTGCAGGTGACTTCAAAGCTGCAAGTACTTTCCCAACTTCACAGGAAGATTTCAACATGTAGCCTCCAGTAAACTAACATGGCTAGTTTTCGAATCACCATATTTTTGAAAGGTAAATCATCTATAAATCATCCAACTAAATGGATCTAAATGGTCCATTTTCGGATGGGGGCCCCCGTAAACGATAGCGTTCAGTTGCCTGAAAAAAGTGCCTGAAATCTATGGATTATGGTAGATATAACTATGGTATTCATGGGGGTTATTTCATGGTTTATAAACCTCTTATAACCTGGGGGGGGCCATCCAGTTATAGTTTATCCACTTTATTTTAAAAAAAAACTATACAGTAGCTATAAAGTGGATAAACTATCATAAACCTCTTGGATAAATGTTGATCATGTACATAGATAGTATATAACAATATATAACAACATATAGATTAATATAGATAGTCATATAGTCATATAGTTATTTGTAGTTATTTGATAGTTATAGATAGTTATATAGATATATAGATATAGATAGTCATATAGATAGATATAACAACATGTTATTTCTAGTTATACAAGCTACGTTGAAGATACTGAAGTGGATACCCCATGGCCGTTGGATGCTTCGTTCGGCAGGCAACGGCACCTGGAATCCCCACCGCCGAACGCATCTGACTGGCACTGACCTCGAAGCGATGAAACACTCACCGTTGAAAAACGGACACGTTGGAGGAAATCATTATAGAATATTAGAAGAATGAAAGTTGGGGGATTAGATGATCTTAATCTATGTTCATATAATATATATATATACATACATACATATAGATATATATGTATATACATATGAATATATACATACATATATATATGTGTGTGTATGTATAATGGCTCAAAGAATACGCTTTTTTCGGGAATTGCCCTGGGAGGACAAACCTGTGGGACCAATGTTTTTTTCATTATTTTGGGAGGACAAACCTGCGGTTTGCAGATTTGGGTTGAAGCAACAAAACGGGGCATCCCACAACGTTTCACCACTTGGAAAGTGTGTTCTAACCGCAGAAAAAATTGGCCAACCAACTGAGATTTTGGAGATTTTGCCACCAGAAATCTAGGGGGAATCTCGCCCTGGGGGAGTTGACCAGTTGAGGCGTAATCGAGGTCCCCAACCAGCATTCAGACAGCAGATCCTCGGCGAACTTGGGACCATGTCGCCATGTCGTGCGTTTTTTAAGCGAGACCCAGATGGATGACATTTGTTGGTAAACCTCGAAAATTCTGTGGTGTAGAAATGGGTTCTATGACATCGGAAAAAACATCTAGCATGTTGTATGATAGGTGAGAATTGAAACAGGAAAATAATATGGAAAACAATCATCGATTGTCAGGAGATGTCGCTTCCTTCTAAAAAAAACTGCAAGAGACCCATGAGTTTTCCTATTACTATGTCAGTTCTAAGCTCCAGGTTCCAGTCTGACGTCCAGTCTTCTCTGAAATCAGGTCTGGAAACTACATACCCAAAAACTGGTCATGTTGAGTTACGTTGACCTTCAAACATCCGGAGCGGTGAACAATTTGATGGATCTACGCACCAAAGCAAGAAGCTGATTGGCACATGATTGACAAGAGAATTTCACCCGCAGCCGCAAACTGCGAAAGAACCGGAAAGGCTTGCGAATCATGAAATGTTATCATTTGAGTTGGAAAAAAATGCGGTTCTCTGTTGAAGCACAAACGGGGCTTGTGATGTGAGACAATTAGATGACTGAAAATATGGAAAATACTTGCTCCACTTGGTTTTTTCAGTGCAGCTAGTTCAATGTCACCCTGGTCCGTGATCAGAAGAAGCCTCAGCCCCGGATTCGTAGACGACGATTGAAGGGGGTTCCCCGCTTGTTCATAAACTGGAGGTGTTTTTTTAGACAAACCCTCGGTTCGCATTACTCAATGTATATCCCAAAAAATATCTTAAAACCCATTTCCAGCTGATCTTAATGGTATCCCCATGAAATCTTTCTTGCCCAATAGCTATTTTCAACACTTGAATACTGATGATTAGATTTGCCAAGGGATGGCCTTCCAGAGACCTTCTCCAACGATCCAAAAACTTGGAAGGGATTGAGGGATCCTTCTGACAGGCATCCGTACACTGTTGGTTGCGTTTATACCCTTGGTTCTATCCATGTCCATGGTGGTTCATGTCTCCAAAAAGGGAACCCTGGTTTAGTGATTGGATCGATTCCTTGAATTGGGCCACAAAATTTGGGATATAGTGGATTTTCATAGATTCTATTGCTATATATATATATATATTGGTTCCTATATATTCCCATTTCAGGATGGTTAAAGCATGTTAAACCCCCGGTCTCGGCCGATCTCCTCGAGCCCCCCGGCCGCCATGCTGGGGTGATCGCCCAGCAAAATCGGCAAGCAATGGCTAGGAACCAACGGCCGCGTGGCCAGCGCATGACATGAGGTTAGCTGATGATGAAAGTCGGGGATCCACCCAAAATCCCCCAAAATCCAGGGATTTTCTGATGCAAATTGCCTCATTTTCCGGCCAATGGGATGCAGACAAAATTTGACCCGAGCCAATGGTCGAATGACATAAGAGTGGAAATGCCATGTGAAACCCATACAATCCATATCATGTGACAGTGGCATATATATATATATATGTGTGTGTGTGTTGATATAATATATGTCATATGTTAAAATATCTTCATTTATGTCATGTATTTCTGTGCTATGTTTGTATATATATATATTAACACCAAATCATCCTCTTCGGTTTTTCACGCTTTTCTTGATCTGGCTGCGATTGCGCCTGTCACTTGGAGGATGATCATTTGTTGAATCGATTGTGCGTTTGAATTTATGTTATTCAATATCGAATCATCCATTGAATTCATGTACATGATATATCATGAAAAAAAATACTGTACATAAACAAATATTAATCCATTACATTCATCATTTGATATTTAACATACCGGTATACACTACAAAAAGGGTTTGTCTGAAAATAGGATACCCCCAGATCCAATTGATAGTCACTAGTTTCCCCATCAAATGGCCATTGGATCTGGGTATACACTGATACACCATTTTAAGACACACCCAAACATGATTGATCCTCCAAATCTGAAACCACGACCTGTTCACTGGCCCCTCCTAAAGAGGGGCACAGGTTTTCGGCTCAGCGCGAATTCCCAGCTTCACGATCTGGCGAGAAGATGTACTTGGCGTTCATCCCAGTAGAATTGTGGTTGAGAATGGTTTAGAATTCTTTATTTGCGGCCAATCTTTCTCTATGAGTGGTGAAAAATCCGGCTGTGTCCAGTGGTGGGAAAATGATGGGATTGGAATAGGCCAAGGTTGGCCTCTCATAGGAGTAAGAATCCACTGGTGTGAACCGCCAAGTATTTTTCACGTGAAGTCATGAAACCCTAAACTTCATCAACTTGGTTATTTCCAAGAAACACATAAACATCAAGGGCCACTTGCCGATATTCGTCTGGAATATGCTTCCAACAGCACCAAGTTTACTTGGGCATGGTGAAGTTCGTAGGAACGGGAGTTCCAATTCTGAGTCCCTTCAGGCCTTCAGGAAGTCAGGAAGAAACAAAATTAGGTGAGACCCTACAAAACTTCACTGTGTTATTTAGTCTTCTATCAAAAACGACCCAAGTGTGATAGGTCTTAGTTGAAATGTGTAACAGTGTAACAGTGTAACAGTTGTGCTGCGAGTGTGCTTTGGTACAAGTGAGAACTATTTTTCAAAGCGTCCGCACAAAAATATATACATACATGGCATAACATACATATAAGGTGGTGCCCCATAGTTAGCTAAGTTGACTTACAACTTGGTTAACTAGGGTTTATGGGAAATACAAGTATAGTTAATTGATTTTATAAGCCAACTTATAACTGGGGGGCACCACATTGTATAAGCCTTTTAAGCAAGGGGTCAAGGAGTATTCGACCCTTTTCATCTCTGAAAGGCCCAGCTGCACCTCGTCAGGCGAAGTCGCCAAAGTAGATGTTGTGGGTCCTCAACTGTCACTCACCGCTCTTTTCGCTGCGATTCAAGCAGCTTGGTGGTACACATGTGTATTTAATATAGTATATAATTATGTATATATATATATACACTCTGTATGTATATATATATATATATGTAGATATGTATTGATTACTTATCCCAAATTGAGGTGGAAAAGTTACACGTTTATCCCCGCTTGCCTTTGTCAGATCAGGGTCTAAATAGATTTTTGAATATCAGACAGACAGAATGTCAAAAAATATGCAGATAGGATGTCAGGTGGCGGGGATCACTCAAAGTAATTCAAATGACCAAAGGCCCTGTCGAAAAACGTATCAGTCCTCAAGCTCTGCAGAAATGTGGAAAAACTCTGAAAATATTCCTAAAAGCTTCATGGTGCGAAGCGTCTGTGCATTAACATCCATAAGCCAATGGACCATTGCACAGCTACGTCTGCGTTTCAAACAAAACCAAGTGGCAGAGTTATCCAATCGGAGTCTTTCCGCGTGTTGTAGGTACCAGGGCCAGGTAGTACCTGGTTCCATTCCAGAGAAGTGACGTGCAAAGGCCCCGCAAATCTTATGTCCTACTGTCCTTTTAGGTCTAGGATAAAATTGAAGGAACAGTGTGTTCGTCGACCCTCTCTACCTTCATAATTATATCATCAAATCATGGATACTTTTTACACACGCATCTACTTCTATGAAACAGCTGGTGCTACTTTAAAGACACATACCTTGAAACTCAAATTTCCAAACACAAAACTAACACCAAACATGTTAACATATGCTATCCCAACATGTAAAAACACAAACGGCCAATTTAAGGATCAAAGACACACACCAGGACAACAGCAGCACCAGCAATTCCACGGTCCCTTTTCTCGTCGTTTGTCCCAGCACCAGCAGGTTTTGCCCAAAAGTTCCACGAATCCCAGAAAGGCTACAAACTCTGGGGGTTTCCATCACAATTTTGAATTTACAATCGGAATTTACGTGTTGGTCAGGCAACAATACGTTGGCGACGTTGCTTTCCTGACCGTTCAACATCGATTTTCGGACCAATATGGCTTGCGTTCAATCTTTTTGGGAGGCCATGGTTGGCCATAGAAAACGTCGCAGCCTACCCTCCTACCGGATGGCCAATCTGGGTCGAATTCCCCAGTGATTCCAGCGAAAATCGCATTCAGACCAGGAAGGAATAGCGTTTCTATCATCGTTCTTTCACATCAATATTTGAAAAAAAAAATGTGTTCACATAAACTATTCAGAAGCTATTAGATCTTTGGGCATCTAAACCCCGCCTGGGTTGGGCAAAAACATGGGTACGCCCCAAAATCCTGTGGTTAACATCATTTTCCCTATTGAAATTGCCATTTTTCAGGGTGTATTTGCAGTATTCCCCATTTTCAAACCCATCAAAATCATTTTTTAAGATGTCATCTGCCTCTCCGTTCACGGTATTTCCCTATGGTCATAGCCACTTTTCCGGCCACCCTTCCGGCCCCTAAGGCCCCACCTCGCCCTTCTGACCGCCAGGTCCAAAACGCTTGGATTGCGACTCGAAGCCGAGGCCCTGGAACCCATCGGAACATGATCTCAAAATGGTGGATTTGCCACAGGTTAATTTGGGGAAAGTAGTGATCCACCCAATGCCATAATATGCCATACACTGTTTGGGGATGGTGGTTGAAAACCACCCACATCAATGGTTGGTCATCTTGGGATGGTTTTACTGTTGGTTTACTATTGGTTTAGCACATGAAAAAAAACATTGCTGGCCTATTACATTTGGCTATTGCTAGTTATCACCGACTCTGGAGCTTGGATGCACATCCAAGATCATCCAAGTATCCAGTTTTCACATGAAATTCACTGAAAAGATGTGTCATTGGGGTCCCATTTATCCATGGGTCCCATCAGAAACAACCCTGGATTTCCCTTTTCTATGTTCATGTCTATTTCAAGATCTGTTTCCATATCTATCAAGAAAAACTCAGGTTTATGCAGCTACTTGATATAGACATGGAAATCCCATATAGGTTCCACATTTATAATATATCTATATAATATATATATATATATATTATATATATAACATATATATGTCTAATACATATATATATAACATATAATATATATATATATATTATATATATATAAATTTTATATATGTGTATTCTTACCATCAAAACTCCCGTCCCCCGAAGATCTGAAGTCTCCACGGGCGGACCCTGGGCTTGCCGGAGGCGGGGGCAGCATCCACCTGAACTTTTGGGCCAGCTGGGATGGTATGGATGAGGGATTGCGTGTGATTACATCGGTAATATGATAAAGTTTACCATTTGGGATGTTAAACATTACAGAGATACCATTTGGGGTGAAGAAAAGGTGGCTATGACCATAGGAAAATGCCCCAACCCGTGAACGGAGAGAAGCAGATGAAATCTTAAAAAATTATTTGGATGGGTCTGAAAATGGGGAATACCCTCTGGTAAACTAACATAACTATGGAAAATCACCATGTTTAATGGGAAAACTCACTATAAATGGCAATTTTCAATAGCTATGTTAAATTACCAGAGGGTACCATTTGGGATGTTAACTGTTAAAGTTATCTATATCATATTACCATTTGGTATATCAGTTCCATCCCAATGGTAATATGATATAGATAACGTAGCTTTAACATCTTGGCGACTTTCAACCCAAGCATCACTCAAACCTACATGCCACCGAAACATGCCCCGTGGTGGGATTCCAAAACTTTCTCCAGGTCTCCGCACCGCGTGGCGGTTGAAGGTCCCGGCAATCTTGCCGCCGGTGACATCTTTCACCTTGTACCTGGGTGGAGCGTCTGCAAAGATCGTATCCCAATGGCCATGGATGATACACTGTTCAACTTGGCAAGGAAAAGTCTTCAACATGAAGCCGTCACACTTCTAGAACTTGGCCTTAAAAATCATCAAGGGCGTTTCACCGAGCAGTCCGTGATACAATCACACTTCTAGAAAACTTACTGGTGCTTAGTAGGGAATGGATGGGAATGGGGGTTGCTGGGATGATTATTACTAGTGATTATGGATCATTCCCTCATTCCCTACTAAGCACCAGTAAGAATAGTATGTGGGTATGGGTCAAAATTAGGTACCCCAAAATTATGGATGGTTAATACTAAACTAGACATTCACATCTGTGGTCCCATTAATGGTCTTCCATTTTGACCCACATCCATATATCCATGATTTATCCATCATCGTTATATAACAATATTCAACCACATTTTCCATCATTTTCCCATCATTTTCCATAGTTTTCCCATCATTTTCCATAGGTTTCCCATCATTTCCCATGAATTTCCCATGAATTTCCCATGGCATCATCAGTGCTTCACAAAGCACTGCTCAGGCGCAGACCATCCAGGGCCCGGCCCGACTGGTGCAGCTTCGGCTTGCCGCTGTGATCCCTGGGAAGGCGGACTGTGACCCATAAAGGGACCAAACAATGGACACGCCATGTGTTTTGGAGAATGTGGGGTGTATATATATATATATATTATTATTATATATATATATTATCATATATATATATTATCATATATATATATATATACACATTGCAGTAAACCTAGTAAACTAGCAAAGCAGATCAAAATATATCAAAGCATCCATTCTGGGGTGGTCATAGTTTTGAGCCATACCCACATCACACCCAGGCTTCGAAATCCCTTGAGGAAACACGAAATGGTTGGCCAAAGCAAAAAAATGGGATCTCAGAATACCAGGGGCAAACCCACATGTCTGAGTAAAACTCCTTAGTTTGGGAAACCAAAACACATGGCGAAACCCATGGCTTTTATTATATATATATAGTCAAACCCATGGGTTTTTATGGTTGATTTCATGACCTGATGGGTTTCAAAAATCATGTTTGATGGCTTTTTGATCCACTTGATGGTTGACCTACCCTGAAAAATAAAATCGCCAGTTGGGATTCTCATCCCATGTCCGGTGACATGGATTTCATGGGATTTTCATGGTTTTTCACGGCTTTTCCCATGGGTTTTCCCTTGGTTTTTCCATTTCTCCCAGGTTTTCCTCTGGTTTTTCCCCTCGTCACCAGTCGCACTGAGCTGCTGGGCCGAGCCAAACCCCTCGCCCTTCGGCGCCAGGCGCTGGACGCTGCCCAGATCCCGCTGGAGCCGAGGGCTGTACCTCCGGAAAAATTCGGGCAGTTTTTTCATGGGTAGAAAGAGGTTCTCCAATATGGCAGTGTGTCAAAACCTTGTACCCCTGTAGTTCACATCAAAATAGCTGGGATTTATGGATGTTCATCCCCCTAAAAATGGTATTAATAGGTATTGATCCATACCCATATGTTGTGGTGAACTATGTTCTACCAACTATGTCGTAAGTGTTTCTAACTATGGTTTATTGGCAAATTGGATATGGTGAACTCCAATAACTCCAATAACTCCAATAACTCCAATTTCACGATGGTTTTTCTGGGTTTATAACTCCATGGTATAGTGGATATGTAGTGTATAACTGTACAACCAAGTTGGTATGTGAACCAACTATAGTAAGTCAGATGGGATATGTAGTGCCCCAAATCCTTAGCTAAGTTGGTGCAAATAACTCCAATTTCACTATGGTGTTTCTAAGGTGATATATCTATAGTTGATGGGTGTGAAACCCATTTATAACTGGCGCGCCACCTCGTGGATATGTGGATATTCTTAGGGATGTTACAGTAAACCATCAAGCCAAAGCGAACCTGGGAATTGATGATTGAACGATCCATTGTATATATAATATGATTTCTTGTGGTTGGGGGATATCGTCGATATAGCTTATAACAATTCCATCTACCTAACCATTTTAACTGTATATATATATAATTATATATATATGATAGACAGAATTATCACTGTTAGTGACTATCAATTCCATGATAGGCGATAACTATGGATTGAAATTATCAAATGGTTGGTGATGGTCAGAATTCCAATTGGAAGTCACCAAAACTTCCAACCATTGAAATTGAAACCAATTGATGAAGAATTGTATTGGAACCAACTGGTATCGGAGGATTTTTTTGTGAAATGGTGATGTTGGTAGAATTCCAGTTGGTTGGGTGACAAGATCCATCAGTTGATGTGCCAGTCAAATCAGTTAGGTGATATAATCCATTTGTTCCAACCTGTTAGGTGATAATATGTTGAATGTGAATAAACCTAATCATGATAGATGGAATTATAAATTCAAGAATCATGACAAAATTGACATCAATGGTAAATTGTAGCTATATTGGTGCAATGGCGAATATTGATAGTGATAGAATGGATTTAGTAAATCATTATATGCACAATGAATAGTTGGTTAGGTGATTGTTTGTTCAAAAAAAAAAGAAGAAACAACATCAGTTTTTTCTCAGTTGAATCATTTGGTACCCTCTGGTAATTTAACATAGCTATTGAAAATGGCCATTAATAGTGGATTTTCCCATTAAAAATGGTGATTTTCCATAGCTATGTTAGTTTACCAGAGGGTAGATCAACTGGTGATAAAATGGAATTTAATTCTACAGCTGTAAATCCAGTAAATCCACCAGTTGATCAATAACAAGCCGGCGATGGCATGTAGAATGAGATCAGGTTAGTAACCAGTCCATCAACCAAAGAAATGGGCCCCTTGGATAGGTAAGCTGCCATACAGCTAGGCTAACTAGGACGTATGGTTCATATACCGCCGGATGTTTGTATAAGCCAATTCTAAGTTGGTGGGTAGGAAAATGATGTACATGTTTCCAGTGCTCGCCATTAAAAATTTGGAAGTTTCCTGCCTTTATGTTCCCTTCATCCACAATCATATGGGTATGTGTCAAAATTAGATACCCCTAAAATTGGATCGTGAATACCAAAAAATGAACAGAATCGGGAAAAACCCTGGGTTTTCCAATTAAAAAATGGTGACCCGTTCCCATCGTTCCCACATCCCATTCATCCCATTCATCCCATTCATCCCATTCATCCCATTCATCCCATTCATCCCATTCATCCCATTCATCCCATTCATCCCATTCATCCCATTCATCCACCATTTTCCAGAAAAAAAACACCGGAAAAAACTGGGCACGCGCCCGGGGGCGGGCCGACTTGACCATCCTTTTGGTACTGCGCCACCATGATGTCCTGCCGCGCTGCGCCACCAGGACACATCACAAGGTGCGTCTCGGTACCCCCCAGATGTGTTTGTTGATTTATAGAGCCAACTTAACAAACCTAACCATAAATCCCAGTAACTAAACAAAAATCTGGTTACTAACCATAAAATACCATAAATACCCTAAGATTTTTTGTGATCTTTACCAACTTCGTCGAGGGAACGCTTTGAATCGGATTCATAGGATTACCATCTGTTTCTATAGCTATTTCATCACCGTAAACACAAACAGTTCATCTACCATCTGGTTATTTAACATAGCCATGGAAAATGGCCCATTTATAGATGGTTTACCTGGGTTTACCTATTGAAAATGGTGATTTTCCATGGCTATGTTAGTCATAACCAGAGGGTATATTGTTCTGTTTACAAACGTTGCTAATGACTTGGGGCACCAGCTTGCAGGATCTGAAATCCCACTTTTTTGCGGATGAAATTCCCAGTGTTGATCAAATCAAGAGGGAGAAAAAAAACACCAATTTCGCGAATCATTTACCTAAAAATGGTTGGAGAAACCCTAAAAATTAAAAGATAAAAGAAAAAAGGTTATAACAACCCCGTTGTTAAGATAGAAATGTAATTCATCACTCATCACTATTCTAGTAGGATTTCTTTCGCTTGCTTTTCGGGTTTCTATCCCGCCTTGGGCACAGTAGACCTGAAGAAGCTGCTGGGTGGGAACATCCGTCGAGGCTTCCTGGCCATTGGGAAAACCGATTTTAAAAAAAAATATGAATCTTATCTTTTTCTGGTTGGTGGTTGAGCCACCCCTCTGAAAAAAAAAAAAAAAAACAGTTGGGATCATTCCCAATTGAGGAAAAAAAACACACCAACCAGTTTTGATTGTTTCGTGGTAATGTTATGTTAGTATAGTAAAGCAAGAGAAACCACCCATATTTTGACGGTTTATAGCACCCCCATTAAAATTGTAATATGCGGGATGGTTTACTATTGCTTTACTACCATTACATGTGCTTGTTGAGTATCCTTAGTATGTTAGGGAGTGCAAACAACGTTGTTTTGAGATCTCCAAGTTAGAGCTGTATTTTTGTTTAGTCTGCTTAGTATGCTCTATCAGTTTGATTCTTTTTGGGGTTACATCTTCTGAAGGCTCATCTGGGGTCCAAAGTTCTTCATCGAAGAGAGCTGGGATGGAAATGCCCCCGGTAGCCTTCACCATTTCACTGGAACCTTCTGGAATGCTACTGGAGGAAGCTTGACACGGACCACGGGACCACCTGCCGATACACCAGAGGAACCCACCACTGTCACACAGGGTTGCCTGCCAGGGTTTGCACCACTGACACTCGACGCTTCCTACGGCGGGAAAGGGTCAAGATGTCTTAATAAATAAGACAAAGGCAAAGGGCGACCAACTTGGTCTCCACAATCATATGTAGGACTGCCAACCTTGTGGGAAAACACGGGTCTTTCTCAAAACACAAATCAAATGAGTAATTTCTGGTAGGCAGGTGCGGATCCTCCCAAAATCTCCTGGTTTGAACGAAACTCCTGGAGTACCCTCGTAGTCCTCGTAGTCTCTGAAATCACCCGCCAGACTTTAGTTTTTACCCCGTTCAAGAATCTCAAAAATAATCGCCCAAGGATACACCATGATCACGGTTTCTCTCGGAGACAGAAAACATCATCATGTTTGGATGGGATGTGAAATATCATCAAAGGAAGTTGGGAAGCAATCTTCCGAGTTACACATTATTTTTATTCAAGTGACCTTGTGAAATTTAACAATAGATCACATAACAACACATCACATAACAATACATCACACAACAATACATCACATAACAATACATCACACAACAATACATCACACAACAACACATCACATAACAATACATCACATAACAATACATCAGTGGTCATGACGAAGGGCGGTGATGTGGTGACGGCGAAGGGTGGTGACTGAGGGAAGTGGTGATGACCAATGGTGGTGACTGTAGGAAGTGGTGACTAAGGGGAGTGGTGATGACGAAGGGTGGTGAAGTGGTGATGACGAAGAATGGTGACTGAGGGAAGTGGTGTCTAAGGGAAGTGGTGATGACGAAGGGTGGTGACTAAGGGAAGTGGTGCCCAAGAGAAGTGGTGACTAAGGGAAGTGGTGGTGGTGACTAAAGGAAGTGGTGATGACGAAGGCTGGTGACTGAGGGAAGTGATGCTGCGTTGGGGAGGAAGCCGGGGCATGAAACCTTGTGTTTTTCCGTGTAAAGTGGCTGCAGCCGGCGATGAAAGGCAGCTTGTGTGCGCGGCGGGTGCGGCTGGGATCGTTTCGAGCAATCGGTTCTTCCGTGGTGTTCTGCAACGCATGGATGTGTGCAGTGTGCTGCAAAACGCATTGTAATGGCTGCATGAATGTTGCATGGGACTTGTGTTGGGGAGGAAGCGTTTTGCCGTGTAAAGTGGCTGCAGCAAGGGCAGCTTGTGTGCGCGGCGGGTGCGGCTGCGATCGTTTCGAGCGTAATCGGTTCCTCCTTTTGGTGTTCTGCAATGCGTGGATGCACAGCGCATTGTAATGGCTGCATGAATGTTGCATGGGGCATGTGTTGGGGAGGAAGCCGGGGCATGAATCCTTGTGTTTTTCCGTGTACAGTGGAGTGGTACTGGGACGTGCTTTGTGCAAGCTTTGTAGTACAAAGTAGTACTGGGAAGTGCTTTGTGCAAGCTTTGTAGTACAAAGTCGTACAGGGAAGTGCTTTGTGCAAGCTTTGTATAGTACAAAGTAGTACTGGGAAGTGCTTTGTGCAAGCTTTGTAGTACAAAGCGGTACTGGGAAGTACTTTGTGCAAGCTTTGTAGTACAAAGTAGTACTGGGACGTGCTTTGTGCAGGCTTTGTAGTACAAAGTAGTACTGGCAAGTGCTTTGTGCAAGCTTTGTAGTACAAAGTAGTGCTGGGAAGCGCTTTGTGCAAGCTTTGTAGTACAAAGTAGTGCTGGGAAGTGTTTTTTTGCTAGCTTTGTAGTACAAAGTAGTACTGGGAAGTACTTTGTGCTAGCTTTGTAGTACAAAGTGGTACGAGGTCAGATTAGGTGAGAAGAGCTCAGACGATATGAGTTGAGATGAAGTGTGAAGTTGAGATGCAACGTGGAGGGTGAAGTCTAAGCTTTGGAAAGCAAAGCATTGCTTGGCGTTGCATTGCATCGGGGTCGCGCGCAAGTCCTGTTCTTGGACAACAAACACGCACGCACGGGCCTGGCTGGCACACGACGCATGCAAGTTCTATATATAGATGAGAAAAGTCTTATAGTATAACCGTAAGGCAACTTCCGCCCCGCCTCATGCGGGTACTACTGGGATATACTCCATCAAATTGTTGAAAATGCAACACATCCCAGCTCTAAACACATCATATTGGTCATTTGTTCTGTCATCTGGCTGTGATCCCTCATTATTTGGAGCCTAGAATTGACTCACAAATGTCGCTGGCTCTCCTCGACCCCATCGTAGTAGGCGCCAGGCCCAGGCTCCTGCAAGCAGGATTTAGTCATCTCCTTGGGCTGCGAAATCCTCCATGTGAGTGAACATATCCATGCAATGACAGGATGGTTTCAAAAGTCCCAACTAGACCAAGAATTGTAAAACCTAGGCTTTAAAACCCATGATTAAACCATGATTAACCCATGATTAAATCATGCGCTAACCAATGACATCGGTAATGAACCATGCCCAATCTATCCCCGTTGGTTCCCTGAAATTGGTTCAGCCATCCAATTGGAGAATGGTAAGGACATCAGGCTCATCGGGTTGGCACCTGGCCCTTCTTGGGATCACTGATGCCACGTCGCGCCTCCATACTCCCTGCCACAGGTGGAGGAAGGCACGTCGTTTTCTTGAATGGAACATGTGGTGAAATGGATGAGAGCAGGAAAATAAAACTGAGAAATTCATGACTTAAAGTGATTCTTTGGGGTAAATGCTATTGATGGAATTCATTTCCCCATATATAATGATATACTTAAGATTATTTGCCCAATGAACTTGGGTGGTATAGTCCATACCTATTTAGTACCTCTGGTATAAATCAACCATATACAACATATATATATATATACATCACATATCATCACATGAAATCACCATGGAAAATCACTCAAGTCCCATAAAAATCGCCTCACCAAATCCCACGGAAAATCACCATGAAGAATCACTCAAGTCCCATTAAATCACTCATTCAAGTCCCACTAACTCACCATCATTTTGCCTGTATGGTATAAATCTGCAAACCATATTCATATACCTCAGATTAAATCAGTGTGTTGGTTGAAGCACCTGAAGCACCAGCATCTCCAAGCAAAAACCCCCCGGAAAAACACGGGGCCGGCACCGAAGGCCAAACTTCCGCTGCCGCCCAGGATGGAGGCGGAGCTGTTGCGCCAGCCGCTCTTCTGATCTTGGAGAAAGACGGTCGGATGTTTTTGGGCGGTTGATGGGTTTTAGCGGGGGTGTCAATGGGGTTTTAATGTGATTTTAATGGGATCTTAGTGGGGGGTTGATGGGATTTAGTGGTTTTTTACTGTGTTTTAGTGGGGTGTTAATTGGATTTTAATAAGATCTAATGGGTTTTTAATGGCCTTTCTTCATGTTCATTGGGATGCTCATTCGGATATAATGGGATAAGGTGTTGCCCCCATTTTGGATAGCTAAGTTAGTTAGTGGAAGTTCAGCAGGGTAAGTGTTGGATTTAGGGTAGATATATCATCTACAGTTCATGGGGTTTATAAACCAAATTATATTGTGGGGAACCACCAGGCGATGAGATATTGTTGGAGCATATGGGATTGCTGACTGGGATACCTTTATGTTAGAGATCAGTAGCAGCTATAGCTATAGATAGTCTGGGATACACAAGAAGGGAGATAATTGGAAAATGTTGGATATGATTTTTACAGTGGGATATACCTGGAATATCACTGCCCAGATCGGTGCTGATATACAGTATCTACATTCAAAAACCCATTCCTCTTGCAGGCAGTAAACATACGATACATGGATAGACACTATATTGTCGCGACATAACTGGAGATTTCATGGGATTTCATGGGATATTTATACATATGTATATATATATAGTGGGATACAATGGGACATTATAATTGGAGATTCTAGGATGGAATATCATAATTGCGAAGTGACATAACTGGATTCCCACAGATTCTTCTCGGGAGTCTTGGGATACAGTTGGATAGATTGGGATAGAAACAGGATACCCCAGTTACCGGACCATTCCCTTGCAAAACCCATTTTTGGGGCCAAAAAAAATAGTCTTGCAAACAATGACAAACACATGAAGGGGGTATAACCTAACACAAGTTTTCACAACCTGGCACCTGGAGCCTGGAGCATGGGGTTTTGTCGTTGGAATGGCTGCAATCATCCCTGACTTCAACAATGACAGCGTTTGAACACCGCAAACACCGGGCGCCCCAGGCCGTAGTACGCCCCTGGACCCGGTTGAGTCTCCTTTTTTTTGCTTGGCTCCTGATGGCCCCGGGAGTCAAGAATCCTGGGTTTGCACCATGTCATGGTGGAAATGCTACCTGTTTTGATGGCTTGAAAACTGCACATGACACTGTGGGTACTTCGTGAAATTATCGTGGAATTATCTCGAACCGAGTTTGAACCAAACTGCTCTCAAAATAATTTATGTTCATTTAACGTATCGATGAAAAATATGTTTCAAAACTGCCAAAACGAATATGTCATTTCAAATCCAAAAGGGATATTTGACTGCAGTGCAAAAAAAATCACAACAACGCAAATTTCGCATGTTTTTTTTCATCTGGTCGCGCAAGCTCACAAAAACCACCAAAAATAAGACTCTGCAAACCGCAAACAACCAAAAAGAATGACTCTGCATCAGCCTAAAATATCAGATTGCAATCCGCAAAAACAACCAAAAAAAAATTACTCTGCATCGCAAACAGCAAAAAATATCAGATCGCAATCCGCAAAAACCACCAAAAAATAAGACTCTGCAAACCGCAACCGCAAACAACCAAAAAAAAATGACTCTGCATCGCAAACAGCCTAAAATATCAGATTGCAACCCGCAAAAATCACCAATTACTTTACTTCGTGTGATCCCCACCATGACATTCATACATTTTGTTACTGGCACTTCTTCTGGCATTCTATCTGACATTTTATCTGGCATTCTATCTGGCATACCTTCTGGCATTCTATCTGGCATATCTTCTGGCATTCTACCTGGCATATCTTCTGGCATATCTTCTGGCGTTCTATCTGGCATTCTATCTGGCATATCTTCTGGCATATTATCTGGCAAATTTTCTGGCATTCTATCTGGCAAACATTCTGGCACTTTATCTGGCATACCTTCTGGCATTCTATCTGGCATTCTATCTGGCATATCTTCTGGCATTCTACCTGGCATATGTTTTGGCATATCTTCCGGCATTCTATCTGGCATTCTATCTGGCATATCTTCTGGCATATTATCTGGCAAATCTTCTGGCATTCTATCTGGCAAACATTCTGGCACTTTATCTGGCGCATCTTCTGGCATTCTATCTGACATTTTATCTGGCATTCTATCTGGCATACCTTCTGGCATTCTATCTGGCATATATATCTTCTGGCATTCTATCTGGCATATCTTCTGGCATTCTATCTGGCATATTTTATAGCTTTCTATCTGGCATATCTTCTGGCATTCTATCTGGCCGTTGAGGTCCAGCGGTGCACACTGAGCTGGGCAGGTCCCAGGTTGAGGTCCAGCGGTGCACACTGAGCTCGGAATGTCCCAGGTTGAGGTCCAGCGGTGCACACTGAGCTGGGAAGGTCCCAGGTTGAGGTCCAGCGGTGCACACTGAGCTCGGAAGGTCCCAGGTTGAGGTCCAGCGGTGCACACTGAGCTGGGAAGGTCCCAGGTTGAGGTCCAGCGGTGCACACTGAGCTCGGAAGGTCCCAGGTTGAGGTCCAGCGGTGCACACTGAGCTCGGAAGGTCCCAGACTCTGCATCAGCCTAAAATATCAGATTGCAATCCGCAAAAATCACCAAAAAATAAGACTCTGCAAACCGCAAACAGCAAAAAAAATGTAGAGTCATACTCGTCAGAGCAAAACTTGTAGTTTGCTCAGATGTACTAATGAGGAAAAACTTTTACAGTGAGAGACATCAGAACAAAGACTGCAAATTTATCTTTGTCTACCAGCTGAGCTGGCGGGTGCTACTGACAAAGAATGGCAGCCAGACTTCCTCCTTTCAGTGGCCAAAGCAATGTCAAAAACGGCAAAAATTGCTACTGTAGTCTTTTCCATGCAATACAGTACTATTGCGGCATCAACTTGGTGCAATCTGCCAATCAATAAGCAAACCAAACAACATCGAGAAAGATTCTCAATCATGGACAACCACTGACGCTGTTTTCTTGCGGGGTACCTCAGATCCCTTGTCCATTTCCAGAAAGATGTTATGGTATTTCAATACCCCCAAAAGAATTAACATTATAGTTTATGGTTGGGTCAAACTGGAGCCGTGTGAAACATGTCAAAAGCGGCGAAGGATTTCTCTTCCATCTTCACTTCCTATGTTCTTTCGCTATTCCCCAAAGCTCTCAACCAGATCTTCCCAATTCCAGTTGCACTCCTGGAAACGTTTGCCCTTGAGCCAGGCGAAGCTCTTTCCCTGGTTCTTAGGGGGGTTTTGCCAGATTTGCCAATGAAAATCATGGGGTTTTACCATCATTTTGCCATGGTTTTACCGGCAAAAGCCGGTGAAACTTTGCAGTGTCGCAAATGAATAACTTCCCAGAAGTTTGAACAAGTTTGTTCAATGCAACAGTGGTATTCACTAGTATTCACCAACGAAATATGAATATGACAGGATGGAAAAACCGGCAGACATTCATAGTTTCCCAGCAAGACATCTGTGTGCAGCAGGACTGAGAAGTTTTAGGGGCTTCAGTCACATGACTTGCCCTTGCACGTCAGCCGACACCAAGTAACCCCCAAAAGGCCATACACATCGAAACATGGCCACCATGCTGCCAACATGTTTGGGATGTGAAAGCAGAATGCCAGGTTGATTTAACCCATTCACATCCATGTTGGATGGTTGATCTCAATTGTTTGGTGCTCAAATCCATTGAAACATGAGACACTTTTTCTGTGGCTAAAAAAAAATCCGCATGATTTTCCGATTGATTGTGAATTCCCCATGATTTTCATGGATTTCCCATGTCTGATGGTTAGTTTTGTGGCGAATTCCCCCATTTTGCGATGCCAGCTGCGAGGCTCCCCACCTGTCTCTTGACGTCAGCCAGGCCATATGCCCCCGGTCCGGGAAGCTTGCTGGCCACCACCGCCGCTTCGTCCTCAACGGATCCCAATGGATCTATCCATTGGTTCATTTTGTAGTGAAAATTGCTGTGAAAATAACCCAGGTCACCCCAGGTCCTCCTTGAAGCGTTCAGCAGTGCTGCAGAAGTATTGAAGCTCCGGGTGCAACTCGCGCATGTTGGGCCGCCGGTTGATCCTGGGCGAGGATTTGTTGGCAGCGTCCCTGTGAGGTTTTGCTGGTCGATCCCAGAAGATATGAGGCTTTTACCACATTTTCCCATGGTTTCAGGTGCTGTTTCAGACCTCATTTTCTCATATTTTCTCCGTGAAAATGACCATCAACTGACAGGCCCATAAAAAGCCCATGTTGAGGCCGGGAGTGACTCAAAGGCACCTGGGGACGTACTGCCCGGGTCCGGGCATTTCGGCTGCGTACTTGTCCTCGTGCTTCGTGCGCCTGCAGAAGTTTTTGTTTTTGCCTGGAAAAATCCACCTATGCGAAATTCCCGGTTTATAACTGGGAGAATTTTCGAAGTAAACAGTTAGAAGAAATCCAGCGAGCCATGTTTGATTGCCGAAGGGTAGAGTCACTGACCGGGGAGAATCACCTTGCCATCTTGGTTGGTAAACTGCAGGTCGCACTTGGAAAAATGTTTCCGTTTCGTTGGAGCACCACAACTGTACACCTCACCCTGGCGAACTACAGATAATGAGATTTCCCATATATTATCCATGTAAATTTACTGAGGGAAGTCCCAGTTGATCCTTGAAAAAAGCGTAGCAACTCCTGGCAATTGCCCCTGCTGAGCATTCAGCACCCTCGTCGAGACTGCGAAGCGAAAGCGGAATAGATCTTCGGAGGGTTTTCGACATTGGCAATGCCCTCGACAGATTGGGCTGCTGGAGTCACCGAAAAAATTGGGCAAGGTATGGGAGGCCCCCCAGTGATGTTTGTTGGTTTAGATCCGCCCCAGTAACTAGTTCGTTATAAGTACCATAAACCATAGTGAAATTGGAGTTATTTGCACCAACTTAGCTATCTTGGGGGCCTCACATTGAAGGTATGGGTTCAACAATGGGATTGACCCCATCTCATAGCCATTATCTCATAGCCACATGGGAAAATGATAATGAACTGATGGACCATCAGATTTTGGGGTGCCCCGGTTTAAAGACAAGCCAAATATAATATAAGCAAAATCAGATATGGGAATTCCAGCACAAATGCAAGGGAAAGTAACCCCCAAGTCCGAAGGATTGCCCTCATTTTTGGAGACAAAATCTCCTACTTCTTTTCTTGCAACCCACTTCCATACTGATATACAGGCCTGGGATGCCAAACCTCATCATGTCTTGGCCGTTAAACCCACTTTTTGTGTGATGTTTCAAGTTTGGCCAGTCAAAACACCCATTGTTGGCTGCTTAAACCCTGATAAACCCAAGTTCTGCTGTTCAGCCCCAATTTCCACCATTGTAAACCAAGGGTTTTGCTGATCAGACCCCCAATGTTCCATGGTTAAACCGTTAAACCCCTACTTGGTGGCCCAACCACTTAGTACGTGGGTTTCTTCACTTTATAATCCCACTTTTTGGCAAGCTAATTAGTCATTGACTGCATACAGTTTTCAAGCTGAGTCTGTGATCTCCATTCTGGTGGTACATCCACAAGTCCTGAGAGCGCTAGGTGATCGTCCAGTGGTAACTGAGGTTGTAAATTACCCTCCTGTAGTTTAACAGTGCGCTTTTCTAGCCATGGCACATTTGCTTCGATGATTTTTCTTTATAAAAAAAATGTGATTTTCCTGAGCAACCTTTCACTCACTACCAGAAGGTAAATCTATCCCATTCCAGTTATAGTCCCGTTCTATCGGAAAAAAACAACTCCCAGTTATCATCTCCATTGCTGGCGAATTCCCAAACAAAAACATGCCCAAAAATTAGGACTCCACACAAATTATACTTAGAATCTCACAAAAAAAACAAAGAAAAATTTGTTCGTATCCCAAAAAATCGTGATAGTTCATGGATTTTTGTAGATCATCCCAAAAAAAAATAAGTTCAATTACTTCATGGATGTTTGTAGATTATCCCAAAAAAAAGTAAGTCAAATCTCCCAAAAAATCTCGGCATCCTTTCGGATCTCTGGGATCCTCGTTCCGAAACCGAGGCCTTCGCCACGTAGTGCCCAGGGCCGGGCGTCTCGGAGACCTTCACCACTGGCTCGGCCGGCGGCCTCGGGCGCTAGCCTCTGTTTTAAACGTTTACAAAAAAAGGAACTGGAAAGATCCACCATGTGAAAAATGGGGAAAATTCACTAGAAATGACATGTTTAATAAGTTTAATGGGGAAAATTCACTAGAAATGATCCATTTTCCATAGCTATGTTAAATTAAAGTAAGGAACTAGACGTGTTTATGCAATCTGTTTTCATGACATGTAGATGGAGATCATATCCCAAATGTCCCAAAATGGTGCACTTGCCCCCTCATTTCAGTCCGGTACGAAATGGCGAAAATGAGGTGGCTATGTACCCGATTTGAGACAACCCAGACAACCTGGACGATCCATCGCTAGCATCAGATATATCCTGCAACGCTTTCACTCGGAGGGAAACAAAAACTATGACTACTCATCATTCATAAGAAACAACAGACATGATTAAGAAAAGCCAAATGATTACCATCCCAGACTTTGTGGAAGGTAAAATCTCGTGAACCCCCACAGAAAATTAGAGGGTAACTTCACCATGTTTCCACCATATTTTTGCAAAGGTTCACTATACCGTGCTTTCAGGATTCGATTTTACAATTTTCTGTGTCCTTTTGTTGGGGTCGCTATAGCTCTATCCCTGATATCCACATGTTTTCTTGTCAAAACTGGTTTCTGAGTGAAATTCCCAACTACTATAATCAATCAATGTGTGGATGATAAAAATAACTAAACACACTTGTCAATTCTAAGCATAAAAAATATCGAAAAAATACGGGTTTAAAATATGTTACCCTCTGGTAAACTAACATAGCTATGGAAAATTGATCATTAGATGATTTGCCCATTAAAACGGTGATTTTCCATGTTATGTAAACGTTTACCGGAGGGAAACCTACGGTAACCATCATAAAAATGGCCCCCAAAAAACCAGCACCAAACCACCTGAGGCCGCGACGGACTGATCTTGCTACCGGTGGCGCTGTTGGCCAACGTCCGGTACTGCCGCTCAACGAAGATCGCTTGTGGAAAACCCATGGGGGCCGAAAATCGTTTACAAATGGATGATTTTCCACATGTTTTTTGATGGTTTCAACATCAAAATCTGGGATTTTAGTGATTTCAGCAACAAAAATGGTGGTATAATGAGGATATGGTGTGGCCAACGGACACTAACATGTGGAAAATGACACTAATGTAGAAAACCTATAGTTTGTTGTCCATATCTATGTAAAATGTTTACCGGCGGGTATAGATTCTTTTGATTCATGTAGGTATATAGATCTGTAGACTTATTTGGATATAGATGTTTGGATTTAGATATGGGTTTAGAATGTAGATATAGATATAAAGATTTATATAGATATATATATATATCATCAGTCGCCATTTCAGGTACCTAAACTGGGGGTACTGTATCATATAGAGCCACATTTGGGGGTATATCCCCTTGCATAGCTGACATAGCTCTTTCATCGACCTTATATATGGTAGGTACCTCCAGTTTAGGTTCCAAGGTAGAATGTCAAGCCTGGATTTGGCGAGACCACTTGGCGATCATTGGCCTATCACCCCTTCGTAGCAGATGACACCACTAATTAATTGGAGGTAGCCAAATAGTGATCAGGGTTTATTAATCCGGGGTTGCCAATTTAGATCAATGGGTATTATATAAGTACATATAAGTACATAGATATGTAGATCCAGAGATAGATTTGGAGATAGATATGTAGATAAGAGATAGATTTGGAGATACATAGTTAGATTTAAATATACCCTCCAGTAGATTAACATAGACCCTGCCAGATAGGGGTTGGAAGATTAGTTTCCATTAAAAATTAGCGATTCTCAGGGTCTATGTTAATTTACCAGAGGGTAGATTAAGGTAGATTTGGATGTGCAGACAAACATCTGGAGTTGGGTGATGTCTAAAATCCTTGATAGCTGTCGAGATTTTTGACATCAAGAAAACCATCCAAGGAAATCAATGTGGGACAAACCCATGTGTATTGTATAATGCTATTGGGTCATACACACATGTAGCATACTTATTCATCTATACATATATATATAATTATGCATAATTATGCATATATATACATTTATGTATGTAAAACTATTGTGTATATAGTGTATGTATATATAAACATTCACACATTAATATACACCCTCGTTTTTCAACGCTGGAAAATATCAACTGATCTAAATTTTGCACAATCTCCGGCGAACTTGGTGGTTCACCCCACCTAGTAAGTGGCTTATGACCTCAATGATAAGTGGGGGAAAGGACTGGTCCAATTACAACTGGGGTTTTCAAAGTTATAACCCACTTACGAACTGGAATGAACCACAAGTAATTTTCTCGCACATATGTTGCTAAAAGAATGTGATGCATACCCATTTATGTCCACTGCCAAAGTTTCACGGCAAGCACAACCTCCTTTGGCCAGATTCAAGCTGGAGGCATGCACAAAAGCAGATATATTTGTGTCTCAGCCTACATTAGATCTACATCAATATATATATATATACATACATATACAGATACATCTGTATCTGAATCGATATCTCCTATGTTGTCCTGTTTCTGATACAATACATGGCTGTGTCTGAAAATTGCACAGCCTTTTTACGGCGTCTCAATTTTTCTGGGGAAAATGATGAAAATCCAGCAGAGATCTGCCGGTATCTTCTTTTCAGACAAACCCAGAATGGTTACCCTCTGGTAAACTAACATAACTATGGAAAATCACCATTTTTAATGGGAAAATCCACTATATGTGGTCATTTTCAATAGCTATGTTAAATTACCAAAGGGTAAATCTCCAACTATAAACAAACGACGATATGTTGCTAATTCAATCCGTTGTAAATACTTTCGCATTGCCAAAAACAAACAAAAATGTTGATAGCAAATCAACATACGTTCTATTTGTGATCACAGAGAACATCTTTTGATTGCTATAAATGGTTTTAACAGTGATAACACCTACAAAAGATGGTTCAATCCCCATTTAATCCCCATTAAATCCCTTTAATCCCCATATTGTCCAGAAAATGTTGATAGTAATATGTTCTATTTGTTCCCTCAAATGGTTTTAAAAGTCATGACAAATTACTGTTCATCCCATCCAAACATCGGCATGTCATGGAAATCAACAACGCTATTGGTATCTTTAGTGGCTCAAATTTGCTTTGATCGAAACCCTGTGTTGTCCCGTTCACGGAGTGTGATGATCCCTAATATAGTGTTTATCATCCTCGAACTCGTCATCAACCACCCATCATCTGTTAGTTTCATCTCGATATTTTGCAGGAATCCCACTACATATCATTAAATGATATTTCGGAACATATACCATTGCACATGTTCTTATTGGGATTTTTTTTTGGCTATGGATCAATACCTATGAAAATACCATATTTTTAGGGCAATAAACATCCATAAATCCCAGCTATTTTGATGTTCACCAGCTAAATATGGGGATTTATGGAACATCCATTTACCAGCTATTTTGATGTGAACTACAGGGGGATAGGCTTTTGACCCATCCCCGCCTTGTGGGCATCGTACTGCCCAGGCCCAGCACTGTCGCCGGGTTTCCCTTGGTGGCCAGCTTTGCGACGGAAAAAGGATGGATTTCTCGGTGAATTCAACCAACATCAGTTGGGATATTTCACCTGAAATGGAAAGGTATCAACAAAAATGCGATGTTGCTCAAGAAAATCATGCGTTGATCCTAGACAAATCCGACCAATGGCAAGGGTTTCGCCAGCAAAAATTGGGAAGTAGTCAATGAAAAGGGGAAAAAAAAACACCATATTGAGGAATCTAAGGAGGAATGTCATGATACAGCAGAAAGAAGGGCAGGTTCAGAACCGAACTAACCACAAACAATAGGGACTTGCAAGGTCTGGCAATTTGCCCCACTTTTCAGCACGGCGTTGAGTTGGTGATTTGTCCCCAATTCACAGTCCAATTCCCCGCCATAGCGGTAGAACCCCACTCCTTATCTGTATATGGTTCCAAACCACCAATCAGTCATTAATCACCATTAACCAACATCATTGACCATTATTATAAAGTCAAGATGTTTGTTTTGCAGTTTGTGTTTGACAAAATCAATGTGTGCCCTTTTCGGGTGATGACTTGCCAAGAAAAACAAGTCAAAACCTCCTTGGCATTTCCTCTCACATCAAAAAAAACGTGATCGTGTGATGGGTTCCCATGGTTTGATTCATGAAGTTTTGATTTACCAAGAAAAAACAAACTAATGCAGTTGTCAAATTTCAAACATATATGACGGCCCACACAAGTCTCAGTTTTTTGTTTGGGATTCTAGTACCATCGTTTGTCCCACCAAGGCATGTCCAAAAATATATGGAGCGTTTTCCGCCGCAAACGTCGGGGAGTCCGTTTTTCCGCGGGAATGGGCCCATCTTCAAGCCGCTCGAATGTCGCCATCACATGTTCGAAACCAAGGAAATCGAAGCCTTTCCCAAACAATTTCATGGCCAATCACTTGGCAAAAAAATGTGGGCCACCACGCCATGGGACATTCCACCTCCGCGGACATTGAAATCATACTATGTACAACTATGTACAACTATGTACATGCATGTGTGTAATGAATGTGCTATGCACCAAACCACGTTTATATATATATATATGTATTTATATATATGTATATCTATCGATTCATTGACTGATTGATTGATTTTTCTTTTGTTCATTTTACTGTATGTTTACATATTTACATGCATTTCTAAAAAGCACTGTGCATATGGTAAGCGCGCATATTTGTTGAAAAACACGCAGCATGTCTGTTAGCTGAATTTTTGCATTATGGTTCAAATCAACTGTCCAGCTGGTGCTTGCTGGAATTGGTTTGGCCGTTGGTTCCGCTGCCGGCTTTGCTGCTGTGTCTGCTGCTGCTTCCGGACATGCTGTCCTGACCACCTTGCTGCTTGGCACTGGTATTGGCTCGGTAATTGCTTTTGCTGTTGCATCTGCCGCCTAGCCTGTTGCTGAGTCAAGGGTGCATTCTGCTGTGTAAATTGTGGTGCTGGCGTATGCTGATATTGGTGGGGTGATTGATCTTGCGGAAACATCTGCACTGCTGGTGCTTGCTGGAACTGGTTTGGCCGTTGGTTCCGCTGTGAGCTTTACTGCTGTGTCAGTTGCTGCTTCCGAGGTGGGACATGCTGTCCTGACTGCCTTGGCAGCTAGTAATGCTGTGATCAAACCCCAGCCTTGCTGCAGAACGCGGCCCCAGTTTGTGGGTTTAGGTTTAGCACCACTGCAATCAAATTCAGTTGTTTTACGTCACTTTGTAGTGGCCGGGCCGGCTAGCAAAGTCGTCCGCGATCACTTCTGGCACATATGTGACTGTCCCCCAATACGTAACCCCGGCCGGAAAAGTAGCAGCGTCGTCCTTGCTCTTCAACGGGAGTTTCCCTCTACAGGGCCCGTCTATGAAGAGCTTGTGGAACACCAGAAACTCCTGATGTCCAAAAAATTTGCCGCTGGAATACTGTACCACGCGGCCGGCTCTGAGGTGGTGCAGGTGCTGCGCAGCAGCGGAATGTTCAGATAGAATGCCAGGTGTTTCCTTCGAGTGATCCCCGCCCTTTCACACTGTTCTGACATAGTTTCTGACATACCATCTGGAAGTATCTATGGCATATATACCCTGACGTTCTATCTGACATTCTATTCTCGCATTCTATCCTGGCATCTATTCTGAAATCCTAACCGGCATCCTTTCTGGCATCTGTATTGTCTGAATTGCGCGTTTGAATGCTTTGAGCCGGAAAAATCTAGTCAAGGCGATACAAAAAAAACTGTTTTGAGTTTGAAAGCAAACATTCTCTCAGAAATGTTGCTTGCTTTTGTTGTTTTTGTTTTTGTTGTTGTTGTTGTTGTTGTTGCTGTTGCTGTTGTTGGTGTTGGTGGTGGTTGTACTTTGTTTGAAGCAGTGGCTAGCTGGGGAGGAGTTCTTTCATCTTCAACTTTCAAGTGCTATATGCTTCTCTTCTGACGCATTTGGAGAGCAAACTTTGGCTGTATTTTTTTGTACTGCTGAAAAGTTTAGTGTTTTTACTTTATGTTCATGCATTATTTATGCTTGTCCATCAAGGTACTTTATATGTTGTTTCTCTCGTAGCATATCAAACACTGTCTTATCTACAATCAGAGCCCCCTAGGAAATACACAGTACAAGTTGATGTGGATGCCCAAACATGCCCAAACCACATGTATGTAGTATGTGTATGTGTATATATATATACACATATTTTTTTGTGTGTATGTATACCTGCTGGAACCCAAATGACCCCTGTTTTGGAAGATTGGACTTGTAAAATTCGGACTTAAGTGGCTAAGCGTCCAAAATAGAGATCATTTAGGGTTCTAGGTGAAAATAAATAAATAAGTAACTAAATAAATAAATGTATAAATATATATATGTGTGTGTGTAAATGTGTATGTATAAAAATATATATATATACATATTATGGCTAATTGTATATACATTGAGCTCACCAAGTTAAGATAAGGTCATGGTGGCATAGTTATCCCTACCATCATTGCCGTGACGTCGCAATATTTGACACATTATCTAATTGGTGGCTTCAACCCTCCTGAAAAATATGAGTTCGTCAGATTGGATCATCATCTCAACTATGGGGGAAAAGTTGGAATTCATGTTCCAAACCACCAACCAGTTATGCATATATTGTATATATATATTGCATATTATATTATATATATATATATTATATTATATATTATACTATATATATATATTATATATATACACAGTATATATTATATATATATATTACATACGGATTTGAACCAGTCAGTTCAAGCTTCGGTGGAAGCCTTGGACATGGAGGTGAACAGAATTTTTCGTGGACCAAATAGAGGCAGTGGTGTGTTGATCCAATGATCCAATGGTGTGGAGAGATAGACAGAGGCATAGATATAGAAATAGATATAGAAATAGATATGAGCCCATATGAATGTGGATATTGTATAGATACGGCTATGTATCATACTATTTACTCTTGACGCGGCAATGTGTTCGCATTTCATCGCATTTCCTGATCTTTCTGATAGGCTCAACCGTGCTTCAGCCATAAAAAAATTGGTCATGTCAAAACAAAAAAGAACATGCGCTGGATGACAGCAATTCCCAAAAAGGAATGAAGAAAAATCTTCATCCCCTCGTGAAACTTACCGGCACATTCAACCTTTTTCTGCCTCTATTTGGGGGCTCCTACGGTCACCTTTCGTGGAATCTGGACCCATACCCCGTGCAGTTCTCAGCCTCCAATCTGGCTGTTGCGATAGAGTCGCAGCAATGCTTCACTCTTCACCACCAAATCAGGTGTCGGCTGTCCCTCCTCCGCTGCCTGCTCCGCAAGTTGGAGTCGGCTGCTTACTAATACAATCTGAAGGGGTGAAAGTAAATGATGGTGGCCATTTATAAAAATCATGTCTTCATTCAAAATAGTCATAGATGGCAAATCCACTACTCAATTGGATTCGAAAAATCATCTTCTAGGCCCTATAAAATTGTACTAGATTGAGGGGTTGCAGCGGGGTGAAAACGATGTGGCATGCCAGATAAAAGTTGAACTTAACAAGTAGATTCGTCGATATGAAGTATGCTGGATTGTGCAATTATTCACATTTTACCAACTCTCTGATGCCCAGCACACACTGGCGTATCAAGAATCTACGTTCTCCCAAAATAATGATGTTTCTCCATGTTTGCGTAAACATCCCACTTGATGATGTTCCTTCTATCCTATACGCGAGCGACTAATACTTCAGCAACTTCATCCGATTGTTTGCTCCTTGAAGACCCCGTTTCGGTATCAAAATAGGGGAACACACAAATCTATTGCCTTTTTCATATGGCGAAAACTGTGATGAAGCAAACATTTACCATGTTTTTGCGGTTCTTGTGTTGTCATGCGGCTGGAAAACTCTTAGTAGATCCTAACATCCTAACAGCTCCCTCCTAATCACTGGATGATATGGATTTCCTTGATCTTTGCATGTAAATGACATTGAATATAAGCTTATGATTCATAGCCCAGTGATGGAATATCCCCAGTTGGATTCTTGTGGCTTAGAAATCAGCTTTTAATAGCCAATTGTTGAGTTGGTTCACTCACCGGAATTGTAGGATTGATATGCATCCTGCGGATCACCCATTTCCACTAAGATACAGTAGTCCTTTGGTAACTAATCTACTTACCGGCTACTTTTCTGTGCATAACAGTTTCAATCTCTGGAGAACAACCACATCATCACCCACTTCTATATGGGATGTAGCCTAGCAAAACATGGCTTGTCAACCTCAAAAACTACCGCTAACCGGTCATCAAAAACGGCAACAGATACCCCATGTGTAGACGACTTTTGATGTCCGAAGTGTATCTGGAGCACCCCCAAGTAGGAACTTCTTGGAAAAACCATGAGTGATGCTAATTTAGCATCTAAAGCCATAGAACTATAAGTGGTGTACCTAGGGCATCTTTGGTGATAGAACTAACATGAGAAATCTTTTAGAAACCCTCATGCATCGCGATGTAATCCCCAACATATCAGTTAGTACAATCCCCAAACTAATTTTCACAAGCAACCATCATTTATTCAGTTATCCACTGATATCTCCAATCATTTTCATGATATCCACTTTATTAGTGATTATTAGTTATATAATCTCCAGATATTATCTCCACTATATCCACTTTATGGTTGTAATCTCCATCTTAAAGGACCCATCGCAGCGGGGCCCCGGCGCCTCAACGGCTCCCAGGCTTCCCAGGGCCCGCAGCACGTCGCTCAGCCGTGCATCGCCGCCCAGATCCACGAAGCAACAGGCGACGTGGCGCCAGGAGCTGCCCAAAGCGTCCAGCTCGGAGCCCAGGTCCTCCTTGGGGGCCGCTAGGGCCGCTAAGGACGCTAGGAATCACCACCCAAAAAGGATGGATTCTTCGAAAAACTCATTGGGATCTTTGAACAAATGCTAGTCTAACAATAAGAAAAGATCGGAACTTACAAGAATGATGATTTGAACTAACAAAAACTGGGATCTGAATCACGAAACTGGTGATTTAAGAGTGAAAAATGAGGATCTGACCAACCAAAATGGATGCGGTTAACCTAGAAACGTTGGAAAATTGGTTCAGATTCTCGAATTAGGAATGTTGAGGAATATTTTGTTAAATTTTTTGTGCTTGTTAAAGTGATATGTAGATAGATTGTTGATATAATGGATGTCTTATGGATCTGGGCATGGAAAATGGTGGAAAGTTGATGGAACGCATGGATCTTCACGTGGAAAACACCACCCGTGTCTGGTTCATTGGGGACGGTTGCTGGATACATAACCAAGGGCAGAAAAAGCTCCGGAAAAGTGATTCGTTTTTTCTGCCAAGACACGATGATTCGTATGGGTACATCCTGATCCAACGAGTTTTGTCGGAATCCCTTGAACTGATTTGTTGCTTCTCCCGGGGCATCTTTGAACCCCAGCAGCTCCAAATTTCCAGATTCTTAGTGGCCACGTGCCTTGGAATAAACCCAAAAAAAATGTCACAGTAGTTCTATGTCCCATGACATAGAACCCCATGATATTTCATCACCAGTTAAATCCTCAAGTTTGTTTCTTAATCATGTTAATTCCCAATTTCAACCAACTTCCTCCTCCAGTCTTCATCCCCTAAATCCCCTGCCTGCTGAATCCCCAATTCGCCCACCTCAAGAATCCATCCCCCTTATCTTACACACCTCCTAGGCATTTAAAACATGTTTAAAACCTAGGGGGAATGGATTATATCCTATAATGTTATATAAGTTTCCCCCATTTCCTCATGTTATATCCCATTCATATCCATATACCAGAAATGATATAACCCACTAATCCAAGTGGCTTGTACTATAGTAAATCTATAGTAAATGTCATGAAGCACTGAACCTACAAGTATGCATCTATATATATATATATAATGATCTCTATATATATATATATATATATATATATATATATATACATCCACAGTTCACTTTTCCTCGCACCTTTGACTAAGCTGCCCTGTCATGGCAATTGCATTGCCAGAAACCAGGCCATATGGCCCCGAGTGGCATTGTAAAATGGTGGTTCAGCTGCCAGGCCACCAAAAGGAAAATGTCACTCCCAATCGGGTGGGTGGATTGAGGGCTGAAATCTTGCAGCCATGGTGCTCTCATGGTGAAAATTGGATAACAGGCATCCACAGTTCACTTTTCCTCGCACCTTTGACTAAGCTGCCCTGTCATGGCAATTGCATTGCCAGAAACCAGGCCATATGGCCCCGAGTGGCATTGTAAAATGGTGGTTCAGCTGCCAGGCCACCAAAAGGAAAATGTCACTCCCAATCCATCCCTTCTATACTGCTTGCATTCACCGGAGAAACAGTAGAGCATCCACTGTAGAAACGGTAGAAAACTGAGAAAAGAAAAACTCATGCTTCGGCATCTATTTACACTTCAGAGGCAGCAAACACAGCTCTCATCACAGTGCCAGTATGTGAACTCAGGAAAGCAATGTTGGCCTTGACTTTCGGACCCAGCTGGTGGAGAAAAAGCTGAGCACCTACCTCTTGAATGTAATATTCCAGGGTACGCATCTTGGCCCATCGGCCGCGCCAGCAGATCTTTGACAGGTCCTCATCTTCCAGGTACAGATGAGTAGCGCCTGAGCCCCGCAAGGTGCCTGGCGTGGCCCCCCGTACATTTTGCTTGTGGGGGACACCTATGTGACTCAGGACTGCATTCCACTGCCGACGGAACACCGCCATGGATGCGTTGAAGAGTTTTGAGGCCATCGGCAAACTCCAAAAGACCTTTCTAGCCAGCCAAATCACTGAATCATCCAAAACCTTCACATGCTGTCTGCGAGCAAACCTAGCTGTCTTGGGGTTCTTGATGTAGATGTACATTGCAGCTCGCTGCTCCAAAGTGTCCTCTGGAAAAATCAAATCAGAGCGCATCAAATTGACAAACTCATTGGGATGGAGCATGCCAGAGAAGCCCAATGCCACTAACGCAGCAAAACTGCGCCACCCCCAGAGCAAGGACAAACTAATGATGGCTCGGATGAGTGGAGCTGACAACACTGCCCTACATTGACCCGGCTCTTCAATCTGCCATTTGCGGTCCACTTGCCATGCACCAGCCAGAAAATTGCGGAATTGAGGCCGCAAATGTTGAACAGCTGTAATAGCATAAACCAGCCAGTACCTGGGTTTCCCAGCAGCAAAACACTCCTTCCCATAGGCCCGCAAGGCTGCATCCACCGCCTCAGCGGTCACCAGCACAGCTTCCAGAGAGGTCTGCGCACGCGTCTGCAACCATGAGCTGAACTCCTGCAAACATTTTTGCATCCTATCCAGGGTCGCCGGTGAAAAACCGACATCAAAGTCCAGCTCACCTCTAGGAATGTAGTCTTTTGCTGGTCCTGGGTTCTCCTCAATGTCACCGCAAAGCAACAACAGCAAGCGGACCCAGCGGCCCAGAGGATTCCTCCAGCATGCGCTTTTGATGATGACATCAAAGCGTTTGACACGCCCTTTTTGAAGGTCGGTCAACCAGAGAGGCGTCTCCCGCGTAGGCCCAGGCACTTCCGAATCACGAGAAGGACCATCAGCGCGGTTCCAGCTAGATCTGCAGTGCAAAGTGCCTGGGTAAAGGCAACCACCCAAAACGTAGCCCAAGGAGCTACGCAGAATTCTGCTCAAAGCTCGAGAACTGCTTCTTCCCTTTGCTGCAGCGCCCATGGTGACCCTGCTGTCCAGGATTCCAAGCACCCGCGAGCGGGGGTGGCTCTTCGCACAAAACTTCAACCAAGACTTATAAACCCTGCATTCAAGAGTATTAATATGCCCTGATTTTTTAAAACGATGCCGAAACATCTCAGTGAACTTTGATCCATTACACAACTCATTTACCCAGTCCGGATCCTCGTGCCATGCTCGGCGTGACTCCGGCTCCACTGTGTGCTGCGCAGTGCTGGTCGTAGGTGCACCATGATCTCGCTCCAGTTTGCTGCCGCGTGCCATGCGCTGCACCAAAGACCAGGGATACATAGCTGAATAAGCACTGACTGCTTCCCCAGGGACGGGCGCACGACCATAAACCTCTGCAGCACTTGGAGAGCACCTCTGATCAAAAAGCTCAATGGACTGGCGTGTGAAGGAGCCCTCGATGACAAAATGGCAGCCCTTGTAGCGGCATTGGCACGTAGACTCCAAAGGCAGGAGCCAGGGTTTGTTGTGTAGCCACTTCGAAGGCTTGTTAAAGCCACTGCCAAAACTGCAAAAAGGAAAACGTGTAAGCCAGCAACCCAGTGAGAGCAGAACTTGAAAACAATGCAACTCAAACATGAAAGAGGCCCCTGGTTGTTCAACAGAAATGTAGGAGCCACTCAGAAGCGCTAAGGTCAAAATGAAAGCCGTACGCATTGCTAAAATGGTCTGCTCATGGGTCACCGGGTCAGAAGAATTGAAGCCAGCTGGAAACAGCTTGCTCCGCAATCTCGGGCGCCGTAATGTGCCAAATGACCAGCACGGCGGCCCAGCATGCCACTCCTTCACTGTTCCAGATGCAGCTAAGGCAGCCGTCTTCCGAAAGGTGACGGGGTCCATCAAATCACCAAAGCTCACACCAGTAGCACCGCGCTCAATGCCCGGATGCACTCGAAAACCTTCAGCAGCATGTGCCTTACTCCAGTTACCGGAGCCAGAGAACAGTTCAATGCAGTCGAAGGTCACATCTTCGACACCGGGCCACAGAGGTGCCGGCGAGAGACTCACAGCAAAGTCCACAGCCTGCTCGCTGGGAGGGCCAAAGGTTTCCTCATGGTCCAGGCCCTTTTCATGCAGCACTTCACGCGCTCCATGTTGAAGCGCGGTATAGTAACCTCTCTGCTCTGTATGACGCCACATCTCTTCGGCAGCAAAAGCGCCCACACGTGTTCTGCAGAGCGCGCCACCAAACGGACTAGCATCCATCATAAAAACATCCTCAGTGACTGACACCCGAAGATCCGCTTGAATCAGAGGACCAAGCAGCAACAGCGCAAGCAGCTCATTCACCGCCATCGCGCTCAGGTAAAAAGGTTGGTGAATTGGCAAGCCGACCCCCTCATGAAAAACTTGTTCCAGCACTGCAAAAGTAGGACGCCTGAATAAACATACATGAATCCAACATCCCAACAAACACTGCAGTATTTTTCTGGTTGCACAACGCTTGATCACAACGAAACTGGTGAGTAGCATGAGGAGTGCAACCCTGTTTCGTGGAGCCGAACATCTGCCAGCAATACCATCAATTTCAGCACCAAGGACTGTGGCAGAGAAAACGCGTCGCTGCTTCTTGCCAGGGTGGGCTACCAAACCCACTGTGTTATACGCCAACTCAGCCCTAGCAAACACTTCCAAATCCCGGTCATTTTTGGCAGGATCCCACCTTGGAGTACATGACAGCTTGTGAAGACCTATATGATCATCTATAGTCAGAAGTTCATAAAAGGGACCACGAGGAATGGGATGTCTATATTGTAAAATCTCATCCGGCCTCATACTGTCAGCTATTGTACGCAGTAGGTTAAAGTGTGATTGCTGTGCTATCTCCACTGCAAGGCTGTCACCCATCGCAAGTGTACGCAAGCAAATGTAAACAGACTGGTCTGCATACTGAGGGTCATAGCATGAAAAACCTTCAAACTCTTTTCCCAGAAAAACAGTGCCAATCGCATTCCTTGCAGCTCTTTGGGGGGAAACACGGAAAGTATAGTAAAACTCACAAAGGTCATCAGAGGAAATTGCAAGACACTCATCCGCATGCAGCCGTATCAAGCCAATAAGATGCCCAGGAGCCAAAGTCTTTGTATACGTATTGCAACCATACATCCGAGAGTTTACCACTGTAGGATTGACGATAAGCCGGTCATACTCACTGTCTTTGTTAACAGCAAATAACCCTACTGCTTCATCTTCAGGTACACAATGCACGGGAATAAGTGCGCAGGCGCCCAGCTTGTCCCACTTTTCCGCCAGCTTCTTCAGTTCAGCTCGGTCGCAATGCACTCGCGCTCTCCGCTTTGCTGGCCAGTCAGTTGCAGGTTTACGCAAAACATCAGGGTCTTTGAAAGCAGCTTGAACAACAGGGTCAACCAAAAAAGGCTCAGGGTTGAAAGTGGGTCCTAGCTTCCATTTGATGCGCTCCGCAATGACTGGCTTGGCTGGAGAAACACTCAGCGGAACATCTACACCAAGCTGACGGTTTTGATCTGGAACTGGTTCACCAGAAACATCATGGTGAGTTTGCTGGTCAGGGGCAGCTGCCGTACTGCTGTATGGATCAAAATCCCGGTGAATCAAATCTAAAAAACTTGCCATCTCATCCCAACTGATGTCTGGAACAGTGGAAGGGAGTTGAATTACTGCATCACAAATTTTGCTCAGCTTTTCCCCTGCCCGGCCTAGCTCAGCCGCAGCTACGGGTTCTGCAAGAAGAAAATAGCCCACCAGGCTCTCCAGACGCTCAATCATGGCATGCTGCTGATCACTGATTTTGGCACCCAACTCGCACACAGTTGAGGGGTATTTTGGATACCCCAAACTAAGCCAATTGAGAACAATGATGACAACTTGCAACAACTTCGCCCTGGTCTCTAAAAACTTCCTTCTCTTGCGACGCCGGGGGGAGAGCTTAGCTGGGCCCGTCCATCGCCACAGTGGTGGGGGACAGGGCCATAAATCGGCAGAATTACAACTGCCGCAAACATGGCGAGAAACTGATGACTTCCTGCGAAAAAGACTTCGGCGCAGGAACTCACCTAAGCCAGAATGGCTCTGGCCAACTAACTGCAAGACCACCCGCATGATCTCAATGCACTGAATTGTTGCAGGCACTTCAAAGTCAGACAGCAACTTCGTACTGCCCGAATGCATCCCACAAAGGTCATCATGGGACAACAACTCTGGGTGCACTGCCTCAGACTTCAGCTCGGAGCTGTAGTGGCCTCTTCGCCGGCTGGGCTGGGAGACCCCTTTCCTTTTCCCTTGCCTTTCCTTTTTGGCCTCGGTGTCACCTCGGTCTTTTCGTCCCCCTGAGGAGTAGCTTTGGTTGGCTTTCCAGCTGCTTGGATCCGCCCTTCCAAAAAGTCCAGATCCTTCAGGTAAGACACATTGGCTGCCACTGCAGTCGCTGATGTCAGTTTGGAGAAAGGTTGCAACTGAGCTCTCTGCTTGTTCCTCTGGCAGACTTGATAGTTTGGCTCCGGCAGGCCTGTCAAAAGCCATGCTAATTGAGTACGGCCTGCATCTATCGACGCCTGATCCACAAACGTCATGCCCTTCATTGCAAAGCCCTGCAGCTCCCGATTTCCAGATCGCGCTCCCACCTCGTAAGCATGGCACATCAGATACCCCATCATGGTAAGCAGCCGATGATCGCCCAGAGGTATGCGCCTTTCCATGTAATCCTGGAGGAGGCCTGGTGTTAACCCGGCTGGCGCTTGGAGACCAAGGTCGGTCAGAATCTGCTGCTCCCCCACACTGGCCAGTCGAGGAAGATCTTGGCTCATCTTCAGAAAAGCATCCCGCGCCAGACAGCCGCGGACTCCTGAACTTGAACTGCCGCTTGCATCGGAGCCCCCCAGAGCTTTCTGAATTGGGTCCAGGTTCTTGGCTGTGAGATGCTTTGACAGCATGCTCAGCTGCTGCGTCTGTAGTACCAGAAGGCGCTGCATAGGATCCTGCACCTCTTCCAGCGTGGTAGCCAGAGCTTCGTGCAGCTCGTCCTCCTCTGTAGCCCCCAGCATCTCCTCCTGCAGAGCATTGTCGAACGCCACCTCCGGCCGTTCTGCGCGAGCAGTACGTTCGTGAGCGCCAAGACGGCCTGGCCCAGAACCTGCCAAAGCTCGCAATCTTTGAAGCACCTGAGCATCCGCTGGTTGAGACGGAGAAGAAAGCAGCTGCAAACCACCAGCCTTTGGAGTAGCATGGAGAGCGGCACTGCCTTGGAGAGTCCCCAGACGAGTCTCTAGCTCGAGGATACGCTGCTGCATTTGAAGCACAGCATCCTGCTCCACGGTGCCACCGTGCGGCGGAGCGGCCGAATCTGGAGGTTCTGCAAAACCCTCTAAGCCGCTGTCGCCGGTCACATAGTCTCCAGCGGTGTCGTCGTCCATGGCATCGTGGATCCAAGCGTCTGCGGCCGCCATCACCGCCTCCGCGGATGGTCTGCCTGCGCTTTGCCCCACATAGAAACGATGCACAGCTTCTACTTCGTCGCCACGAAGGGGCGACCATCGGGTGAAAGAAGAAACTTGATCCCAAGTTGCATCCACCAGCACTGCGTTCTCCTCTGAGGTGCGTTTGCCACGAGGAAGCTCCACGGTGATGGTGCAAGTCCTGCACCCAAACACATCTTCCTGAGCAGTGACGAAGTCGGTCACCTCTGGAACGTCGGGCACCAAAAACATGAAGCCGCCAGACCGACATTTCACCAAATAAGCCACAGACTTGAACAAAACTGTGTCCCCCTCAACTGGGCAGAAGAGGACTGGGGCTAATGCTGAATATCCAGCCGCTGATACCCCAAGCAGCGACCGCACTCCCTTCTCACTCAAACGCTTGCCTGGTACTCCGGAGGCCATGAGCAACCGGCGCCCAGAACGTAAGCAGAAGCTTCAGCACGGCTAGCAAAGGCGTGCGACACACTGTCACGATGGAACCTCTCACCAGCACTGCCCCGCACCTTGGAGACGTAGATGTTGTAGGATGTAGTCCACCCAGATGCGTGAGGCGGGGCCGCTCGAAGCACCACGTAGATCCGATTCTGCACAGCCAACCTGGGAGACTCACACACTGCAGTCGACTCGCCGCTCAGACGAATGCGGGCTGCAACACCAGCTCTCAAGCCTCGTCCCAACCTGGCTAATGGAGACCACTCACCACAAGCGCTGAGACGAGGCACCCAAGATTCCAGCGGAGACAAATCAATGTCCAGCAGCTGCTCAGGAGTGCAGGCGCCCACCAACTCAGCGCGCCACTGAGAAGACCAAGGCTCAGCTCGTTCGCCTTCAGGACCAGGATCGCTGCCTGATGGCACAGTCCAACTAGAGTCAGACCTGGCAGGCCCAGAGGACCTAGCAAGTGATGCTCCTTGTGGCGAGTGACCAACCCCTGAACCTAAACCAGTTGACCTGGGTGGTGAAGAAAGCTGTGTGCTATCAGAATTCCTCTTCACAGAAATCGTGAGCCCTTCAAACTGAAATAAGATCTCAGAAACGTCAGACTCCTGGCTCATGCGGTATGAGTCCGATAACCAGCCAGTCGAATGCGCAGATCTTGACCCCCAGGCCCAGGAGCTGGCGCAATCAGGCCTATGATGCTACGCAATGCGAGCACCAAAAGTCGCCGGCAGGAAGGACTCAGCACCAGCACTGCTAAGAACCCACCAGTTAGTAAGCCAAGGAACCAGGCCAATCCACTGACCAGCAAAAGCAAGGGGAGAGAGATCAGGCAATCGTTGGTATGCCAAAAGCGCAGCTCGCGAAGGAAATCCAAGGGCCACGTATGCATACAGCTTGAGTCTGAAATCTTGCAGCCATGGTGCTCTCATGGTGAAAATTGGATAACAGGCATAATATATATATATATTAATATATATATATATTAATATATAATATATATCACATATATATATATAATATATAGATATCTCATGATATCTCCAAGTCCAAGTTTCCTTCCATCTCGGACTTGCCACGTCCAACACTGCCAGGTGCAAGGACGGGAAGCGCCGCTTGGCTTTCTCCACCGCCTGGGCGCTGCGGTCCACGGCCAGGACGCGGCCCTGGTTGCGGCGCGCCAGCAGGGAGCTGGTGATGCCTTGCGGGGAGCTGGTGATGCCTGGTGGGATGGGGACTTGAAAAATGGTGATTTTCCCAGGAAAAATGGTGGATCTTTCCATGTTTTTTTCTATTTTTTTCTAACATAACTATGGAAAAACTATGGAAAGATCCACCATTTTTCATGGGATACTCTGATAAACGTTGGAAAATCACTAAAACTATGGAAAGATCCACCATTTTGAATCGGTAAATCCACTGCCCATTTTCAATAGCTATGTTCAATCACCAGAGGGTAACCAGCAAAATATGGAGGATTTTACAAGCATTTTAAGCTGGTTGCAACTAGGACAATGGTGGTTCAACACAAATTGGGGTTGAACTAATGGGAGGGGTTGAGCAAACATCTTTACGGCTCTGATTCTCCTGAATCTATGCTGCTTCATGCTGGACCTTGCCTTTTTTTGTTGGCCAGTTGATCATGTGGCCAAGAAAACATTGGAGTGTTTTATCCCATCCTTTTTGGATGGAAACTTTACAATTGCTCATTTCTTTGATTACTTGCAATTTGGAGTGCGCAAACAAATGAGAAGCGAAATGGGAGTTTCAGTAGGTTTGGCCACCCAAAAGTGTCAGTTGAGAGCCTTTACAGATTTTGCAGATTCATTGATTTGTAAGAAAATTGAAACTTGTGAAATTGGGTTGGACTGTTGAATACAAAAAACAGTTTATATAAGACAGCATCTTTGGGTTGAAAAACACCAAAAGAACATAAGAAACTTTCCCAATTGATTCCCCAAATACTCTATAAATCCATGAGGAAATGAAGACCTATTTTGGTGGCTCATCCCAGGAATCGTCAGTGGGTCCCACCCCAATAGTAACATCAGCAGGAGCAACGTCGGCTCGCACTGGCGTTAACTAATCACCTTTCGAGCCAGGCAAGGTGGGAACCAGTGGATATTCTAGATGAATAAGATATGATAAGATGATATATACCCAAATTTCCATTGTAGAAGATGAGACCAACTAATTTCCATATACCCTCTGGTAACATAACTATGGAAAATCACCATGCTATTAATGGGTAAATCCACTATAAATAGCCATGTTCAATAGCTATTTTGACATAACCAGAGGGTACATCCCATTAAAATCACCATTTTGTTGGTTAAACCCCATTAAACCACCATTAAACCACCATTTTCCTATGGGTTTCTTAAGGTTTTCCACCATTTTCACCACATCAGAACTTCATCGCACCTTCGTGGCATCCGATCTCCAGCAGCCAGGGCTCCATCCGATCTCCAGAGCTCCAGCGGGCGGCCAGGCGCCGGTACTCGCGCGTGCGACCGCAGAGCCGCACCGTGACCATGGCCCCAAGGCGGCAGCGGAAGTTGAAGCAGCCAGTTTCCTTCACATTATATATTATGTGTACATATACATGAAAAACATATATATTATATATATATATATCTGGGTGAAAAGCCAATGTCACCAGGCAAAAATGGAGGTTTAAGCAGCAAAAATTGGCCAAAAGTGGAGGTTCACTATCGAAAAAGATGAAAAGCGATTGGACTTCACCAGCAAGATTTGGAGGGAAGACCAAAATTGAAGACCCCCAAGAGCAGACATTTCAGGGAAAATGCTTATAAAATTTAAGCCTGACATTTTGGAACATTCCAACCAACCGCATAGCTTTGGGTCACGTCATTTCGTGCCTCATACAGATGAACTGTGATCATCAGTAGCATCACCACTTACCCGTTGGTCAACAAATCTTGAGGCGGGTTTGAAGCTGAAGCGTCAACCCCTTGATGCCCTTTGTGTGACAAGATGAATCCACCAAACCAATGTTTTCCGGGTTGATGTCCATCTGCCAAAGCCGAGCCACAAAAAACCGTGCTGCTGGTCACATTACAGGGGCCAGTGATGCAAGACCGGACGGAGGGCTGAACCCAGTGGCTGAAGGCTATTGAAAATGTGACAAGACAGTACCCTATACCAGCATCTCAAAACCCATGCCTTGCTGGGTGGTTCGACCCTTTTCCATTCTTGTCCATTTTTTCCTATATACAGACTCACACGTTGATTCACCATTCTTAGGGATGAAAAGGGATAGCAATGCAACGGAATGGATGTTGTGTTTCCCATTCATGGTACCATTTTTCAGCGGTAGTTCATCACTTTTGGGGATTCACCACATACGTAGTCAACCACTAAATGTGGGAATCGCCATAATCACCATCATCAACCCAAATCATTCTGTTTCACCCCCGATTCACACATCAAGCAACTTTGAATAGAAATCCTTAAGTTTACCACTGGGGTTCGTCCCTGCTAATTTCACATAGCGAACTGGAAGCCATGGCCCAGTCATGCTTCGATAGGGCACCGGACCAGACAGTTGTTGAACCCCATCCTTTCGACCTTGTCGTATCAGTCGACCGTCCCCTGCCTGGTGTCCAGTGCCGAAGATGGGCGTTCCACGTTACGGCAACTTTAAAGGGTAATGATGACAAACCATGGGACTCGGTTTTTTTTTCAGAGAAACTGATACAGTAAGGAACCAAAATCTACAGGAAACTAGAGTTTTGAACCCTCAATTGGTCGGTTCCTACAATTTTCCCTTGAACTGATTCCAGGAAGTGACATAATAGCTGAACGTTCACAAAAAAAGCGATGAATGTCGACCATTTTGCGGCAGATGTGTGCAAAACAACTACCATGTGCTTGGAAAACTCAATTCGTAGAAGCTACGAACTCCCCACAGGATGGTGCCCAGTTATGTTTGTTGGGGTTTACCCCATGAATTTACTGGGTTTTGTTCACTTAAAATAGCAAAAACATGCAAAAACCCACTATAGATAGTGGAAAAACCACTATGATGTTCGTTATATCTACCATAAACCCACTATAGATAGTGGAAAAACCACTAAACCACTATGATGTTCGTTATATCTACCATAAATCATAGAATTCAGCCCCATCCTGTGCTTCTGTACGCGACTCTGTCCGCCCATCGCTCGGACGAAAACTGGTCCGCCTCATCGTAGCCATAGCATTGATGATCACGAGGCATCGAAGGCGCACTGGTGGCAATGGGAGGGAGCTATCTATCGAATCTATTTATCTATCTATCTATCTATCTATCTAATCCAATCTAATCTAATCTATCTAATCTAATCTAATCTAATCTAATCTAATCTATCTATCTATCTATCGATCTATCGATCTACCTATCTATGTATATAATATGTAACTATGAAATGTATATATATATATATATATGTATATATATATATATATATTCATTACTATTATATTTATTATACATCTGTATATAACTGTGTATGCAGTATATAATGTATATATATATATGCATGCATGACCCAGGCCCCAGCCCTAACTCCTGGGGGGTTACCCATGAGATCAGCAGCCCCATCTGTGTGTGTCTTCGGAGGATCATCCCTCATTTCTCTAGGATAACGGTATAGCAAGTCCCATTGGTTTATACCGTTATCCCATATATGATATCATATATGGGATATGATATATATAATATCATATATGGGATATTATCACTAATATATAGTGTATATGTTTATATATGATATTATATATATATCATATATATATATAGCTATGGTTTCTCTAAGCACTCATAGCCATTCACTGAGGTTATCCCATATAGATTCCTATGGCAACTATGGTCCGGCCTAGTGGATTTGAAGATCATCCGCTGCTCTCCCTCAGCCACGTAGGGCGCGCAACAGGGGTATGCAATGATTCTGGATGTCTTCATTGCCTTAAAATATGTATAATATTTATGTATATGTACACATGAGTATCATTAAAAATATACACATATATGTACAATATTGAGATTCAATGGAATATCATTCATGTAATACTCCCAACAGGGCCTGGTGGGATTCATTCTCTGGGTCTGGGAGAGTGCACCATTCTCTTGCCAAGCCCAAAACGGGACCTGGAAACCTAGAACACTGGTGTGGGGTTGCAAAGCTGGGTTTTTTTCTACTTTCCCTAACAAAAATCCCTAAAACGAAAACCACGTCTAGTGTTGCATATGTCAATTTTGGTACCGGACACAAATGTCGGGGTCATATGTGCCATGGCCTTTTTTGTGTATGTACCATCCCCGAACTGAAAAATCATCGACTTTGACACCGTGCAGCCCAGTTATGTTTCTTGGTTTATGTTACCCCAACCAGTTCGATCACCTACAAACTTTCCACCAACTTAGCGAAGGATTGGAATGCACCGCCTTGTAAACGTCGATGTTGTTGCTTGTATATCCCATTAAAAAAATGATTTCCTTATTATATCCGCATTGAATAGTGATATAATGGGATAAGACAAGGATATAGTATGTACATAATCCACCAATCAAAAAGTATAATGTATACAAAACCAACTATATAGTACTCTGGATGGTTGCGAAATCCTGCACCAGTTGATGGTTTATCCCAGAATCATCGCATTATTTACAATGTTTCATAATTACCAATAGTACAATAGTTGCCAACTGCAAGATTTCTTCCATCAGTATGTGACAGATTGATTCTCCCAGTGTTTTATATCATTTTATATCTACATACCCTCTGGCAAATTAACATAGCCATTGAAAATGGCCCAGTCGAAATAGTGGATTTACCCATAAAAAATGGTGGATCTTTCCATAGTTATGTAACAAATTACCAGAGGGTATATGGAAAATCACCATCTTTAACAGGAAAACTCACTATAAATGGTCATTTTCAATAGCTATTTTGACATAACCAGAGGGTAACCCCCATCAGGATCTCACCCAAGGGCTCCCTGCAGGTGGCACGCCCATGGTCTTATTGGACGCCACCGAGACGGCGCCGGCGAAGCTCGAAGCAGACAGGGCCGCGTAGTCCCCGGGACCCGGACGGAAGTCCTGGAGGAAGTCGAAGCTCTGTGGAGAAGTGGTGCAGTCTGAGATGAATGGGATTTTCCCATATGGGTGTGTCTGAAAATAGTGTACCCCTAAACCCAATGGTTTTGCTGATCAGACAATCCCTATGAAAAATGGCTATTTCATTGGGAATATACCCTATTTTCAGACAAACCCATATTTTCCATATGAGTCCTTATTGTACAAGGGATTTCACAGCCATGTTGGGGATTTGAATGTGATTTGAATGGGATTGAATGGGATTTATAGATAATTGATGATAGCTAAGTTGGTTCGTAGGTATAATAGAAACGCCCTGAAAAGATGCCAATTCTTTTTCCTGGATGTGAAAAAGATGCGGGAAAAGCCAATGTCTTCGAGGTGACCATTTTTTGTTCTATCTGGGGGTTGCTATAATAAGAAACCAAGGGTGTCTACTGCGATTACATGCGACACTTCGATACAACGAAACCTGAAAAACTCAGAAACACGACATGGAGTCATTGGGTAGAAGAAGAATCGATATATGCGACTAATATCTATCGATCTATCTATCTATCTATCTAATCTAATCTAATTTAATCTAATCTAATCTAATCCAATCTAATCTATATACAGAGACCTACTGCTGTATCAAAGTAGGCAATCTGTAGAAAAAGTTGGGAGCGCCCTTTGTTGGGTGTGGGTGATCTGCTCAACCCCCCGGAAAATTGGGACCTGGCAAAGGATGGTGCTTAACCATCCCTTGGTGGTTTCATAAATTGGGGTATTCCGCATTTTTGGACAAACCAACTGACTTTGCTAGTTTTTTTCTGACCCCTGCCACTTGTTTTACCTGGCTAAAAAAAACATTCCCATGAAAATCGTCATCAATCTCGATTTAATCACCATTTTTGTTCGTCAAAATATTTTCCGTGTTAGTACATCTAGCTAGAATCCCATTGTTGTTCGTCAAATCCACGTAATTTTTTGCAGAAACACCTATATAATATACATGTTCTATTTTTCGGTTGAATCCCAATTTTCATTGGGTCAAATTCCTATCCGTCTTTGTCAAATCATCAAATTCCTCCCAGGTTTTTTGGGTAAAATTGCTAGAATCACCAAAATCCATCAAAATCCATCAAAATCCTCCCATTTTTTCGTCCAGCCCTTGGCGCGGCTTCCATGCCGCGTCTCCTGCTTCAGGTCGTTCCACCGCGTGGCGCCCGAGGTGAAGGGCACGTGCTTCCGCGGCAAGCCGTGGTCGTAGACTGCGGCGGGGCTGGGTGGCTTCGTCTGGGTCTTGGCCTAAGAAATGTGGATTTCACCAGCAAAATCTGTGGAAACTTGGGGGATTAACCGATTAACCATCAAAAATGTTGGGAGGTTACACCAAAAAAGTGTGGACCGAAAGGAATGGGGGATTTCACCCATGTTCGAATGGAATGTGGCGAGGCAATGGGCATATCATGGAATGTAGAGCCACAAATCAAAAAATCTTGAGATGTACATGAGAAAAGCAAGAGTCAACAATGGTCTTGGCCCATGATTGGTGGAGATCAGCAAGAAAACATCAGGATCTATGGGGATATGGTCAGCAAAATATCAAAAATTGGAGATGTGGCTGACAAAACCTGCTAGCCATGTGGCGCTAAGACCAATAAAATGGGCAACAACCAACAAGAGAAGCCGACCTTAAGGCCTTTCAGATTTTATCCAGCGATTTTGACTATGCTTAGCCATTCCAATTGTTAGAGACTGTTAGAGGCTTCCATTCACTCTACTTGAATGACTATATGCAAAGCTCGCCACTCTTCTCTTGGAAAAAAATGCTTTGTGGATGGTGGATATCATCCCAATCTTTGGTTTACCCGACCATGTTGAGTTTGTCCAAGAGGCTATGCCCCGGTTCCACCAGTTTATCATCATCTACGTGCACTTTGCCAGCAAACTCCGGGGCTCATCACCTCTACAAATAAAATGTTGCTAGTTATGAGTCGCATTATATATATATCACATGAAATCCCCATGATATACCCACACTTTTATTGCTTAAAATCATGTTAAATCCACCATTTACATACCCAACCAATGAGCTTCCCCCACGCTGACCTCCTGGTTGCTTGGGGCTATATCTCGCAGGGTCCAGACCTAACCTCAACAAGTATGAGCGAGGTCATCGCGGCGATACGCACATTGAAAAAATAGGGATTTGACCATGAAAAATTGGGATTTAAGGAGGATAAATGGGGGATTCAACCAACAAACAATGGTGATTTAACCAACACTGGCATGTCAAAACGGCTCAAAATGGTAAGATCCAAGTGTGGCAAATCTTCTCGAAGGCTTTAGGGCCTTTAGGATTTCATTGATCAAATCCAGGAGTACCTTTTCGTTAAGAGTGCGCAGCCCTTGCGTCCTTCGACTGGCGTTGAGCACTGCTGGGATCCCCTGCGCATCATCATCCTTCTTCCCCGAGATACCCCCCTGTGGCAAGACTTAGATCAGTTTGAGTGGCAGAAGTAACAAGCAAGTGCCAACTCAATCTAACCAGACCGAATTCTACTGCAAATGGGCTTTTTTTTCAGCAAAAAAGATGGGGGCTGAGTATTGGGGACTTGGGGATGTGAGGAAGTGCTCAGTAGACGAAAAATCGCCAGCAGACCGACGGCAAGCTGGGACCCTTGGATTGACACAAGACGTCCAAGAAGACATCGGTCAACACCTGCAAGTATAATTAACATTGATGTATTGACAACATCACAATTCTTCTTCCTTCACTTGCGGTAGTTTCCAAGTCCTCTGTTCTGGTGGTCTTGTTCTCCACCCCATTTCTATTGAAGCAATCTGTGTTGTTTCCGCCTGGACTTCTCCACAAGAGGAATTGAAGGGCGCGTAGCATGGCCTGCTCTTAGATTCCTGGCCGGCTTTCCCGACCATCTGAAACCAGTCGATGCAATCCGATCTGTCCGTGAAATATGGCCAGTTTCGTGACCGACTACCATAAACTTACTGTACCTGCCAGTTGATCAAGAATCAAGATGATCAAATCATATCACAGTAAATCCAGATTTTCTCACTGGTAAAAAAACAAAAAAATCATGACATTGCTTGAATTCCATGTTGTTTATTTGCTGTCTAAATCCCAATGTTCACCACGGCGAAAAACCATGGCTCCGTCGTTCCTCCTTGAAAGAGGTGGGTAAGACGTATTGCCCTGGACCTGGCAATAAGGGGATTCAGCGGGACATGACGGTAGAATTACTGGGATATGGTCACTTAATGCGAATATATATATATATGATTTGTATAGTTATATAATATAATGGTCCCACTGAATTAATGGTTATAATAGTTGGTTATATAGTTCCTGTATACGTTTCCATTATATAATGGTTGGCTATGGTTATATAATACCTTTTTCTGGTGGGAAAGTGATTTAGATGGCAATGAGAAAAACGTGTCATGGTTGTACCATCTTATTAGTGGGATAAGGCTTATATGAATGATGAGATATATAGTTATATAATATTCATGGTTAGCTATGGTTAGTTAATGGTAATGTTAATAGGAGTATAATCATAAATTTCATGAAATATCATGAATCTGTGGGATATCAAGAACCTTTTTTTTCATGGGATATCCCTTCTTTGGCTGTGGATCCAACCATCTGCCAGACCCGTAAAAAAACTGGAGTGAAAAAAGTGCCATGTTCAGAACGGTGAACAGGTCCGTCCCATGGCTGTGATGGGAATCCAAACTGAATCCAAACTGAATGGGATTAATTAAAATCCCGAACTGTTCAAATGCTGTGATTCGATTCCTCCAAGAAAAAGTGGGGCAACTTGACCATGGTACAGATCGGAGATGCATAAAACCCTTTGAGGCTTGGGCTGGGTGAGGGCGCACGAACCGCAGCGGCTAGGTCTTCCTCCTTGTTCCAGTTGAACCTGATGCGAAAGCGGATCCACCACCAAGTGGAAGTACTTAGTTGGGTTAGTGCCAGTGCAAAAAAAGTGGAAATTGAAGACACCAACATCAAATGATCAAGTGATATCGAAAAAAGAAATGTGCTTTTCAGAGTGAAACTTGGGTCTAAGCCACTTTCAGACAAACCTAGTTGGCAATCATGCTGAGTACAAATCTAAAGGCAAGTGGCTTCAAACAAATCTAAATACATTCAAAGCTTCTTCTCTTGAAATCACAACGTATCACCGGATCACTGTACCAGGTTTCCTTACTTTCCTCTATATACAAACACCGCCCAAGCTTGTTTTCCCCAACCACTATTGAACTACAAGTTTCGCCCTTTCAACCCCTCCAAATAACAGCGGAAATCTCAGGACCCGCAGCGTTTTCCGCGCCTTTCGCTCTTTGTGACCCAAGCCATGGCAGGGCCAAACTTCAGGACTGTAAGGCGACGTGGTGCTGTTTACTAACGTATTTCGTCTAAGTGACTTGGGAAGCGGAAGAAAGCAGCCATTTTTTCATGGCAAATTCTGTGTTCACACAAGTTTCTGGAGGACTATTGAATTCTTCAAGAGAGAATCTGGTTTGGCTATGGGCTATGGCTATAATTTGATGCCAACGGCTCACCTTTGGTACCCATGTTTCAGCGACATATGCTCGAACCTAGGTCCAAGCACAGCGCCAGTTTTGCGGAAACCATCACAGACTCATGTGTCTCCTTCATGAGCAGCATCAGAATGACTGCTTCACCAATACAACTTAACTAGACCTCTCAGGCCAAAGGGCCCACGGCTTTTTGCGCTGCAAAAGTCGAGCAAAATGAGCATCCAAATACCCTCCATTGAACGAACAGAGCTATGGAAGCCATGGCCCAATAGTTCAATGATTCACCGCTGAAAAATGGTGGTTTTCCACAGCAACTGTTACCAGAGGGTCTGAAAGGAAGCAGTCGCTGCGGACGTAAACCGACACAACGGGGTCGGGTTAAAACATCAGCGGCGGATCGCCATCGCTAGTCCGGTCTACCCTCGAGTTAAACCTGGCAGTGAGAAAGGGTACCCCAAACTATGCTATATATGCTATATATGGCAACCCCAAAAAAGGTTGCGTTTCTATTCTATTCTTTTTGGCGGTTACTTATGATGTTGCTGTTAAACTATGGATCTGATCCATTGCCAGGTTCAATGATTGCCATGGACACGCCATGGGCCCCCACTACTTTGCTTGGAGCAAAGCAAAGCAGAAACGGGAGCACCGCTCTACCATCGAAAAATAGATCACCAGCAGTGGCACGTTCCGGTTTTTTGGGCACTACATAATCTATATACATAAAACTATGTATAAACATATAAAGATTAAATTGCTGGAGGCTCCGAAGATTTGTTGAACCTCCAAAACACCCGCGGGTTCATCAGGCTGGGATATCCCAATCCCATGCCATAAAAGTCCAGCTTGGCAGCTACGAACCTCGGCTGGAAATCTCGGAAAGATGGAAACCTTCAAATCACCTGGGAAAAACCAGGAAAAAACCTGTAGATTCCCCTGAAACCAATCCATTCACAGTAGGGATGGGAAACTTGAAATCACCAAGTTTCGTTCTATTCTTGTAGCTATGCTATCCCGATGCATGGGGACCCCAATAGAAGGGCGGGAGCCGATCCAATTCGGGGGTAGAATCTGTGGATCTCACAACTGATCAGCTGACAGCCTCAACCTCACCAAAACAAAAGAGACAATCAGATTTGTCCCACGATCCAGATTCAAGTGACAGCAAAGGCCCAATCGCCCAATCGCCCATAGCCACATATAGAAGCATATAGCCACGTAAGTATTCTGTTTTGGCCATGGCCAATCTGTGGTTTCCACAGCCCTGCCCGCGAAATCTCCGGTCTTCGCCGAGGAACTGATACATGACTAGCACCCAAGATGAGAGCCACCCAGCTTTCAGATTTCTCATCCGCAGCCTGTCCCGGTCGAAGTGTGCCTTTGCGACCTGAGCAACATACCGTTGGAGGGTTGCCACGGCTATGGAAACAGCTCTCAATGTTGTCAAGCAGGATAGTTTCTGCAACGAAACCCTTGCCATCCAGATTTTTTTCAAACCCCAAGTTCTGAATATGATTGATATGTCTGTATAGAGAGAAATCACTATATTTTTTTGAATCCCAATTTTTGCTGGTTCACCAACTCACCAACGTCGTAATTTCATTTATCCTTCCCTCAATGAAATTGTCGCCCCAGTATCCGTGTCTCGGAACTTCAGCAAAACCTCGAAAGGAACGTCATCAATGCAGAAGCTTCCTGAGAGGAGCAGGACTTGGGTGATCCCAAAGGATCCATTGATTTTGGTGATGTCAAAAATTGGATTATACAGTAATAGCCACATTGAGGGATGGTCATCAAGTCATGAATGTTGATTGTATACCAATTATAAGGATTCCCGGTACGGGATGGGTGACCATGCCCCAAAATCCCCCTGACCTGACCATGGCAAATATATCGGCCGGACATATCCTGACAGTAATTCGGTCGTAGCGGTAACTGAGCGGTCTTTAATGGTTGGTTGCAATATTAACAACGGTTTTCTTGAAGACTTAATGGATTGTGAGAACTCACAATGTCTCAAGGGTGCCGTAAAAAAATGAGTTGCACCAGGGATGTTGAGATGTTCAGCCACTGCAATCCGTTACCCATCGAGCTAAGGTGCTCAGCGTCTCTCTGAAGTTGCCCCGGTGGCACAACATTCGTCGCATGGACAGCCAACTGAGGTCACTGTCCGGCTGCACCAAAAGTGCCACAGCACGCAGCACAAGGTACAGGTCCTAGAGGCGAAATCATGGGAAGATCATCGGAATTTACCGACCACAATGGAGATATATAATGATATACAAAATTGTGTGTATATATATATATATACATATATATAATAATATATATATATATATTTTTTGTGTTTTTAATTGTCATGCAATCTTGCACAGTTCTTGCAAAGGTCCGCAGAATACACTTTTGGCACCACGGGGTTGTCGCTCGCCATCAACGGCAGGGCTAGGCTCTGTGCCTAAAGCCAAAAATCTTCACATGTATACACAACATGGGCTGCAGTCAGGGCCATTCCAAGTCGATACCAGGGGCACGATGCCATTAGTGAACAAAACGATTGAGCTCCCTCTGGGCCGTGGCCAAGCACTGAAACTTCCAAAGATGCATTGTTGGAGCGATTGGGTGCTGCGAGTCAAGGTCACATAGCCGTAGGTGCCTGGCCTTGCTCAAACTGGTCCTGCAGCTCTTGCAAATCATATAAGGCTTCCTGGGCAGTTGTGAGACATCGATCAGCCAGAAAAACAGGCATCAAAAGCTGCTTTAGCGACAGGGGACGGCGCTGGACAAGGGCCATGGTGAAAATGAAAATTGGACATGAGACGTGATGGCATGAGTAAACACAGTGCAAGGGGAGGAACTTTATCGAGGTAGTGAGGTGGTGGGGATCGAAAAATGTTTGAGCCGAGCCCAAACTGCATGTGATGCATGTGTTTGTGCGCTCAAGAACTCTGACGACTGAACATCTCAATCAATCTCTGCAATTGCAACCATATAATGCGTTATCCCTTCGGGAGAATTATATACCTTATTGCCATGCAATCTTGCACAGTTCTTGCAAAAGTACGCAGAACACACTTGTGACACCACGGGGTTGTCGCTCGCCATCCCCCATTTTTTGGAGTCGACACATCGTCTGACACACATTATTGCCACATCGACACCACACAGGCACTTCGCTGCTGTGGGTTTCGACGGTCAGGTTTTCTTTAAAAGCAGCTCATCCAAGCCACTGTCAACATCTAGATCGATCCTTAGGTCAGGGCAAAACCCGTCCAGTATTCCATGGGAAGGAAGATTAGCGATGTTTGCTGAAGAAGGCACCCTCCAATATTCCTTAAATAATCTGACCATCCAGACCCAAGCCACTTTTACCAGATATGACACGTCCCAGCACGGCATCGCTGTCCAGAAAAAGGACCACACGGTCGTTGGCGCAAACAGCTGCTGCTTGCAACAGGAGGGTGCCCCCTAACAGTGCAGCCAGGACTTCAAGCTCGAAGATTATGGTTTCTTTCACAAGAGGGTTCAGTCTGTTTGCCTGAGCTTTCGAAACTGCAGCTGAGAAAAACGACGACATCTCGCCATGTTCGTTGAAGAGGACACCTCCCAAAACCTCCAGCTGAGTTTTCAAAACAGGCATCAGTCTACAGGCGGAATACACGGCCAGGGTTAGAATCAACCACCCTTGGCCCACCACGAACAACTCGGTCTCGAATGAACACACGGTGTATCACCGACAGCATGTTCCCAGCGCCCAAGGTGCTGCATATGCAGGCCAGACAATCGGCCATAGATTTGCGCCTCAGCGGAGACCAAGCGCCCAATCTCGGCTGCTGAGAAAGATCCTTTCGAGAGTACCGAATCAATGGTTGCGGCTATCTCTCTCACTCGAGATTCAAAACTGCTGACTGCCTCAAATATTGGGCCACTTTAAAGAAATAATGTTTAAATTGGGTGTACACTATTCAGATGTGTAACTTCTATAACTCATACTCCAAGTTAACCAACAAATCATCCACGACCAGGTGTGCTTTTCCGATTTGTTTCGGAAACCACGGGTTTCCTGGATCCTGCCAAATCTCCCGTCGGAATGCCATCCCAAAGATTCCATCGATGTTCCAGTCATGGGTCTAGCTATTCAATCTATTCTAAGTGAATAGCCAGTGAATAGCCCGTGAATAGCCAGTTCTCAACTCAGTGAGAAATCAGTCCCGGAGCCAGGCAGTTTCCACACCTATCAACTTCCTCAAAAAATCCAGGCATCAAAATCATTCAGAAACTGTGTCTGCATGACCACAATATCTAATCTCTACATGTTTTGGCCAATGCAGTACACCCAACAATGAAACCAATTAGAATAGGTAGAAGAAACTCCATTGCTTTCAAACGTCCACAGAGGTTTTGTTGAAATCGGAATATGATCTACTGAGTCTACTGTTGGGTTTCCCACTCTTTTAGAGTCGGACAGTCCTAAAAGTTACAGGATCCATGTGTTTTTCGCCCAAAATCAAGGAGTGATCCAATCAAAAGCTGGGTCAACAGTGATGTGCTCCCAGCTACTCTCCCAGCTACTCAGTGATGTCCAAATGAATCCCGTCCTCATGCGGCGGGCTGCGTTCCTGCCCCAGATCATACAGGACCTCTGGGGTCAAATGCTGCAGATCTTCTTCCATGCGACCTGGGACCGTAACTGCATCCTGCATTCTAAAATCTGGGTTCTAAAATTCAAAAACTACAGGACTTCTGTTTTGGAGTGCCCTTCAAATCTCCACACCACTTTGGTGTCAAAACCCATCTCCGTTACGCCGTGGGTTTCATCCGGGGGTGCCAAGGCACGCCACTGTTCGTTCAAATGTTGATCTGCCAAGTAGTCAACTTGTATGAACTGCACTTCTGTGACACCCAGCTGCTCCAGCGTTCTCCGTGGGTCCTGGTAGGGTTGGGAATGACGTCCCAAATGAGTTTGACATCCGCAAAGCTGGATATATCATATATCAGTTGATAATCAGAAATACAATGGAATACAACATTCCCCAATTTTTTTTTCAAATCCAAACTGCACCCTGCAAAGCACGGTTTTAAAAACGGACCAACTCCCCCGGTCGCTGTCCATGGGTTCATTTCCCACGAAAAGTCGCAACGTCAGATGTGGCGCAGGTCGATGCAAACGCAGCGCTAGTGTTACTTCGTGCGCGGTCCAGGAGCCTTTCATCGGGAGCACTTCAAGGAGGTCGCCGGAAATCCGCGAACGGACCTTGGAAAGAACAGGGATGTGGCCAACACCCCAAAATAACGGTGGATGGAGACTTGCACATTTGGGCAAAAAAAAATGAATTTTGAAGAAACAAACATGCATATCCGAAAAGATGGGGACTTTTCAGTTGTTTGAATCCGGTTTTTGTCAAATCTACGATCACTGAAACACATGTTTTGGAACCCCGCGCCAAATTTTTGGACCTAGTGGGGTTTGTCCATTTTTCTGGAACATGTATCCGAACAACACTTAAGTTTCACAAGGGAACATGTTTTTTTTATACCATGGGATACCTTCTGAGTCCGGTTTTTCAGAGCCACTGCGAGTTGCGCGTTCCAGTCGTTCGGTGGCTCAGCCATCCGTCGCCATGAATTTCTTCAGTTCGGCCCATAGCTTCGCCACATCCCAAAATATGATAAATGATAAAGTCATTTTTTGTCATCAATCCTTTCAATTTTGTTTTGGCAGGACTGGCAAGAACTACACCTATTGAAAAATGTTGGGGTGAATGCGTGGTCGAAAGAATGGTGGTTTGCAAAATTTGGTGCTAAACATATTGGGATTTTGACTTTTTGGTGGCCACTGTTGATTTTTTTGTGCATGTCGGAAAAGTGCGCCTACAATTTGGTTTCTCTCGTTTCACTTGATACACGGTAGATCCATGATTCATGTTTCTCAATGTTGTGTCAAGCCGTTTGTTCTGTTTTGGACAACATACGTGTGGTTTACATTCGAATAAAAAATACGGAAATGCATTTTTCATGTTTCAAAAAAAAAACATTTCATAAGAAACACGAATGCATGTTGCATCTTGTGGAAATGTGGTAAACCCATGGAATTTTGTCAATTTTTTTTCTGATCAACTTATCAACGCCCATGTGGGGCTGCAGCTGCGACGCTTGTTTGAAAAAAAGGGACTTAGGTGAAAAAACATAAAACACATAGAGAAACACATCAGTGTCACATATGTCACTTGTGGTTGCAAATGGTTTTACACAATGTGTTTTTCTTCTGTGTTCGTTTTTGCTTTAAAAACAGAAAACACGTTGTTGAACAATCGATGACTGGCACGAAACAAAATAAGTTGATGAATTTTGTTGCAAGAGGTGGAACTTGCAGGAAATGTCTGATCGAATATTTATTTCACGGAACATGCTGGGTTGGAATGCACGATAATTCGGGTGCGTAAAATAATATGTCATTCATTGTAATGTGTTTTGGTAAACAAGAATCAAACGTTTGGTAACGTTTGGGGCAAGAATCTACAATCTGCGCAAAAACTGCCACAACATGGACCCAATGGATATTAACGCACCGGTAGTTGCCAAACGCAGCAAAAATGTCGGGTGTGACATCCACACCGGACCAACCAAATGTCGGTGAGACGCTTGCCATCCGAGGAAGCATGGCTGCGTCCCATGAAGCCAACCTGAAGTTTGTTCAGCACATGAACTGTTCAAAGAAAACATTGGAATTGGATACGATTTTTTTGTGGCGTAGGCTCGTGGTAATCCAATGAATGCAGCTGTTGAATTTGTTTAAAAATGAAATTTCACTTCATTAAGACATTTTGGGAAAGAAATGGCAAGGGATGCCAAATTAGCACAACCAATACCATCTGATGGGTTTGTCCAATCCAAAAAAAGAAGGCACATCAAAATACAGCAGTTCACCACCATCACCATCATCATGATTATCACCACCACCATCATCACCATTACCATCATCATCATTACCATCATTACCATCATTACCATCACTACCATCATCACCATCATCATCATCATCGTCATCATCGTCACCATCATCATCATCATCATCATCATCGTCGTCGTCGTCGTCATCGTCGTCACCATCGTCATCATCATCATCATCATCATCGTTGGCTTTACTTACGCGTATGCACACACGAATGAAATAGTTGTTTGGATGAACATTCAACCATGGAACAACACAAAAAATCGTCCGCATTTTTAGAAAGGTTTGGTTCTCACCCACACACACGCTTTCAGGCCCACCGGTGCACACGCAACACACCCCTATAATTCAGGCACGCACGCACACGTGCAAGGCAGTGGGGCAAGGGGTGAGGGGATTGCAACGCTCACTCACCCGCAAGACTGTACAAATCCAAATCGGTAGGCACAAATCAGAAATGGAAATTGGGCCCTGAAAGTACAAGTAGCACGAGTTAAAACCCAAGAACCCAAAAAAGGCAGCTGTGGATGAATTGGTTGACGTCGATTGGGAAAAGTGGAGGACGGATTCTGAAACTCGGATTGTGAAACTTTGAGGTCGGATTCCGAAACTTGAAGGACGGATTGTGAAACTGGAATTGTGAAATTTCGAAATCGTATTGTGAAACTGTGAAGTGAAATTGTGAAACTCTGAAGACAGATTATCAAACTTCGAGGTGGGATCCTGACAGTCCGTGCAAAAGAAGTTCTTTTCATTTAGACTACAGTCAAATTTTATGTAGTTCATGATGCAGCAGGAAGTAAAGCTTTCAACATTGATGAAAATGCAAGAGAAGTTCTTGAGACGTAGCATCAAGTAAAGAAAATAACGCAACATCAAAAAGAAGTGGTGGAAATAGGAAAGCGCTTCGCATGACGTAGCACCAAGTAGGTGCGCAAGTGCAAGGACGTTCTTGAATATGTAACTGACAAACTTCTCATGTCGTCGCATCCAGTGGGCGCAGCAGTGCAACGATGCCATGGTCCCAACCGGCCCTTCCACCCAACCCGCCCCAACCTTAATCGTCAACTGGACCAGGATTTGCCAAGCAACTTTTCGCACGAAATGACGTTAGAGTGTCAAAAACTGTGGGAAATTGCGATTTTACATCCTCCACAGCAACCCTTTCTGCGAGAGCCTTCAACCCACAGTATGATCTCAAGAACCAACACCTGCAACACTGCACGCTTCAAGCCCCCTTTTGCACGCGACGACACCAAAGCAAGAACGATGTCAGTTCATGTAGCTGTGCTGTGATCTATCTCTTGTTTGACTCACACTCCTTGAGAGGGAAATCGGAAGAGGAAACAAACTCGATTTCGGGTCAAAACAATTCCTGAGGTAAATCAAAACCTACATGACTTCAAATGTTTCTGGGACAAAAGTCACAAAATAGGTGACGTCCAAATTGTTTGATTTCAGGTTCACAAATCCCTAGATCTACAAACCCTGAAGATTAATTAGTCCATCAAGATAGGTCATTAAAACCCCTTAAAGGTGGGTTTTCCTCCCATCAGTTGCCATCTCAAGTTTCAACAAAAGTCACAACGGACCTTTCAGTCAAATGATGGCCTTGGACATCATTTGGGAAAAACCCAAAAGCATTTCGGGTCCAAAGGTTAACGACCTACCGATGAACAAACGCACAACTTCAAACTGTCACATGCAAACTCCACAGTTCAAAACCGTTCGAAACAATCTCAAATGTGTTTAAACGGCTTCAAACAAATTCATCCAACTCAGAAAACCTCTGAAGATGGTATGCACAAAAACTATCAGCATTTCCAGATGCTGTATGTCTTCCAAAATGCAAAATAACGTGCAGCACCTAATAAACAGCACTTTCCAGCTCACAAACCCTCTGAAGCTGATAGGTATAGACGCGAAGACGGCAACGTCGAGCGACACGACAAAGCAATCTCCGCAAATACATATCTGTAGGCAGCATATCCAGATGCTTCGACCAAAACAGTTGTTTCTCATATCAAACTCAGATTTGAAGGTACATTCTGGAGCAAATCGTCCAGTGAAAACCAATGCAGTTACCAAACTGCCTCAATTCAGCTGAAAACATCTCAACTTGGGGCAAACCCAAACCTTAATGCTTCCAGCAACCACAGGTCGCAAACCTCCATAGCATAGCGATATACCATGTATACGTCATGCTAAAACCAAGAGGGGAATATAAACGCATAAACATAAAACCAAAAACCAAACATGCAAAATGAAACAAAGCACAACTGACATGACATGTTCAAACAACAAACTGCATGCCGGTGGATCACTGTCACTCGCGCTTTCTTTTTCACGTGGGGAACAACAAATCAAAGTTGCATTGCATCAGGCCCAAGTGGCCAAATATGAACTCCAGTTGAGGCAACGGGATAGTGTTGAGATCGAGGGAAGGGAGGGGGAACTAGTGGGGTACTGTATTAGCCTACGATGATGTCAAAGTACATCCTGCCATGGCTTCCTTGCGGTAACTGCTCACGACATCAATATCACAGTGTTCATGGATGCCCTGCCAACATGCCACAAAGTCACGCAGTCTTCCTCTCAGCTATCAGAACCATAACCTCACTGATACTTTTCCAATGGAGAAAGCTGCTATTTCCCGCATGGCTGCATCGATCACCCAGCTTACATTGTGTCAAGTCTCCATAGAGGAAATTGAAGCCGCTACTAGGTTATTGGCAAAGGCTAGCCGCCAGCTGCGAAATGTCCCAGAAGTTTTGCCTCAGCAAATCGCAGGCTTAGAAACTGCAACGCACCAATTACACCAGTTGATTCGCAGTCTGCACAGCTACACTACCTCAGCTAGCTATGAGGTCAGCGAAGCACAAAAGGCACTCCTGCTGTTGCCACGCACAGAGAAAGGCTCTAGCACGTCTTCTGAGGAGCACTGCGCATTACAAGCTTTTCCAACTCACTATGACGAGCTGCAAGAGCACTAGCCAAGATCTACCAGAGAAGATGATGATGGTAGGAAAAGGTCAACTGAGTGGATTCTGAGTGGACTCTGAGAGTTAGGAACGCGGTTGCTAAGTCTCTTTTTTTTTCGTCTGGTCTGAGCCCGTTGCCTTTCGGCGGGTCTACGGTCTTGAGTCTTACTCGCGGACCAGCGGGGAATCGAACCACCACCGGCAGTCTGCCAGCGACACAAGAGTGCCGCGATATCAACTGCACCAGGAGGACGACTGGAACGCGGTTCCTAAGTCTCACCCTTAGTCCTGTTTTACTATCCGTTTCACCTTTCCTTTGACTACGTGACTGTGTCACTGCTGGTCTTAGGATTGCTCGAGGCCTGTGAGTCTTTATGCCCGTGCGGCCTACGGGTTGTGTTGCTTCTCTCAGAAGTCTTTGTATGGCGATGTCACTTCCTGGTTTTGCTCTTTTGTTTTGTTGTTTCTCGCCATACCAATCCTTTCAATGATGCAATAGACATCATCCATCAACTGTGCTGGCCAGGTCAATATATCACTTTGCCTTTCGTGTTGGCCTGTTCTTCTTGGTTTTTGTTTTTGTTGTTTTTTGTTTTGTTGCTGCTTTTGTTTGTTTTGCTTTGTTTGGTTCTGTTGATCTGATTGGCATTGTGATGACCTCATTGGACTGTGTATCTGGTCCTTCTTCGGCACCGAATTCTTGGTTTACTCTTGCCCCCAGA